TTTCTCAGTGTCAAACTTGCTACCGCTTGGTATTAAAATTATACCAGTCCGTAGAAATTTGCTACCAATATGATAAAACTTTAATGCCTAGCTCTTACTAGGCGGTACTACTTATCAATACCACTTTGGCAGAGTCATACATGAATACCGCTTTGGTATTATTTTAATACCGGATTTCTAAGAGTGATGTATATAAAATGCATGTTCCCCCCGCTGCTGCTGCTACTGCTGCGTAGAAAGAAAAGAAGTAAAGCAATTTCTTTTCTGCACATCAATTCATTTCTCCATTAACTGAAAGAGGAGGAAATATTTAATGACACATAATCGCTTCCCTCCTCTTAAATTTCACGGAATTCAATCTCAGCCACTAAACTAAACTGCGGACGCTACCACGACCACGACGATGCGATCTTCATTTTCATCATCATCATCGCATCACGAAGGCAAAAAATTAATAAGTTTTGACACAAGAAGATTCATCTCCTTCGACGCCTTTTTGTTTGTCCAGTCCAGTCTTTCAGGCTCCATGCACAGCACAAAGTAAAGAATGCTATATTATTTAATAACGATTTATATCTCGGGCACAAATCATGGCAGTATTTTGTACATACGCTTTGAATTTGTTCAGTGAGTTCAAGTTTCTTGGTGGTGAGTAGAGTTGTACTTATGTCCAGGACATTTAGGCATTTATTTGCATGCCAAAAATTCTGCACATTTATTTTCATGCTCAAAATGCCTGGAATTTATGTTTATGTCCAAAATGTCATGAATGTATTTTCATGCCAAAAATTCCATGAATTACTTTTCATGCTCAAAATGCCTCGAATTTATTTTCATATCTAAATTCCCTCCAATTTAATTGAAATGTCAAAAATGTCATATGTAAATTCCGGGGATTTATTTTCATACAAAAAAATGCCTAAAATTTCCGAGAGCATTTATTTTCTTGTCAAAATTTTTTATAAAATGCAAAACCTTTGTTTTCATGCATGCCCAGGTCCTTGTACAACTCGATTTTTCTGATATATGTACGTAAACTTCACATTAGAGAAGAAAATAACTGCCAAGAAAAGTGAGACGCAGGCTGTAAATTGTGTTTAAATTCCATGCAAATTTGTTTGCCCATTATGCAAAAAGAAAACCCTTATTATGCATAATATTCGATAAAATTTATGCTGGTTGGTGGTTGATGTCGCAAGTGCAAATTTATATTTTGCCATGTTTAAATTTTTCAATATTTCGTTAACCGTTGACCGTGATCATCAGAGTGCGGTGATGTACATATATAGTTACATAAATATGTGTAACATTTACGAAAAATAGGCATAAATATTTACGAAATATGTATGAACAAAAACGCCGAAATAAGAATTTTCAAAAAAATTATATTCTCGACTATAATCACCCAGATCTTGTCCTCTCCAAATTTATTTTGGCAAAGAAAATCATCTCACATCGTTGAAATGTTTACAAAATATGCATTTTTTATACATATGTTTAGTGTTTTTTTTTTTAAATAATAGCGGAAATATTTAGAAGTACGTCTGAAAACCAAGAAATATGTGCCACTATATATTTTGAATTTTTTTTATCTATTCGAGTTACGGGACACACCCACAAAGTTTAAAAAAATCAAACACAAAATTTGAAAATAAATACATAGCCGCCCCCTGATTCGATGCAAAATCATCAATACTCTTACATCTCATCAATAAATAAGCTCGTCAAATCTATCATACGCACATAAATATTATGCAAAACTATGTATGCAAATACATCCATATGAAACAAAGCGATCAAGTAAAAACCACGTGAAAACAAACCATCACAATAATTATTTTTATTCAATGGAAAAAGGTGTGGTTTAGTTACTCCCATTAAAATTCAATTCAACCTTTACATCATTTAAATAGCTTTATGGCTCCTGCACAAAACATAATTTTTTTCATGCAAACTTTTCATACGACAAAGATGCGCTTTTAAAAATTAAAATTCATTCATTTACACTTGCCATTTCAATTTCGGGGGCGTGGGTTCACTTTGATTGACATTAATTCAGCCCAAAGTTTTTTTTTCAATTTAGTATTTTTTTTGGTAAATATAAAATTAATTGTTGAATATCATTCACATTTGGGTATCACGTGGTAAAATAATTAAAATAATTAAAAATACACCTTACTCATCTCATTTGACTGACATTATCTCAAGTTCTTCTCACATTTACGATATCATTCTGCCCCATCAATTCTATCGTGCAGCTTATCTTACCTGGCTAATTGTATAGGTCAGCATATGCATAAGTACTTATCTTACGTGTAATTTTACTGGAAATAACCTTATCGTACTAAATTCTCCACCAAAGCAATAAATAAATTCATCATCATCTTCCCCCTAAAACTAACCTTTCTCTGTAAATCCCAGTAAAAACCACTCGAAATTCCAAAAATTATTAAGTGTTAAGTGGTGGTTATCCGAATGCGTAAATGGTCAGATTAAAGCAGCAGATGACATAAATGAGTAGCTATATATGTAAATAATGGCTTATCGTTGATCGTTTCTACTCACTTTTTTTGCACACTTTTTTCCATGTCAAGCTGAACAAACATTTATTCATTTGAGTGCTTGGTTTGGTGGCAGAGTTGTAAATGGATTGGTTCCTGCGTGTAATAAATATATGAGGAAAGCAGGTTTTACTTTCACCAGAGAGAAAGGTGAGACTATGCTTTCACTTGGTTTTCCAGGAAATTCGTCCCAATTTTATTATTTGTCTAAAAATATAGTGTTACATCCGGAACATCTAATTTGCAATGTGACACGTTCGACGACATAAATGTAGGTACACATTTGGAAATTACATTTAGTTTCACCGTAAAACTTTCACGCCATTACAAAAATTTTATTTTTTTCTAATTGATTTAACATTAAATTAGGATCAATAAATTCATTTGTGAAGATCGTGTAAAGGACTTTTACAACATTAAAAATGGTAATGATTTTTTCTCTGATTAATTTCTAAATTATGGTCTAAAATTAAACTGGGACGATTTTTTTAAATGGTTCTAAATTGATTTGGAAGTTATAAAAATTATTTTAAAAAATATTTTAAGCTGTAAATAACTTCATGAAATTAATTCTAATTGAATTGAATTTTTGAATTGAAGCTTTATTATACTGATTTATATGAACAAGTGATACAGTAACAATGACCAAGACTAGAGAAGATAACTCTAACTTAGCATTATATATTACATATAAGCAGCATGCCATGTTTTAACAGTTTACACCCTATTTAAGCCACTACTACTAATTTTATTTAAAAATAACTTGAAATTAATTAATGATTAACATGAGAACAGTTTCAATTTTATAACCAAAGACAGTCCCAGTATCTTTATACTCTAGATTAATTAACCCAATCAACGTTGGTAATGTAGATTTACTATAAAAATCATTTTTTATCATTGCCTGGTACATTACATCCTTCTTTGTTCTCAAATTTACGCCACATTCATTTTCACGTAACGGAGGCAAGAAAAAATTGTACCTTCCAGTAATTAATTTAAATCCAAAAGATTTTAACATATTTAACCTCCGATTTATTAATGACTCTATTTTACATTGAGAAAGAGCCTCTTCATAATTTTGACTATCAACTCTTTTCCTTAGTATTACAGACAAAGCTCTTTTCTGTACTCTTTCAAGCTTGCTACATAATTCTCTAGCATTGTAACTCACTGTAGCATTGTAATCATTTCAAAATAAAAATTTTTCGTACACGGGAAGCAACAATACACACGCAAAACCAGATATTATTTCTTTTTACGTATGTTTATCAAATACGGAAAACAAAACAATACATGAAAATCCCAAATCAGTCATTGAATGAATTTATTAAAGTTTCATCAACAACAAAAGTCAATCACACAGCAACCTGCGACTAATCAAATTGCAAATTGTCCACGTCCACCCAGCCCAGCTTTCCTTTTACTCGCGAATATGTATATATTTGGCAAAATTTTAATTACGGGTTATCATCCGTCATTCCGAATACGTACGTACGCCATGCCACACCACTTGAACGTATCATTAGTTAATATTTATCGCACCCGCAGAGTCCCCATTGATTAAGTATTGGGTACATACATAGATACGTTATACGGGTCAATTTATAGGCACGTATGTAGTTCAGTGGCCGCGGAAGCGTGAGGACATCGGGGGACATTGCCATTGTAGGATGGGGGGAGGGACGGGTTTGTATAAGATGGGCAGATAATGCGGATATCGAACAACGGTGGGGACATTGTCCCTCGCTTCCGCGGCCACTGCATGCATGCATCATATGCTAATCAAAAATATCATATCATTAAGCATTATGTTAATGCTAATAAACTACCTTGTATGGGGCCAAACTTGATGCTAATGTGGACTGGCAGCAGCGATTCGTGATTATTATCAGGCTACGGATATTTAAATTATGCAAATATTGTGTTTGCAAAATATTTATTTATAAAAAAACTCACTTGAAGACTTCAAGTTGAAGTGTATATGAACTACCTAAACATTTATAACAATTTACAAAAACTTTAAGAAAAATCATATTGTCGTCGAAAATTTACAAAATAAAATACTTTCTTCAAAACAGATTTACTAAATATTTAAAGTTATGAAATCATTAGATCTAAGGAAGATTTAAATTTATGAAAGGTTTCAATTTATGAAATTAAGATTTAAATATATGAAAGTTTTAAATTTAGGAAAGATTTCAATTTACCAAAGTTTTAAAATGCAATTTTTGAATTTACGAAAACCTCGAAATATTGAAAAACTTTAGCCTTTAAAATCCACCAAAGGCTAGTTTTCCTTACTAAGTACATACATATAAAGTTATATAAATAAATAGCCGGCGTCTGATCTTTATCATGCTTATGAACAAAATCAAATCGAACTACACACTTCTGTGTTCATACAACAAATACATTATTCGATGGACCATGTACATAGAAAATCACCATTAAAATCATTCCACTCTCATCAGAGTGTAAAGGTATATATCGGCTGCAAGTTAACTACTATAAAATACAGACTTGATTTACTAACTCAAGATCAAGAAAGAAATCATCGATTCTCGATTTTATCACAAGATTACAACAATTTTTTTTACACAAAAAAGTCAAACCCGCATTGAAACCAAATCCTAAGTACAAAACTATCTACATAAATCCAGTTTTTCCATTACTTACTTTTGGACCATACAATATCATATTTCCAGCCGGATTATGTGCAATTTTTTTGCACAAACTTAACTTTCATAAGTGTAAAGAATGCCTGCAAAAATATACCTGTTGACTCCTGCCCAACGTGTTAAACGCCTTGTTAAATAAGATCATAACGTATGGTTTCGTTTTGGAAGTGAATTTTACAAATGTGTCATTGAGACATTAACAGGAAAATTATTACCCCTCTCAAAAATAATAAGGTAATAAATTCAAGATTTTTTTTAACTATTAAGAAAAAAATAGCTACTTAACTAAACTCGTTATCGTCAAGCAAAAATGATGCCGTAACATTTTAAACTGATTTTTGAATCGTAATAAAAAAAAATTTATTTGTGTGGTTTGGTTTCTCGGGAAGAAATAAAAATTGCATGGATAAAAAGGTGCGAAGTAATAATAAGTAAGTAGCAAAAAACTAAATATTTATTTAACCAATGACGTGCCAAGCCCATTCATTTTTTAGAATGTTATGATTACGATAAAATAACATGTCCCAGTTCCAACTGAAATAAATATTTAGTTCAATTAACACTTCTCAAACTGTAGGTCAGGTCAAGGGGGGAAATTTATTCATCTATATTTAAAACAACATAAATATTTGTAATCGGACCGATTACATTTCAAATGAAAATGCATACAAGATGGTCAGTACACTCTTAGAAATCCAGTATTAACATAATACCAAGCGGTATTCATGTATGACTCTAGCAAAGTGGGATTGATAAGTAATACCCTGTAGTACGTAATAACTCGATATTCAAGTTTTACCATGCCGGTAGCAAATTTTTTACGGACCGGTATAATTTTGATACCAAGCGGTAGCAACTTTATTACCGAGAAATCAATACCTGTCTGACTATATCAGATTTCCAACAGTGTATCTACGATTTTCAGATGTGCATATGCATGTATAAATAGGAAAACGAATCATAACACGTGTCATGATTTTATACCAAATTTAATTGACTATACCAGAATCTAAAGCTGTAATCTAAAATTTTATGCCCTTATTTTTGAACCGCTTGAAGTACAGACTTCTGCTTTTCGGATACTTGCAGCTAATTGAATGTCCTATAAAATCACGTCACCTGGAATGTGGATATAAATAAAAAGCCGCATTAGAAAATCGTAACCATTAAATGCTGGCTGTTATTCACATGAGCCGCGGAAGCCGGGGAGGTTAAAATTGCAGGGTGGGGGAGGGCGGGGTTTATATAAGATGGGGAGATGATGCGGATATCGAAAACCGTGGGGACATTGTCCCCACGCTTCCGCGGCCAGTGGTCATTCACATATTTTTAGAAGCGACGTTTTGTACATTCTTTAGTCTTGAGATCACCCACTAACGAATGAGACTGCATGGTCGTTTTACAGTGGAGTGCATCATGCTGCTTGTAAATAACATATTTTTTGACGTAATAATAAATACAATAAAAGGGATTAGCGTCGCACTATTTTACGAGATTTGCTGCACCTTGGTGGTCTCGTCAACTCTGGTCTGGATAAGTACATACGTGATAAGCTTAAATATGCACCCTCTTATTTATTTCACTTACTTATTCTCCCATTAAATAATTCCCTTTGTTCGTCATTTTTCCGACAAGCTATTAAATTCCCGTACATGTCATCTAACCAAATACCATAAATTTTAAATACATAAATTTCCAAATGAGTTTTTTTCTCTGAACCTTTTTCTAAAAGTTCACTCCCGTAAAATGTCACATTTAAATTTAACTATGGCGTCACATGATGACAGCCCCTTTAATTACCTATTTGCTTACCTATGTACCCCCGCATCAATTCTGCTCATCATACAAGGATTGACTGCAATTCTTTCATGTAAGTAAAAGGAAAGACCGATTCTTTTTTACTAAATGAATGCTCATCAATTCATCAAATACTTCATGTTACGTGATACAACTAAAGTCAACCTCTGACATTAAAAAATGTGTAAAGTACAAAAGTTTGCCTAGTGAAGTAGGTATCACGTTCTTAATATTTTGCGTATCCTCTGCTCTTCTCCACAACTAATCCGCCCAACGATATTTAATTTCATCGTGTTTTATAATCCTACGTAATTTCTCACATCCATTGTTTACTCATCTTAATAAGGAATCTGCTTAGTCTTCACCTGTCAACAAAATACTAACCGCACGTACGTACATACATACACAGTGGCCGCGGAAGCTTGAGGGGACAGAGGGACAATGTCCCCACGGTTGTTCGATGTCCGCATCATCTCCCCATGTTATCGAAACCCCTTCGTACCTACCTAACCTACAATGTCCCCACGGCTTCTACGGCCACTGCGTACATCTTCTTCGGGTGAGAAACTAATGGGAAAACGTAACCGCAAATTTCCTTAAAGTTTGCCATGCGAGAGAAATTATCATCATTGTCATCTATAACTAACCTGGAATTAAATTAAATAGTTCTGCATTAACGTGCACCTAGATTTGCACAATAACAAAGGCAGCGAAAAAAATGGCAAAAGTAATTACTTCATTCCCATTATGATTTTTAATGTTTACCATAACATTCATTCTCCAGTAAGAAGAATTCATCATAAAAATAAATTCCACAAGGGAAGTTGGCATCCTGCTTGTCCTGTTTATGTACATAAAATATTAGTCGTGCGTATAACATTAAAAGGCATGATCTCAACCTGTCTGCGGTTTCATAGCGTCTCATTCTTCTCACAAGTCAGTTAATAAATAAATAAGGAACTATCAACATACATATGCACATAATTTCTGTCTGCATAACAAAATGACGGATATGTACTCATATTTTTGATTAATTTGATTAATTGAATGCGATCGTAGCGTTGACAAGTTCTCTGTGTTGACAAGAGACAGGAACAAAAAGGGGAAATTGAGATAAAATCAGGACACGTTTCTTCCCTGACCGTGATACCTGATATCTGCGAATGATAAGTAAATCTCATCCTATACATACACATTTGTTGATTTGCACTACATAATGTGTATCCTACGCCCATAAAATACGAGATACGATACCGTCCAGGACAGAAACGACGGACTGCTAACAACCAGAACAAATGTGATTACATTTGGCTTTGTTTCTTTTTCGCATATTGCACCTGCCTGAGAATAGATGAGAAATGAAACCTGGACACATAATTCACCATCCTGCCCTACTGTCCTCCTATTTAAGTACATACTTGATACTCGCTAAAAAAACTTGCTAACACGTACTGCAACCAAAAGTAGGAGAACCCGCATGCATATTACCTCATCTTCCATAGGCAAAAATATTTGCAAGCTATCCATCCATCCATCCACTAGTAAATCCCAGTTAGGTCCGAACTTTTCCTTCAGTCGTGCAGTGGCATTTGTGCATGCACAATATCACATCATCTTCTTCATCACATACTAATTTACATACGTAAAGTAAGCTATTTATTAAACTGCCTTATTTGTTTTACATAGTAATTTTATATAGTTCAGAATATAATGCGAAATTCGCATTGCGAATTCGTGACTTGGTTTCAATCGAGGCATAATTTATGCGGAGAAGTAAAAGTGCATATTCCTATTTAGAAGACTACTTATTTAACAATATCACGGTACACATATATTATCGTGAGATTAGATATTTGATCTGTGCAAGTAGAGATCACCTCTCTCCTAAAACAAATTAGGAACATATTTATTTAAGAACACAATATCATATTCCTTGTTACCAGCAGGAGGAGTCAGTTTTATCCAACTTTTAATTTAACATATTTACATTTACCCACGTGACATTGAACAATGACTTTGAACTGCCTGTGAGAGACTTGTTTGACAATGCAGAGAACTGTATTTTTAATTAGATTTTTAGTCAGTTGTCATAATATTCAATAACTCAATTATGACTGCAGTATAGTACACATTGCGAATCTCATCAGGCAGCATTTCAGCAACAACTTTTTGCAAAATTTTTGGGATTATTGCCAATTGTTTTGTTAACTACTTGATTGGATTGGTCTGTCGGGGTTGAAGTTGAGTTAATTTGATGAAGTGACTTATTAGTTACATAAAGTAAGTACACAAACTTGTTGGGGTGAGATTTTTTTTCTGCACGTCGTAAATAAAATTTTCTACATGGGGGTCATAAATTCTTATTGTGTCGTTAATAAGTAAGTAGTTACTTTTACGAGAAAGAAATATGTCTCACGTAATAAATTCGGCAATTTTATGGACATTTTTATATACATAACTGCTCCTGCAGAAATACTGACAAAATTAAACTGAGAAGCTTAAAAATATATGCTTAAACCAAAAATCTCTTTAAATAATAGACGCCGATTTTAAGAAGTAAGAAGCAGTCTTATCCGCTCCTACGTAAATTAATTAAATACTTAAGCTGAAAACTTTAGCAGAATAATTTATGCAGTCGCATAAAAATATTTAAATCTCAAATTTTTAAACCTGAAATTCGCAAATCTTTGAATAATATGATATAAATTCTTCAATTTTACGAACAATTATAATTCCTCTTACATAAATATTTACAAAATTATACTGAAAACTTTACCATAAAAATTTAATCTCATTTTATCTACATAAATATACAAATCACAAATTTTTAAACCTGAAATTTTCTAACGTTTCCATAAATTTCCAGATTTCCTGAAATAATCCACAGTCCACAAAATGGGGAACCCCACGACCCAAGACTGGGTCCGGTTGGACGTCCTAATCCTCCAACGAGCCTGCAACCTCCTCCGAAAACAGTTCCTTCGCCGCTGGAACCTTACCCAATCCTCCGAATGGATCGATTCCCCCGAATTCGGATCCCACTTCATTTCCGGTTTGGCCGCCCAGATTTACAAAAGCGTTGGACGCCTCCACAAAATGACGCTGGCGGAAGGTGACGTGCACACCTGGGATTTTTCCCTCCTCACCAAAATCCTCCAGCAGGTCGACTTTCTCCCCAAAGAGGAGGAAACTTATGCAAATTTGAGGCAGGAATTTACCTCGGAAAACGCCAAAATTTCCGAACTTATCTCCTACAGTAAGCAAGCTCTCGAATATCCCGCCAAAACGATGGAGGATTCCGAATTTTCCCGCTTATGGGACCACATCGAGTCGATTTTAGTCTCTTTTGGGGAAAATGAGAAGGAATTGGAGCAACTGAAGCGGACCGAGAGTGTCAGCGAGGAGGATTTATGTTCCATTTTGGGGGGTCGCGATTCGCCCCTGGTGGATGAAAATTGTGTCGCGGAAGCGCGAAAGTTGAAGGATGAGGCGAAGAACTTGATAAATTCGGGGGATCTGAGCGGTGCAATTGAGGTGCTGACGGGGGCGGTGGGAATGCACAAAGGGCTCCCGGCGGGGGACCTCGGAGCGTTGTATGCCATGCGGAGTGACGCCTATTTGAAGCAGGTGGGCACTTCCAAGGGGGGAAAAGAGGAGAGGATGGAGGGGGCTTATGTCGCGTTGAAGGATGCTAAGCAGGCCATGTTTCTCAGGTGAGGGAACGCATTTTTTAATTGGTTTCGCTTTTCCAAAACGCATTTTTCCCAGGATGGTGGGAGAAATGGGGAAAATAGATGCACGAATGCCTGAAAAATTGATGACCATGTATGCAAAACAAACACTTTCTCCCATTTCAAACCTAGTTTAAATATGGGAAAAATGTAATTTAAAAAAAATTTCTCCCGATTTTCCACCCATTTTGTGTGAAAAACTGAAAAATTCACTTTTACCCAGTGTTTCATTTCTTTAATTGCAAAGAAAGCAAAGCAAGAAGTGCGAGGTGCAAGAAACTGGGAGAAAGTGCAAGAAATTTGTGCCTTATAGCCAAGCGCGGTATAGCGACGGGGCGTCGTTTCTCGCGCCGTGCATTTCTCCCAGGTCAAAATATTCACCTGCATGAAACCACTTTCTCCCCATTATTTCTTGCACGTGGTTAATACTTGCACCTGAAACACTTGAAACTTCGTACAGAAAGAATTATTGGACGAATTTTTAGTCAATTTACTTTCTCAAGTTGTTATTTGCTTTCACCTGAAACACTGCTTTTACCAACTATCCCTGTAAATTTGGCAAATTGCAACCCTACTTTTTCCATGAATTAATCACCCATCATTCCATGCAAAATGCCGATGATGTAATTCCTTACACCGATATTATTTCATTCCTATTTCAGACCAGCCTGGGGCCTCGCCCACTACCGCGTCGGGATGGCGTACGTGGAGCTGGGTAAATACAAGAAGGCGTCGAAATACCTCGATCAAGCCTTGGACCTGGAGCCGAACGAGGAGGAAATTCGCGTGGCCAATTCCACCTGTAAAATCAAGCTTGTCCAACTCTCCGACGACTTCGCCCCGGAATTAAAGACCTTCCAAAAGGTCAACTTCCTCCCGAAACCGCGCCCCCTTCCAGGTGGAACGCGTCACAGCCCGGAAGTCATGGACCAGCTGGACATGATCTTTTTCCCGGAGGACGAAGACAACATTTTGGGCGATGTGTATAAAGCGCACAAATTCAGGGATGGAATCAATACCAAACAGAGCTATAAAGTAGGTGGTTGGTTTGGCTTAACATTGATAAGATACTTATCTTAAACAAGTGAACGTAGGGCGGATATGCATTTATTTTCAACTTTTTCATTTAATGACGACTGATCGTCAAACTTTGTCCGTGTTTCGTATAGATTCCAAAAATTTCAAAAAATTTTTGACATATTTTTACATATTTCTACGTTTTCAGACGTATAAATATTTTTTTAATTGCATAAATCTTTTATCTATTTTTCACCCGTGCATATAAATATTTTGTAAACGATGTGAGCCAATAATTTTTCAAAGAAATTGGACCACAAAAAATCCAGAGTTTTAAATTCAAAAAGTACAAGTTTTCCGAAATTTCTTATTTGGTCGTATTTCATAAATATTTTGGCGTTTTTTTCCCTAAAAATTTTAAAAATGTATTTCAACGATTTTTTCGCATATTAATTAAACTCCATGAAAATTGAAAATCAACCTGACTATTTGCACTTTAAGCATAGAAATTAAGTGCCTACATAGTTCTCTTCTCCGAAAAGCGGGCAAATTTTCACGCATGATATTTAATACTTAATTTACATAATTCTTAATATTTATCAGGATGCCGCGATCCTTTACCGGAAGGGAGTTAGGTCACGAAATGCGGAATGCATGTATAACTTGGCCCTCCTCAAACTTGAAGGGAACGGAATCAAGCAAGACGTCAAAGGAGGTAAATTTCTACAATTTACTATAATTGAACTTTACATACACTTGAATCATTAATTATAAGCTAAAATTTTCTATTGATTTTAATTTTTCAATTTAATTCAAAAATTTCAAAATATTTCTGCAATTTTTTTTATGTATAAATTTTGCTGTTTTTGACCGATTTTGGACAAACAATTTTTTGATACTTTTTGAATTAATAATAATCATAGTTTTTCTTCAAAAATTTTTATAAAATTGAATCTGGATGAATTTATAATTAGAGAACATCTTTGTCATCTGTATTTATATAAAATAAAACAGTTTTTAGTTGATAAAACCAATTTTAAAGGTATTTTGATACTTTTTAAATAATATAAAAGTAATCAGAGTAATTTTAATCGAATTGAAATTTTCAAGAATTATTTTGAAATTCAGTTTTTGTAAACTTTGGCGTCGCAGAGCAATATTTGTAAAAAATGAAGAATGCCATTTACTGTAAAGGTCGCTAAAAGGATTACCAGACGGATCTTATTTGTTTTTCCTAATTTCACCAATTTAAATTTTTTAATTGATTTTTTTAAATTAATTAAATCAAAAATTATAGTTCAGTAAGCTTAAAATTTAGAAAAATATTGTAAATTCAATTCAGCCAAATTTTGATACACATTATCAAAATTTTTATGCATTTTTTATTAAATTTGTAATCGTTCATTGCCAGTTATCGCCACCATGTAACAACAATTAGCATATCGAACTATCCCCAATTATATTGAACTGCCACATTCATTTTTATCTATCTTTTTAGCCATCGATCTTCTCAAACGTGCCGCCAAACAACCCACCAAACTTTGTAAAGGATCCGGCTACAATTTCGTCTCGAACGTGGGCGTCATCGAAGCGTCCTTCGTCCTCGGCCTCCTCGCCGCGGAAGGGATCGCCTTCCCGCCACAAGAAGACCTCCATTCTGCCGCCGTGTGGTATCAAGAATCTTCCGAACACGGCTCCGGTCCCGCCGCGCACAACCTCGCGCTCCTCTACAGCAAAGGGAACGGCGTCCCGCTCAACGAAAAGCGGGCCGTTCAGCTCTGGAAATTGGCGGCAAGTCGCAAAGTTCCCGAAGCCATGTTTGGTCTCGCGATCCACCACGCGAAAGAATGGGAGACGACGGAGGCCCGAAAATGGTTTGAGTTAGCGATCAACGAGTACGGGGCGGAATTTCCGTGCAAATTTCATAACGTTTTTGAGGAGGAGGAGGAGGAGTCGAAAGAGATTTGTTGGACCCCGACGGCCACGCTGATTAATGAGTTTACAACGGTTCTGGATACGATTGATTATTGGAGGGCGCGATACGGGCAGAAGGAGATTGCTAGATGGGAGGTAGGAGGATACCTGTTCAGATTCATTCATTTGATAGAGAATGAATAAATTATTCATTTCATATTTATGATGAATGAATGAATTTTGAATAGCAATTTGTTCATGATGAATGAATGAATTTCGAATAACAATTTATTCATTTCATGTTCATGAAGAATGAATGAATTTTGAATACAACTTATTCATTTCATATTTATGAAGAATGAATGTATTTTGAATAAAAATTTATTCTTTTCATACACATGAAGAATGAATGAATTTTGAATACAACTTTTTTCATTTCATATTCTTGAACAACGAATGTATTTTGAATAAAAATTTATTCATTTCAAATTCATGAAGAATGAATGAGTAATTATATTCATTATTGATTCGCGCTATGGCTGTTAGTACTTGGGGTATAATTCATTTAAAAAAGACGAATTTGAGAGAAAATGAGTAAATATTGAATAAATGAATAATGAATGAATGAGTTATTCCAATTTTTTGAATGAATTTTAAATGAAATATCTTTTTGACCAGGTCCTCTCCGGAGAGAAGGCGACCAATCAAAACCTATCCGTCAAGTACCGCTTGGCCCGAATGTTGCACGACGTGGAGGCCGAAAAGGAGAAGATTTTCGCGATCGAAGCCTACTTCCAGACCGACCTGGCCACCCCGCCGGTGCAGATTCCGTTTCAAAATGCGAAATCTTGGGCAAACCGGGTTCGTCAGGGGATGTTACTGAATCAGAGCGAGGGGGAGGAGAGCAGTCGGGAAAATAGTCAGAGTCGATCCGTCAGCAGAACGTCGTCCGGGGGGTCGAGTGAAGAACCCGAATCGGTGGGAAGTTTGTCTGCCTAATTAATTAATTAATTAATTAGTTAATTAAGGTCCCATGTTATTGTTAATTAAATTTGTAAGGATGTCCCGGTTAGTTGTATAATACCCGGCGTGAAATATTTCCCGGGTTCGGGTATTCTGTTACTTCCAGAGATTTTATTTTGTACCAAGGACAAAAATTAGATCCATCGAATCGCAATTTTTTTTGCAAGGTTTTGAATTATAAGTAAATAAGTTGAAAATGTAAATTACTTGGACGGGTCCGGGTATCCAGAAAAATTGCCGGGTAGTTGTAATATTCGGTGTCCGACATGAAATATTTCCCGGGTTCGGGTATTCCATTCCTTCCAAAGATTTTATTTTGTAACAAGGATAAAAATTAGATTCATCAAATTACAATTTTTTGCAAGGTTTTGAATTTCAAGTGAATAAACTGAATATTTAAATTACTCGGCCGGGTCCGGGTATCCCAAAAAATGCCCGAGTCGGCCGGGTAGTTACCCGGGCCGGGTATCCCATTCCTTCCAAATATTTTACTACAAAAATAGGATTGCAATTTTTCTTTTAATTCAGAGAAATAAATTTATCATGTTAATTCCTCGGCCGGGTAAAACCATGTACTTTTGAATACCCTGTTGGGTCCGGGTATCAAAAAATTGCCGGGTATCGTGTAGTTACTCGGGACATCCCTAATCGAGTATGTTGAACTGACACGATTTTTAGTTTTAAGAGCGATTTTATGATGTTGAAACGATGTGATGATTACGAAGCCACATTTCTTTAGCGAAATATACATACACTTCAGTATTACATGCAATTTTGCAATGTACATATTTAGTTTACCGATAATGATAAGTTGCTCGCAAATACTTTTGCAACTTGCTGTTTAAATCTCAACAAATTGTTAACCCACTGAATTTTCAATAAAATGCAGGAGGATTGCAATATTAAGGATCACATGAAATGAAAAAAACGGGTATTTCGGGATGATTTTTCGGGTAACATTTAAAATATGTATGTATGTATAAATCTACCGACAAAATATATAAATTAATTAGTTTAATTAGTAATTAATTGGCTTAGTTAGTACTTAATTAGTAAATATGTGCATTTTTTGCCGCTGAGAATTAATAATGAACTAATATTTAATTAAGAACTCGTTGACTAATTTATTAATCTGTACGTATGCTGAATTAAGTATGCCATTTTTTGCGACAGTAACCATTTTAATAGGTAGATGATTAATTAATTAATTTTTAATTAAAATACAGATTTTGAGTAAATACTAGTTACAGAATAGATTGTACTCGATCTTGTTAAATATTGTTAACACATTTGAGAGCTTTACTGGTTTATTGACGAATAAAGATTACGAGTACGACTATAAAATAAATGAAATGCATTATTCCATAATTGCAATTGAAGCTTAACATAGTTCAACATAATTAAGATCTGAATCATCAATCCAAATCTGACACTGTTCCACGCCGAGTTGGATTTTTTTTAATATGAGCATTTATTTATTTTATGTCAGATATATTTCCGAACATGTCGATCAGATAAAGTGCAATTCGCACATTCAAATTTCAGGTTTTCTTGTTAATTTCTGAAAATCGGTAAAGGTCACCTCATTGGGTCCCTCCGGATGAAATTTTCTAATTTTAATTCATACTATTCTATTAGGACCTATTCACATCCTCTGTTTCAGCTTTCTACTATAATTTTGAAATTTTGGTGCATAATATAAATAGTTTAAATTTTATTTCAATCATAGTGTAAGGTGTATTCGCAGAGTTATCAAAAAAATGTATGACAAAATGTCTACGCAGGAGTCGAACAAAAAGGTCCCTAAGCTTAAAAAAATCGTAGAAGTATCGCAGAAAATCGCAGATAAAATAATATCCCACCCACTCCAATCACCCCCACGGGTCAACCACTTGACTGACCAAGCTGGATTCCTAATTTTGTATGGTTTATGCGCGTTTTCTATTAAGGATATTTACCAGAGTAAGTATATATTTATGTGATTGCTAGATTTACTTCAATAGATGTTTGCACACAATTCTACAATGGTTCTGCTATTAACGATGAAGCAGATACATTTTGGTCTCGTAACGGGGTCAGGTCGATAAAAAACACATAGTCGAGGAATATGGGTAAATCGTCCGTCAATTCCACTCCACCAAAGCAGTAGATTCTGTTGGAATGAGGTACAAACACCATGGCAGGGGCCAAAAGAAAGATACTGTCAGACCTACGAAGTGGTAGATTTGCGACTTGAATGAATCTACTTTCAAAAGTACTTGGATCAAACTCATAAATTCCATCCGTGTAAATTGGATCAGCTCCAGTACTTATGACATGCCCTCCCAAGATGTAGATGAATTCCCCAGTATAAACAGAGTTTGGATAAGAATTATAAATGGGTAGTGTGGGTGGTCCAACAAACATGACGCGAAAATTATTGAGGTCCAATTGGAGAGCTTGTCTGTTGCTCTTTTGGTTATCATCAAAAAAATAAACCATGTTTCCCGCGCGATTTGCAGCTGCGCTATAGATCTGTGAAAATATTAATACAACGTTTGAAATATAAACTTAAATGCTAAATGTGAAAACGACGCTTGACCTATATTTTGGCATTGTTCAATTGAATCACATTGTGCGTTGTAATAGGTAAGCGCAAGAGGCGCAACAAAACAAAACATATTAGCACCAATTCTTATAAGGTACAAGACAAACCTCGAGCGGAAAGTTGGCCACAATTTCAGATCCATGATTTCATGGTAAAGAGGTGGATGTTATATCTAGCCAACATACAACCGTCGAACAGGTAAATGCTGTCGTTGCCATCATAGTAGGGCAATTTGCAACTGGCATCATCCGGGAAACGTACGTCAAGATATTGGGCTTCCAACAACTGAGCACTGGCAGAATTAAACATGTAAAGAGAGGCTGTAAGGAACAGCCTTGCCCCTGTAGGTAAGGTATACATTTTACCCACTCTTATTTTGAGTATTAGCAGGAATAACTTCTCTTACTTCGGCGAACTGTTCAACAAGTAAGCTACGATACAATTGACTTGTATAATTGCTATGATGTTAAAATATATATGGCTGAAGGAGGAAAATGCGATAGGTAACTTAAATCAATCAATCGACCCGGATGACTGATAAGAAATGTTGAGAGTCATGCGATAAATTAGGCCTCTGACTTAAATTTTGATTTATATGGGAAGGAAAACATCCAATAAATTAAGCTAAGTAATTTAAGAGGTGACGGATGACACAGAAACCACTGAGAATCATCTAATACAGTCATTTTCACGGGTGTTCCTGACATGTATGCTACAAACTCCAGGTGGAGATGGGAAATTGGTGGATTTTATTTGAGTCCAGTATACAACCGACGAAGAGGTAAACGCTGTCGTTGCCATCATAATAGGGCAATTTGCAATTGCATCATGGTGAAAATGTACTCCGAGATATTGGGCTTCCAACAAATGATCGCTGGCTGAATTAAATAGATAAACACAGACTGAGAGGAGTAGTTCTATGATAAGGGTATGCATTTTCCACCTATTATTTTTAGCAGGAATAGCGTACAAACCTGTGACTTGGTCTAGAAGCGAGTTACGAAATAATTGATGTGCATAATTACGATGTTACCCAAATATATTAAACCGTACAAAGAAAATATGATGGATAATTTGATCAGTCAATCATCACAATTGACGTCCGTGCTGAGATAAGAAATGCTGACTGCAAGGACAAAGTCATGCGACTTGGATTTTCCTCCAAATTAAATATTGACAAATTGAACGAGGAAAGTGCTTATTGAGTAATTTGACAAGTGATGAAAATATCTAAACCAGCAAGGGTTGTCAGGACAACAATGTAAATTACAATTGTAAAATTAATCAGTCTAATTTAGTGCTCATTTTCCTTATTATGTCCAAATTTAATACGAACGACAAGAAACAACCTCGTTGTCGCATGACTCCATCCCTGCTTTCATACATAGCCGCTTATCAATATAATGGCATAAATATTGATCGATTGATAATTATGTGAGTTGTTTTCCTCCTTCAACCAAATAAAATTGTCCAACCTCGCAGCTTATCGGTAATATCAACTTGTTCACTTTGAAGCATATATTATTTCCATAAGCTAAACACAAACGAAGAAATATGTCTGCTTTTACTTTAAGAAGGCCGGTATTTCTCTTAACAATGATTTACATTTCTCAAATCAATTTTTCTACCGCACAACTGTTACAAGCCGAATATTTCGATGTACGTTTTTCTGATTACGCCGGTTGTAAATTACCTTATTATAATGGGAACGACAGCATCTATCTCTTCGACGGTTGTCTAGCACCAGGGCAAAATAAAATTCACCTGTTTACCATCTCCAGCGAAACGATTGAGTTTGTTGCACCCATGACCGGTCTAGCTGTGATGGTTAACATCTTAGGTGACGATTTCGGTAACATGTATTATTTTAATGAGCAAGAAGTTTTTACGTTTGATCCAGTCGAGAAAATAAGCACATCAGTCACTAGGCTCTCGTCCAGAATAGTTGACAGTCCGGTGTTTTGGGATGACCAAAGTAACAATACCAGGATTTTCATGTCTGGCATGGGTTCCAGTGGTCGCTCTGTGTATAACGTTGAACTTGAATATGGAAGCTATGAATATGTGGCAACGTTTTCGATGCCGGTTTGTATTGAATTCTTTTTTAAATTCCCCAAATATTGAATTCATACTCTAAGGGTTGTATGTGTTAGTACAGATTTATGGATCCGCGTCAAGTCAGATTGGGAACCACGTGTACCTTTTTGACTCAGGGGAAACGACAAACAGACAAGCGTTCAAGTTAGAGTTGGACACTCTTCGTGCCGGGCTAGTTGGGCAGCCAACTCTTCCGGGTTATAACTTACGACCTAACTCCGTCTATGATGGATCATTCATCTACATCTTGGGAGGACATTCAACACTAAATGGAACTGATCCTGTTTACACCCACGGAATTTATGAATTTGATCCTACCACATCTGACAATAGATTCATCCCAGTTGCTGATCTTCCACTACGAAATTCAGCCAGCATCTTTAATTTTGCTCCTGCCATGGTGTTTGTACCACACGTGAACAGAATTTATTGCTTTGGTGGGCACGAAAGTACGGACTCATCAGTCATATCACTCAACACTGTATTCTACATCGACTTGACCCCTTTAAGGCGATAAGAGTGCAGTTTAACTAATTGCTAGATTTGACTTGGCGTTATACAAATTTATATATTACCCGCTAGCGGGAGCTTAGAAATTAAAAATCTTATAACACTAATTCTATAAGTTCTTCTTTCTAAAAATTGTAATTATAAAATTTGAGAAATTATAGGGATTCCAAATAATCATAAAAATTTTGCAAGTGCGCTACACGAGCGTTTGAGAACTCTATATTCCAAGATATCTATAACATGGACAATCACAACTGAAATAATGTAATTTAATAGAGTCTCTTTAATAGAGTTTAAGGAACTCTCGTATGCTACCTTTTCGGAATTCAAGTAGTGCGGACGGGATGAAATAGAAGATAAAACTCAGCAATCATCATGTTTGCCTCCATAGGTTTACAGTTATAATAATTGCAAAATAATAACCAGTAAAGTGTAAATTTAATATGCATAAAAATTTGTCTGTAGAGAGATTGGATGCTTTGTGGCGTAATCAAAATCATACCGAACTTGGGTTATCTTCCAGATATTTCATCCCGTCCGCACTTCTAAAATGCGGATTTCTAAGATTACATAAATTATAAATACATATTTTTCTACGAAGGTCAAATCTGTTCCCGTGAGTGATACGAAATTTCAATATTTTTTATATAGTATAATATAATAATTTATTCTTGAAAATTCTTACAAGGCTCATAGCTCATGGAATTACAGGTCAGGTTACATCCTAAAGCATTAAATAACGGATCAATAATACTACAATGACAATTATTTCGTTGCAAAATTATCCTGCGGGTTCTCGCTTAAAAACATTCTACTAAATAAGGAATATTTTTCGGGTATTTCGGGTGGCATTTACATATGTAGATAATATGTACCTATTTACATAATATGTAAATATGTACATTTTGGGCCACTGAAAATTAATAATCAACCAATCCGCTTATTTAATTAAGACCTCGCTGGTTAATTTTAAAATGGCATACTTAATTGAGCAGATTAATAATTATTAATCTGCTCAATTAAGTATGCCATTTTTCGCGATTTTACCACCAGTAACCATTTTAATTGGTAGATAATTAATTAAGTGTTACTTAACATATAGATTTTTAGTAAATATTAGTTATACCATAACATAAATTGTATTCGATCTTGTTAAATATTATTGACACATTTGAGAGCTTTACTAGTTTATTAACGAATAAAGATGACGATTACAAAATAAGTGAAATGTAATAATTTAAATTGAAGCTTAACTAATTTCCAGAATTATGATCTGCAGCTTGCACTGTTCCACGCCGAGTTGGATTTTTTTAGTATGAATATTTATTTATTTACTGTCAGATAAGTTGTCAAAACCGATTTTAAGATGAGACAAAGTACAATTCATTCGCTGCAGTTTTCTGAATTTTTGTTCGCATTACTTGTATTTGTCTCAACAGTATGTAAGTAATTCATTGGGTAACTAATAGTTCTGTATTTGTCTCAACTTGCCTCAATTATTTCAACTTTCATTTGTCTCCGTTTTCTCATGTGTGTGCTGTGCTTCTAAACCACTGACTTGGATAGTATACATACTAAACATATATTATACTCTTATGGTATTAAAGTTGCCACCGCTGGGTATTAAAATTATTTGCGCACTAATTTCGTGCAGGTGTGTTTTAACTGCAGAAACACTGCTGCATATCTTTTATAAGTTAGTTTGCCTTGATTGACACGTTTTTTACATCATTTTCAGTACGTACTTTTGTAATTACATATCATCATACCCCGGACAAATATTTTTTTATCCTACCCTACTCGTGTTGAGCTCAACATGAGTAGGGTAGGATAAAAAAATATTTGTCCGGGGTATGCATATCATGCATGAATTAACGGATTTTGTTTAAATGAAAACCACTTTTTACTACATAAAAGTATGTAGTTGATTAATAAATAGTAGAATCTTGCCAGAAATTTATATAAACAAAAACGGTACAGCTATAGATAAAATGCAATTCTGTAAATTTTTTTTTGCTCGATTTGAACGCCAAAACACAAGTTGAAGGTGTGCAGAATTTATTTGATTCTTCATTAGTGGTGGCGTTGATGACATCACATTTTATTTTAGACCACTATTTTTGACTTTTCATCTCACTCCAGTTATTCACATTATTTCATTTTCGAAAAATTTCTTCTCCTTATTCGTTTGAAATTTAAATTCCGGAAGTAGAACGATGCTGTCAAAGGCCGCTCATGGACCTTCTCACGTCGCCGGAAATACCAACCAGCGGGTTATCGCTGACACCGACACGGCAACATCAATCATAACAACCGAAGTCATTGGTCAGGAAATGTAACCTCGAGTGGTCCTTATATTCTTAAAAATCTGTTAAAGATAAATTCGATGAATAATAAGAGAAAAATTGTAAGATTTATATACATATGTGGGCAGTGCCCACATTACATAAAGTGTGGGCACTTTATGTAATTTGATATGTTATGTACTTCAGAATTTTTAAAACTGAAATTAATTAAAATTTAAAAACTATCTGGTAAACATTTCCGACTTTGTTTTTAAAATAATTTTTCACAAATCATAATTTTTCAATAATAACTTTTTTTAGATGACTCATCCGCGAAAATTCGCACATTTTTAATCATTTCTCGGCTCTGGGAATATATTTTAAAATTCTGGTCGACGTAGAGGGTATGCATCCAATAAAATCCTGTCTCAATTTGCCTCAACTATTTCTCAACTTGCATTTGTCTCAATCTTCCCAACTGTGCATGTGCACTTATCTTAATTTACAAGTTTTTCCCCCATTTTACGCATATACGCTGCTACTAAACGGATAATTCATTCATGCTTTGCATACAATGTTAGAAATCTGGTTTAGTCAGGCAGGTATCGATTTCTCTGTAAAAAACTTGCTACCGCCTGGTATTAAAAGTATACCGGTCCCTAAAAATTTGCTACCGAAATGATAAAATTTCAATACCGAACTGCTACTGCAGGGTATTACTCATCAATACATTGCGGTAGAGTCATAGATGAATACCGCTGGGTATTATTTTAAAACTGGATTTCTAAGAGTGTATATATAAATCTGGTAGAGTCAGGCAGGTATTGATTTCTCAGTGTTAAACTTGCTACCGCTTGGTATTAAGATTATACCGATCCGTAAAAAATTGCTACCGACATGGTAAAACTTTAATACCGAGCTATTACTAGACAGTATTACTTATCAATACCACTTTGATAGAGTCATATATGAATAATACCGCTTGGTATTAATTTAATACCGGATTTCTAATACACACATTGAGAATGTTGAGACTGCCTGGATAAAAAAGAGTGCTGTTAAAGAAAACATCAGCCAATTACTTAAGATGAGACCCAGCTAAATACAAAATTTCAAGGTCAAGAAGTTTTTACTCAATATTATGTCGAAAAGGTGGAAAATATTCGCACTGCTCGTGGCAAGTGGTACTATTTGGATTTTCGTTTCTTTCGGTAAGTAAGAAAATTTAAGGCTTATCTGCTCGTCTGATAAGGGTTTCATCTTATCATTCATAGCGTTATCTTTCTCACTAAAAATATGCACAGGATGGTCCTCTCGGCCGGGTATCAGTTCCCCGATGGCAGCCCCCATCACCCCCGCTTCTAATACCGGGTGGGTAATAAAATATACTGTGTGTTGACCTCTGTTCTTCCCAGGGTTTGGATTTCCGGGAGCTGTTACACCCATAAAAAGACGAAAATCTACATGGAGAAGGCAACAGTCGTATGAAAATACAGATTTTTTAAAGAAATTCGCTTTTTATCGATGTCAAAGTTCTTTTTTTTTAAGAAAATCATGAAAACAATGTATTTTGACACCAATGAAAAGTTACTTTCTTCACAAAACCTGCATTTTCAATTTTCGTGCGAGTGCTGTACACATTTGTAAAATGTACATAATAATATAACATCTATTAGTTTTGGATTGGGTACGAAATGGATGGTTTAGTTGTGCAGAAATTTACTGAAATTTGCACAAATTTAGAGAAATGTACATACAATTGTAAGAATTTGGTTGCATTTAATTTCAAAACTTTAGGTTACACTTGATTCAGAACTTTTTCGGTATTTAAGAAATGTAATTTTATTCTGTACATATGCAAACATTGTTCTTCGTCTACATATATGTATTTAGTATCAAATATGTGATATATAAGTACATATAAAATTGAGAAATTGCATCTGCATCAAGACTACGAAATGATAAGATTTTAAATCTCAAATTCCTGAATTTTGTTACTTTATTTCGCCGATTTCAGAATTTTAACGCATTACAAATTACAATTTAATTTCTAGGTTAAGCTTCGTAATTGGAGGTTTGAACAAAAAAACATTGTTATCACGATTTTTTAACAGTAAAGTATTTTGGCTGACAGCGATAAAAAAATGTAATTTATAATATTTTCATAATAAAAATACCCGCTTTGTGAGAAACTTATTTTTTTATCGCTGTCAAACTACTTTATTTTTAAAAAATCATGACAATTTTTTTGTTTAACACTTTGATGTTGAATTTAATCTGAAATTTAAATCGCAATTTGTATACGTTGAAAATTCTTAAATTGGCGAAATAAACTACCAAAACTAAGGAATTTGAGATTAAAATCATATCAGTTTATAGTCCTTGATGCAATTTCGAAATTTTAAGAGTATTCGTATATCACATATTTCGTTATGAAAATATATACACGTTTTTTTGAAGAAATTAACACCCTACCGCGGTCAAAATACTTTATTTATTTTTTAATCGTGAAAACAATGCATTTTGAAAAGTTAGCTTCTTTGCAAAACCTGTATTTTCATACCACTGCTGCCTTCTCCACGTCTTTTTATGGGTGTAACGGGTATTCCGACCCCGGGTTTTACTGGGTTGGGGATTTGGTGTTTTACTGGGTTTTAAAGTAAAGTATAGTAAAACGTATAGTTTTAAAAGGGGTTTTACTGGGTTTTACTCGGGTTTTACTAAGTTTTATCTAAAATTAAAATAGATAAATCAATAGAATCAGTTTGTAGGTGCATATCTAACTCGAATTAAGTACTCTGATTAATATTCCGTAAATTTCTCTATTTATTTCAAATTTTTGTTTATGATCTAAAAATCATAATTTACAGCGTAACTTGGAGTTTGAACAAATTAGTATTTTTTGTGTTTCTGGCATTTTGAATTTAATTTTTTTGATAAATCGTGATAAAATTCATTAATTTAACAAATTGGCGTAACATTGTAAATTTTATTACTTCACCCCAAACATTGAGTAAAACTAGGCTTTCCCACGGGACGGGATAATCCCGTCCCGTCCCGTCGGGACGCGGGACGGGACTCGGGACGGGACAAGATTTTTCGTCCCGAAGAATCTCGGGACGGGACGAGGTCATCCCGTCCCGGTCGACCGCGGTCTATCCCGGTCGGGACGGGACGTCCGGAACTTAAATGTTTTTCTCAAAATTCACTCCCTTTATTGACAAAACTAACAATATCGTACGGAAATCTTTCTCATGCGTTGATTCTACATACTGTAATTTTGTATTTTAAGCATATGCATACATATAGTTACATACACATGTGTGATATTTTACCTTGAGCCAGTTTTTCATATCATGCCCAACATTTTAAAAATTTGACACGGTTAGTTATTTCTTAATAATTCGTATTTACATATCACCTAAAAATTATTTTCACCATAAAAAATCAACAAATCTAGATTTTAAGATTAAACAAACAATAGTTATGACTTTTGATATGCAGGTTATATGTAGTATTATGTAGGTCGAAATGATGACGATTTCTCAACTTTAAACTATAAATAATCAAAACTAACATTTAGAAATTATTGAGATTTGACCGATCGGTGGGAGTGGAAATTTGTCTTGTGTGATTTATGTAGTTAGAAAATAAAGCAGCAACCCATACTCACAGCGAAGCTTGTTCATATTTATAAAGAGGTGAATTTCAATGTAAATAAAAAAACTTCGGGATATCCCGTCCCGTCCCGTCGGGACAAGTCTCGGGACGGGACTCGGGACGGGATGACCTCCATCCCGTCCCGTCCCGAAAGTCTCGTCCCGGTCAATCTTCGGGACGGGACGGGACAGCGAAATCCCGTACCGTCCCGTCCCGTGGGAAAGCCTAAGTAAAACCCAGTAAAACCCAGTAAAACCCCGGGGTAGTTGTTTTCAGAGTAAAACCCCGGGTTTTTCCGAACCCTGACCTCCGGAAATCTAAACCCTTGGAAGAACGGAGGTCAAAATACTGCACATGCATTTTGACCAAAATAAAATAGCATACACAAAGTATTTTACTCACCTTTGTTAATTATTATTAGGAAACTGAAAAGAAGCATGAAACTTGACGAAAATGGGAAATATCTTCCGTTTTACGGTTACACGGCACTCTGTATGGTCGAACATCCTCCCAGTTTCGGTCGACAGATTGAAGATTTCATCCGATCCTCCAGCCTGGGTCGGTTCTACGCTGCACTTCCGCATGACACGTATCACGTGACGATATTCAACATCTATACGATTCAATATCAAACAATTCCTCCGGTCGAGAGGTGGGTGGAGGGCATATGAAATCGGTTTTCCCGATTTTAAAATCGGACGAGCCTCGGTTTTACAGTTTTCAAAAAACCAGTTTTAAAGTCCTAATTTAAAATCAGAATAATCGAAAACCGGTTTTACAAAAATTTTTAAAAATCTAAATAATAATAAAGTGTCTTTGTTTAAAAAATTTTCACATATGTAGGAAGAATCGAAAAGCAATTTTTAGAAAATTTTTGTAAATTTAATTAATCGAAACCAGTTTTTTTAGATTAAAAAACTAGAATAATCGAAGACAAATTTCCAGAATTTTTTAAGTCGGAGTAATCGAAAAGCGATTTTTAGAAAGCTTTTTTAAATTTATTAATCGATACCTGGTTTAAAAAAAATTAAAACCCAGAATAATTGAAAACCGATTTTATAAAACTCAAAATAAATCGAAAACCGGTTATACAAAAATTTTAAATAGCCCGAATAATTGAAACCCGATTTTTAAAAATCTCCCGGTTTTGAATTCCCTTTAGGTGGGTGAAGGAGAAAGGCGGCGTCATCCCGAACAATTCCTGGCTTCCGGAATACGTTCTTCACAAGCAACACGTCCAAGCCACCAACCTCCTCGCCGCCGTCACGCCATCCTTTCCCATCGAAACCGTCGAATTCCGGACTCCTTCCGACTACGCAGGCTTATCCATACTCGTGACCGCTCTTCACCCCGATTTTAACCACGAGATAACCCAACTGAGAGAGAAACTTGGCACAATTTATGAGCATGACGACCCAGGATTGGCCAAGATGGGATTTCACATCACTTTGGCATATGCCTACAAGCAACTCCAAATTTCAGACCAGGTTTCTCAAGATTTGAACATATTGAGTGACATGGTTCAAAAATTTGTCGAATTCAGGCTCATAAATCACGGAGTTTATTTGTACGATAGCATGACCAACTTTATTCTTTGGACGGATCGAAAAAATTAATACTCAAATTTTATAAAGTTATCTCTTGAATATATGAAACTCGAATAAAATAGTAAATTCTTCAAATTTAAGGCGTTACGTTATTTTAATTATTTAGTTTTTGGCCATTTCCGACATTTATTTAACATTACATACAGAATTTTGTCAAGATTTTATATGATTATTTATTTTATATGTATATTTATTAATCAATTATACATACATATTTGCAAATCGAGGTACGACGTTAAGTCGCAATAAAAGATTATGTAGCTGCTGTTACATACATACGTTTTATATATAAAACCACAGCGAGATATTTTTGTACGGTATGAAAAATGGGGTTCACTGAAGTCTGGTAATAAGTTTAGAATAATGAAATATACACAACAAAAACTATTTTAAGAAATTCCTTAAAAAGATATAGGGACAACAATGAAAGAACGCCGCTTTTCTAAGCGTACATATGTATTTCACTTTGCATGAAATAGTTTGAAAATTGAAAAGATACGCGTCCTAAATAGTTTCGTAATTATTACAAGTATTATAATAATGTAAAGTGACATGGATATAAGATGATTCTAAACAAAATTAGTAAATTGGATCTAAGAAGTATCCTATTTTTTTTATATACATACACTAAATATTTGTGACATTGATATATCATTTTACGTCCAAAAATTCACTTTTTTCGAAAGTATTACATCATCACATTATAATAATATATGTTGTAGTTCAATTAATAAATTACTAATATTCAAATTATAAATAGTTAAACTAGAAAGTAAAGTAGGAACACTAGTTTTTTAACGATACAAATACCTACGTACATTTTTTTGGCTTGGGTTTTACAAGTAAATTGGGCGAAAACCTGTACGGGATCTCCTCAAGAGATGAGTGAATCACTCTACCTGACTTTCGCCACCCTTCAAAACGTACGTGCTTATCAGCACACATCATTTCTTATATTATATGATAAGTACATATCTATGCTTATTTTAGTCAGCCACAGCTACCACATTGTTTAGATAAATACCACAAATATGAGCACCAATTCTTACACACTCGTTCACAATAGGATTAGTTAAGTGATTAATTTTCAGACAATACTAATAATTAACTAATAAGATAACTAATAAGACAATACTAATAACTAACTAAAAAGACGTGCACAGTCAGGGCATATTTCGATTGCATGTAAAAGGTCACAAAAACCTATGAAAAAATCGGCATAATATCGCGACATAGTTTTATAATACCTATATTGCATTAAAATGTACGGCACATGGAAGAAGTAAAGAAGCCGGTGCCTCGTAAGGCCGGCTCGGACGCGTGCCTCAGTTTCGGGGCAGAATTTGTCATCCGGGTGGCGACTCACGTGTACCAAGGCGGCTTGACGGGTCCACTGGGTCGTGTAGCTGGGACTGGACTGGGGTGGAGTGGGGGGCTGAAATGCATGAAAACTATGCGAAATTAGATAGGTAATTAAGGTAAAAGTATGCAAACAGCGTTTCGGGTGAAAGTAACCAAACCACGTGCAAGAAATAACGGGGAGAAAGTGGTAAATATTTTGATCTGGGAGAAATGCAAGAAAATACGCCTCGCTGCTATAAATACTTAATACTGCGCGTGGCTAAATGGCGCTGAGTTCTTGTACTTTCTCCCAGTTTCTTGCACCTCGCAATTTTTTTTTGCGTTTCTTGCAAGAAATGTAGCAAATCTACCCACTCGTAAGTAACCACTTGCAAGATATAATTGCAAAATAGTGGTTTCTTACAGCTATTTTGACCAGAAAAAAATTCAAGGCGCTAAAAACTACGCCGCGCCGCGCATACTTCATACCGCGCGTGGCTGGATGGCCCATATTTCTTGCACTTTCTCCCAGCTTCTTGCACCCCGCATTTTTTTGCTTTGCACTGCAAGAGATGTAGCAAACCAGCAAGAAAAACCAGTGGCCTCAGAAGCTGTGGGGACATCGGGGGACATTGTCATTGTAGAATGGGGGGGGGGAGGAAAGGGTTTGCATAAGATGGGGAGATAATACGGACATCGAACAACTGTGAGGACATTGTCCCCTCAAACTTCCGCGGCCACTGCATGAAACGAAACATTATTTGTAACAAAATCGTACCATGACATCGCCATAGCTTGCGGCCAACACGTTGCGCCGGTCGGGTGAAAAGCTGCTGGCCGATGAGACGCTTCCGGGAGAACCATTCGGAGGAGGAAGGGAACCCGGGCTTCCGTTGTGCCGAGCGGGTGACGCCGCCGCCGTGGCCGACCCGGTCCTCCAGAACACGGAGTTGGGACCAACCGTTATCTGGCTCACGTGTTGCGGGGACGAAGGGATCCAAGGCCCCTAATTAAATTACAAGCAGTGTTGACAAATTGCAAGAAATAAGGGGAAGAAGAAAGTGGTTTCTTGCAGATAAATATTTAGACCTGGGAGAAATGCAAGGTGCAAAAAAAACTATGCAACGCCAAGCATATTTCATACGGCGTGTGGTTAGATGGCCCATATTTCTCGCACTTTCACCCAGTTTCTTGCACCTCGCATTTCTTTCTTTTCTTGCTTTGAAGTGCAAAAAATTTGGCAAAACCACAAGAAACTAAACATTGGCAAGTAACCACTTGCAAGAAAGTGTTTTTTTTGCAGCTAAATATTTTGACCTGGGAGAAATTCAAGGCACAAAAAACCACGCCCCGCCGCTATAAATACTTCATACGGCTCTTGGCTAGATGGCACATATTTTTCGCAATTTCTTACACCTCACATTTTTGCATTTTGAATTTTTTGCACCTCGCATTTTTACATTTTGCATTTTTTGCAATTTTTTGCACCTCGTATTTTTACATTTTGCATTTTTTGCAATTTTTTGCACCTCGTATTTTTACTTTGCAATACAAGAAATCTAGCAAACCCGCAAGAAACGAAACACTTCATGTAAAGAAATATTTCTTACCATTCCGCTCACGTTACCACTTCCGGCCAGCACGTTGCTGCGGAGCGGTGAAAAGGGGGCACTTTGGGCCGAGACGATGCTTCCAGAACGTGAATGGAGAGGGGAGCCATCGTTGGGAGGAAGGGATCCTGGACTTCCGCTGTGCCGAGCGGGTGACGATGTGACCGAATCGCCCCTCAAGAAAACAGAGTCAGAACCCTCCAAAGTCATCCGAGCGATTTGGAGTGACAAGGAGGACGACGCATCCGAGGACGGAGATCGGTCCCAATTCTGTTACATGTTTAAAATAAAATTATATAAATTATAAACAGTGGCCGCGGACATTTTGGGACATTGCCATTGTATGATACGGAAGGGATGGGTTTATATAAGATGGGGAGATGATGCGGACATCGAATAACCGTGGGGACATTATTGTCCCTCTTTTGTCCGCACCCTTCCCCGGCCAATGGTTTACGGGGGTAAGTAACCACCAAAGCAGTTTTTTGCAGATATTTTGACCTGCGTGAAATTCAAGGCGCAAAAGAAACTACGTTTCAATTCATACGGCGCATATTTCTCGCACTTTATTGCACCTCGCATTTTTTTGCGTAGCTTGATTTGCAGTGTAAAAAGAAATGTGGTAAATCTTTGAGAAGCAAGAACGTGCCAGTTGCAAGAAATAAGTGGTTTTGAAGGTATTTTGACCTGCGTGAAATGCAAGGCGTAAGAAACTACGCTATAATTCATACGACGTGTGACAAGATGGCGCCTATTTTTTGCACTTTCTTTTGCACCTCGCATTTCTCTTTGCAGGGCAAGAAATGTAGCAAATCCGCAAGAAAGTATAAAAATTATTTGTTAAAATTAAGAAAATTTACCTGACTCCCGGGGGAAGAAGAAGAAGACGAGAAAGACATGTTTGTTTCCTGCCAAAAACTTGCCAAAAGTTTGAAAATACTTGTTTAAAAATTGCAGAAAATATGGAATTAACTAGGATGCACAGGTTTTCAAAGCGAGAGAATAAGAATGATTTGGAGACGGAGAGAGAGGATGTGCGTCCGATAACTTTGTATGGATCAAAAAATGAATGAGATTCTCTGATATCGGAATTTTTCATAGGATTTGGAACGATACGAGTACATACATACATAAAATAAAACCAAACGTAGCAATAGCGTGAAACAAGTAATTTCCCCCCAAAAATTATGTGACCTCGCCCCCTGACCTCGAGCGAGGTGGTCCGATTCACCCCTAAAAGAAGCTCCCCCTGTGATCACATGTATAGTGCCGCAAACAGATTTTGGTTATCTCAATACCTTCTCCCGTTATCGTGATGATAGCCGGACGGACGGACGGACAAACAGACGGACGAAGTCTTTGTTTAATAATATTTGTAAGGTTTCACCCCATAATAAATATTTTGTATGAATTTTAAACCTTTTCCTGTGAGTGATATGATGCTTTGAAAAGAGAGAGAGAGATATCGAAATTTTGAATGGGATTTGGAATTTCGCGAGGGATAAGTGCATATCCAATGTTAGAAATCTAGTATAGGAATTGATTTCTTGGTATGAAAGTTGCTACCGCTTGGTATTAAAATTACCTATACCGGTCCATAAAAATTAGCTCCCGATATCGTAAAAAGTTTAATACCTCAGTATTACTACACGGTGTTATTACCTATCAATACCACTTCATGCATGAATACCGCCCGGTATTATTTTAATACTGGATTTTTACCCTGTTAGAAATCTGGTATAGTCAGGCAGCTATTGATTTCTCGGTGTTAAACTTGGTATTAAAATTATACCGGACCATAAAAATTTGCTACCTATCTCATCTCATAAAACTTTAATACCGACCTATTACTGCAGGGTATTACTCATCAATACCATTTTGGTAGAGTCGGGTAGACATATTTACATATATATGTGTAGATATGCAAATATGTGTGACTAATAAAGTGTTAGTATGATCCCTGGGTCCCTGGGTCCGTCTTCGCAATGCAAATTGCCCCATACAGTAGACAAAGAAGGAAGCGGAGCAACCACTGCATGCATGCACTGCACTGCATGAATAAATGAATACATGAACATGTACACCCCACATACATACATCACTCATCAATAGTGGTTATCATGATAAGTGATCGTGATAAACACTATTAATTAATTATTTTAGTTTGAGAAACTCTACCCACAGCGAGTGGCATGTCAATTCGAATGTATTTTTGACGCTGAATCCAACGCCGTCAATGGTTTTGACCTGCGAGGCCCCCGTGACCTCGCCGTGACCGTGGTGTCCAAATCTGGCTTATTCGTGATGTCGCATATCAATTCGAATGTATTTTTGCCGCTGAATCCAACGTCGCCAATAGCTTGGCGTTAATTGTAGAAGTTAACGGGGTTTATGGAACTTAACGGGAGCGTGAAGCGTGGGAATTTAAATAGTTAGCTATGCAGTTACTCCCACGCGACGGGAATTTAAGTAATTAGCTATTCAACTACTCCCACAGGGGGAAATCAAATTTTACTGTGACCAGGTTAATTAAAATGCAGTATGACTTGGGCAAACCCTCAGTCTGATGTATGTATGTAGTATGACAAAGTCTCCACTGGGAATTATTTAAAATATAGTATGACGGATTTTTCGCTTTGGGCACACCCCCCACTGGAACTCTAGAACCCGGCCTTGGCCGGGCTATACGCTAGTGTGTGATAAAGCCTGCCCACAAGTAAATAAATATTTTATACATTTTGTCCCACAGAAAATTAATTAATACACTTATTTAATTAAGAACTTACTGACTAAACTAATTCATCTATTAATCTGTACGTATGCTAAATATGATAAAATTACACGCCAACAACATTTTTGGCATATAATTTGGTGGCTTGACTTGACACCGGTTAGTTGACGGATTGGCTGTGATTTCATTGTTATTTGATTAACAATGCGTCTCATTACGAGCGATAAGAACTTTGGACTTTGGAGATGTCGGGTTAATTTGGATATTTGATTGAGAAATACAAATATTTAAATAGTTTCATTGTGCATTAGTAGTTGGTTAAATAAGTACGTTCATGAGTGCACAAAAAATGTCTCATATTTTGTTTGGGAAGTAATTAGCAGGTTATAATCGTTGGCAACAATGGCATATTTATAATGGGGACGTGTTAAAAAATCGTGGAGGTCCTCATCCCTATTGTTATGGGAGGATAGAAGATTTTTAGGTTCTTTTCATTGTAGTGCCAATGAAAATCTGAAAACAGAGGCTGTTATACATTTTGTATGTAAAAATGTTACACACGCGATATTTTACTTAAGGTGGTATAGTATGCGGGTTTTGAGTTTGAATTATTGTGTCTCAACTTTCCCTTCCTCCATGTATTCAAATGGCGATTTTGAAACATGTTCATCGCCGTTCGTTTTTTACAATATGAAACTTTTAATGCACCTAAAAATCGGTAATTTTTAGGCTTACAAAGTTAGGAGATACAAATTTTGATTTGTTTTCTTCAATGAGGAAATATTGAATTTTTATTGTTTATTTTCCATCTATTTTATATTTATCTTCTGGTTGAAGAAAAAAATCAAAATTTTTATCTCCTAACTTTGTAAGCCTAAAAATTACCGATTTTTAGGTGCATTAATATCTTCATATTGTATAAAATATAGCTTGAAAAAGTAAAAAGTTCTAAGGTGAGGAAGTGCACTTAAAAGTACTAAACAAGCTCCCTCCGCTACCCAGATAATTTTACTTCGCCTGAGCTGTCTGCTGCATGCAAAATATCGACAATAAAATTTCGGCGTCACGTAAGAAAATAAAGATCAGATTTAATTTCTTGGTCCAAAGTTAACTTTTGAATTGGTTAATATCCAGATCAACATTGCTGGGTGGTAAGGGTATTAGCTATTATCATCATTTGCTGGTAATTATTACATATGGTTCATCATCCGTCCCCAAATATTTATTAATTATTTGTATAGCTAGTTCGACATCGTGCTCGTTGCACATTTAAGTCAAAATGTATGTACTGATAAACCGTATAAATTGTAAACCTATAGTATACAGTACAAGACAACAATAATTGTTTCTAGAATTGTTGGGTGACTCTTTGAGCGACTTATTTACAACCGATTTTTATTTACACCAGATATTTTGCATGAAGAATACTACCATTTTAATAGGTAGATAATTAATTGGTTGTTAATTAACATACAGATTTTGAGTAAATATTAGTTATACCATAAAATAAATCGGAATCGACCTTGTTAAATATTCTTAGCACATTTGAGAGCTTTACTCGTTTATTAACGAATAAAGATGACACCTACAAAATAGATGAATTGCATTATTGCATAATTTAAATTGAAGCTTAACTTATTACCAATTAAGAATTAAGATTTGCATAATATCTCCAATTCGGACACTGTTCTACGCCGAGTTGGATTTTTTTGGGAATATAAATATTTATTTATTTATTTTATGCCAGATATTAAGTTGCCAAACATGTCTTTCAGATAACATGCAATTTTCTGAATTTTTGTCCGTTTTTTCATATAATAATAATAATAATAATAATAATAATAATAGCCTTTATTATCCTCATTTACTAGTACTAGGGAATGCACAAAAATGAATTTAGCATAGCACACTAGCCTATTTTCGTGAGCTTACATCCTATTTAAGCCATTACTACTACCGTCAACGACGTCAAATTATAAATTTAACTAGATGAACAAAACAAAACTAACTCGCTACCTACTGGCGCGACTATGTTGGTTGCATACCAAGACTAGTAATGTTTGTAAAATTTAGATACATATAAGATAATCCAACCCCAATGTGCCTCCGCATTCGATACGAATTCGTTCTAAAGTCGTCGCCCAAATTCGGAACGCACTCCGGATTTGTCGCCCTAGTTGTGCCTGGTACGAATTCGAAATCCGAATTCGAATCGCCTGCGTAGGCTCGAACTCGGAACGAATTCAAAATGCTAATTCTGATCGTCATCGTGGCTTCGAACTCAGTACGAATTCGGGAGCCGACTCCATTCCGATGCTCTTCGGATTAGTGAATTATATATCTTAAAATATGCTTTATGATGATGCTTTTTAATAAAATATAAAGTCAGTGCACACGTTAATGAATATTTTTATTTTTATTGAATGTAACAATGGAACTAACAAGAACTCGCTGTTATAAGGTAATCTAATATATTTAAACAAGAAATCTTCTGGTTCAAGTACCATATTAACAGGTTCTGATAAACCGGATGAAAAGTAAATTTTTAAATTAGAACTATCGAAGGGATAATATTGGACAGAGTGTAGATTTAAAATCTGTTGACATGTATATTCGACAGAATCATTCTTTCTATAAGTATAATTTTGTAAAATTACAATTCCACCAGACCTAAGCATGAAGCAGTTATTTCCATTCTTACAGCTAGATTTAGGGGAGAATTTTTTATTCTCAGATATTTTTTGTATCGCATTCATATCTTGTCGGATAACAGTCTCGCGATGATATCGTCTAAATCTCGTCCCCCAACATAACCAAGTTGAATACTCTGAAAGTAATGACACTTATGTAAGTAATAAAATTAGGGTTGTATTCATAAATTGCCTATGATTCACCTACCAATTCTTCAATGTTCGACTGATCCCGCTTAAGCCAGTCACTCAATTTGTAAAAATCCTCTTTATTACAAACCGGTAGTTTTGGATGATCCAGCTGAGCACGCGTGGTACACGTGGAGCAAGTGTTGAAGTTCGACGAAGCAACTCGACCAATGTTTCGTTAATTTTTACTAACTCCTTCACCACCACTGCCTGTAAGTCTACGGACACAGACGGCATAGATTGTACTCATTATTCAATGACACTGTTTAGGAAAAATTAGTACAAACGAGTAGTAGAAATAATTACTTACTTTGAGATTCAGTCTTCAGATCTCGAACCAGTGTCACAAGTTCTGCAACAGTTTCTGGATTCGTAATCTCAACATAGGAGAATGTCGTTTCGTTATTGCCTGATTGATCAAACAAATTCTCCTCCGCCTGGGAAGAATTATGAGATTGTGGGAGGGCCGACAAAGGCTGAACTTGAGAATTTGTGCTGAGACTAATGCTGGGTGCTGGAACATTACCACAATGTTATTATATAAATTTATCCCAATTTAATGTGTACTGAAACAGAATAAAAATTGCTCACTGGTCGGGATAAATGATGTGACCGGTAATGTTTCACATTCTTCAGACGACAAGCTGCTCTCGTCAGAACTGGTCGACTCGGAATATTTTGTAGAGGGAGTAGATTTAGCTGCGGATTGCCCTTTTCGCGTATTTCTCTGTTTTTTATGAGTTGTTTCCTCAAATTCTGATGGAGGTATCTTGTCGGTAGATTTAGCCGCAATACATCCTTTCCTTGCTGACTTAAGAGAATCTGCGAACCGACAAATGTTTAAATAATTGAAATTATATCTCTAAAGGTTAATATAAAAGTATTGAATCCCCAAATCTGCTCACAAAGCCAAATGCATGGTTATTGTATTATTGTGTAATTTATAATTTTTTTGTCATTACAATTTATATTCGATATTAAATTGTTATCAAATTACTTACTATAAGACATGAGCCACTGACAAGGGAATTTTGGCGCATCTAAATCTGCTGGAAGATTCTTACGCAATTTGTCCCCTGCGTTTGGCCCAATTGGCCACGAACAGATGGATTTGTCTTCATTTAACCACGATGAGCACACGGCCGCAACTGTATTTTCGTCATGAAAATTGACAACGGAGTACTTTTTAATTTCGCTGCTCATTATAAAATTAAATTTATCGACAAAAAATAAGACTACAGCCAAGGGAAGAATGGAGGAAGAATCAAAGTGATATGCCACTAATGCACGTGTTCTCTTCTCTCCTGGGGAGGATGATACAGGGTCGGATCGGATTCAGCGACGAGGATTCTGATGTAAAGCGTGCAGCCGAATTCGTTCCGGCTTCTCATGTCCGATGCCAAAACGCATATGAATATCTCGAATCGATTCAGAATCTGAAAGGAAACCCTTAAGCGAATTCGATATGAATGCGATACTACGCATTTAATCCTAATTCTGTTTTATGTCGTTACTAAGTCGGCGAATTCTGCTCCCCAAATCAGCATTTGGCCCGAATTCGTTATTAAGAGTCGTATCAACTTCGGGATTTCGAATTAAATTTGAATTCTGATGTTGGATCGGAATGAAGTCGGCGAATTCTCACGAACTAAATACGACGATTCCGACCTGAAACAGAATTCGTGGCGAATGCGGAGGCACATTGGGATATTTAACCAATTGACAAATTTTAATTAATAACTTACTTAAATTATAAATTGTGTTGGAAAAATGCACAAAAAACCAACTAAATTTTGAAATACCAACCAATTTTTGATTCCCCAACCAACCGAGGAGTGAGGGACATAGGCCGCGTGGTAATTCAGATTGTAAAAAAACACATTAAAATAAAGAATTAATAACAAATTTTGACTGGAATAGTTGACCAGCTTGATAAAGAACGATTTTCGCACATTGCCAATTAAAATTAATGTTATTACCAATTAAATTTAGTTAAAATTAATATAATATAAATAAATTTAGGAGAGCTCGTGCAAGAGCAAATCCTCCTCGGTTGGCGCGCAGAGGGGGAATGAATATATTTAATTCATTTGGTAAATAAATAATAATTAATTGTCTCAATTTGCCTCAATTATCTTAACTTTCATTTGTCTCAATTTTCTCATTTTTGCAAATTATTTTCGTAAAAATTTATCTAATAATTGCCACAAAATGCCGATCATTTCTAGAAAACGGGAATTTATAAAAGAAATTTGTGGAGCTGCTGATTACAAAATAAATAAAATGCAGTATTACATAATTGCAATTGAAGCTTAACTTGTTTCCAAAGAATTAGATCTGCATAATAAATCCAAGTCTGACAGTGTTCCACGACGAGTCGGAATTTTTTTGGGATCATGAATTTTGATTTCATTATTTTCAGATGAATTTCCCATAATCTTGAGATAATGTGCAGTTTTCTGAATTTGTGTTCGTATTTTCAACAGAATATATCTAATTCATTGGGTAAATAATAATTAATTGTCTCAATTTGCCTCAATTATCTCAACTTTCATTTGTTTCAATATTACGAATAAAAATAACAATTACAATAATTGAATTTTAATTATTTATTTACATATAATTATGATCTGCCTAATAATTAATTGTCTCAATTTACCTCAATTATCTAACTTAACTTTCATGTGTCTCAATTTTCTCATTTTTGCAATTTTATTGTCTCTCAACATCATGCGAGTTGAGACAGGTTTGTTGGATTTTGCGGGTTTTGGGTTCGAGTCGTGCACAGCGAACTCTCCACAAATTCTTTCATCTAAATTTCCAATTTTGCATATTTCAAGCCGGCATCATTTCTTAAATTCCTGTGCAAATTAAGCCGTTTTGGGACAAGACGTTCTCATCGTCCTTCGGAATCTTGGAATAGGTTTACAAGCTAATTCAACAGGTATTTATTAAGTAATTTAAGTAAAGAAAACAAAATGAGCAATTTTTCTTCAGATTAATTTTTCATTTTCTAATTAAGATTTTGTTTTTCTTCAAATGACAGGAATAATTGAGCCGTTTTGGGACAAGAGGTTTTCATCCTCCTTCTGAATCTTGGAATAGGTTTACAAACTGATACAATCAGGTATTTAATTAATTATAAAATCATTTTTAAACGGTTTTGTTTGAGGACTTGTTTTCAAAAAAACTATCCAGTTTTATTTTCTTCACTTGACCAATTAATTAATTATAAGAAAAGTAAACAACCGCATTAATAAATAAACAATTTTTCTTTATATTTGTTATTTATTTACTAATTAAGATTCTGATTCTCTTAAAATAACAGGAAATTGATCAGTGGTGGGACAAGACGTTTTGATTGTCATCTTCTTCCTGGATCTGGTAATGGACTATTACTAATAGTTTTATAAGCTAATACAATCAGGTATTTAATTAATTCTAGGAAAAGAAAACAATCGCATGAATGAGCAATTGTTCTTCTTCATATTACTATATATTTCCTAATTAAGATTTTGTTTACTTTTAAGATTTGGGACACGACAATTTCCTACTCCTCCTTCGTCTTCCGATAGCTTTAAGGAAATATAATCAGGTATTTAATTAATTATAAGAAATTAAACCAACCGCATTAATAAGCAATTTTTCTCCATATTTTTTATATTTACTATTAATAATTAAGATTTTGATTGATTTTTTAAGGAAATAGTAATTAATCAGTTTTGTAACAAGCCAATTTCCTCCTCCTGCATCTTCTAATAATTTTACCACCAATACATACAATCAGGTATTTAATTAATTCCAGGAAATAAACTGCAATTTTTCTTCATATTTATTTTACATTTACTAATCAAGATTTTGATTTCTTTGAAGGTGCTATAATTGTTAACTATAATTAACCAGTGAGGTTTGGGACAAGACAATTTCCTCCTCTTCCCGGGCCTTCTAATATATAGCTTTTCAATCAGGTATTTAATTAATTTAAGAAACGAAATAAACCGCATAAATAACCAATTAAATAGTTTGTCTTATAATTAATTAAGATTTTGATTCCTTTTAAAGCAACGATAAGATGGAGGTCAATCGAAACTCTGCCCAGCCAGTCCGACCCCCCACGATTCGCCCGGCCGGAGAAAGTGACGAGTACAGCAGTGACGGCGAAGGTTACGAAATGTCCGGTCCAGTCAGGAACAAGAAGAAGAACACGTTCTTCCCAAAACCAACCATCGTCCCGGCCAACACAAATGGACGAATTCATTATGACGAAGACGAGTGGGGATCGGTGCCTTCTTCAAATAATTATACGGATTATTATTCGTCACAACCCGTCCCGCCAGAACCGGTGGTTATCTCGACATCCGAATCAGCAAGGATTGCTTGTTCACGAGGCGAAATTAATAAGGTATTTTTAAGTTTATAGCGGTTCTTAATTGATGATTAACTTAGGACTCGGTACCAAAATCGTCAAAATCAACATATTTTTACTCATTTATCGCCTCTGGGAATTTATTTAAAATTCTGGACGACCAATTTGTAGTCAGTGAGTTGATTAATGGAATGGCGCTGAGTTTTTTAAGCCAGTTTCGATAAGGTTCAATTTTTCTGAAGGCTTCTTAAACTTGAGATCTCCTTCAAAAAGGGTCATAATCTGGAGTGTGTATTAAAAAACCTACAGTGCAGCCTTCATTTAGCCCGAGTCAGGAAGTTATTTGACAAGTTGAGAACCTCCCACTTCCGTAACCGAACTTCGCTTTCGTCAATACGCATCGTAGAGTTTTACAATATTTTATTCGTTGGCGAAGCTGATTTTTGGCACACACATTCCAAAGCTTACAATGAATTATGCTGTGAAAATCTAACGTTTTGAAGCGTGCGTTCTCTATTCTGTATATGATTTTGTGCACACCAAATAATTTTCACTGGTGACAAACAAAGGCATGTGTCACCCTACAGGGTCCACCACTTGATTTTTTTTCTTTTCAATTCATATTCTTCCATTCGATGTCATCATCACTACATGCCAAATTTTGGCTTTCTACGACAATTTTGAAAATCCCGTATGGGTCCCCCCGTAGGGTTCTTCAATATACAAATTTTATAAATTTCACTTCATATTCTTCCATTAAGACCCATAAGCAATCTCGCTACCTTTCAGCTCGATATGAGGATTTTGAAAAATCAGTATGGGTACCTCCAGATGACAATTTTTGCAATTTTACTTTATATTCTTTCATTATAAACCATTATCGAGGCTCCATACCAAGCTACCTACATGCCCCCACCGGTCAACCACTTGACCGATTTCGCCCATCTTCGAATTTAACTTTTCATTTAACCCATACTACACGTGTGCAAAATTTCAACTCAATCGGATAAGTTTAACGAGAGTTATCGTGAATCAGACAGACAGACGGGTTCCATAAGCCCTGACTCGGGCTAAAAATGGGAACTCCCTGCTCTGCAAATTTGTTGTCCAGAATTTAAAATAAATTCCCAGAGCCCAGAAATGATTAAAAATGTGCTGATTTTGACGATACGTTAAATTTGTTATTAATTTCCCCTCTATATTAACAATCCCCAGGTGCAGAAGCTCTTAGACGATGGCTCCATCCAAATAAACTGCTGCCTCCCCGACGACACCACGCCACTAATCACTGCCTCCGCCTACGCTTATCCCGCCCTCGTTGAATTTCTCATCGAAAAGGGCGCCGACGTTACCCACTTCAGCCACGGTTTAGACAAAACCACCCCCCTCATCGCCGCCGTCTCCTGCACGCGCCCCTCCGCCACGGAGGACGACGTTCTCGCCTGTGTCAAACTCCTCGTCGAGAAAGGCTCCCCCCTCAACACGCAAGGTCACTCCGCCCTCACCGCGCTCGTCATCGCCATAAAACGTCGCCACGATCGACACGCCGTTGCCGAATATCTCCTCCAACACGGCGCCAACCCCGACGTCCTAGATTTCGCCGGGCGAACCCCACTCTTCCACGCGGCGGAAGTCGGCGATGGAAAATCCTGCCGTTTACTCCTCGAACACAACGCCAACGTCAACATCATCGACGACAGCGGGTGGTCCTGCCTCGACGTCGCGGGGGATAAAGGATTCTACGCGCTGAGCGAGCTACTCTACAAAGTCCGCATCACAAAATGGAAACCCGGGCAAGATCCCGCTCTCATGAAGGAGATTAAGGACGCTACAACGCGCGCCAAAGAGATGGCCGCGGGGGAAGGGGGTGCCCCACAAATTCGGGAAGATTCTCAAATCGAAATGCTCCTCAGTGCCATCAATGCGGAAAAATATAAGGAAAATTTCCGCCAGCATAAAGTCACCTACTTCCAATTTCTCCAGTTTGACGAGGAAGATCTCAAAGCTGTCGGGATTGAGGAGGTCGGGATCCGGAAAAAGGTGATGGAATCAATCCGCGAAGCGCACAGTACGGATTGGGCGAGATCTTCGGTGAATATGGTGCCCGTTAATAAAAGATGTACCGGAACGGAAACCGTTTGTATCGTGAATAACATCAATTTTCATGTGGAACATATTCACACGACGATTCGCACGTTGACCAAGAGGATTTTGAAGGACCCGACGAGTCTCCGGTTGGGGAGGGAAAGGAGCCAGATTTCAAGTATTTTGTCGCGGCTGAAGGACTTGGATAAGAATAATTTTATCCTGCATGAAGAACTGTTGAAGATGAAGCAACTTTTTGATAGGCTGAAGAACAATGCGGAACTTCAGCTCGGTGATAAGTTTGAATTGGAACCGAACGATATGCAAGAATTTCTCGAGAGGTGGAATGCTGTCGATAAGAGTAAGGATAAGAAGAAGGCGAATGGAGGGAAGAAATGGGCGTTATTGGGGGTGGGAGGTGCCTTATTTGTTACGGCGATTGCTTGGAAGTCCTGGTCTCGATGATGACTCCGGTGCTAATCAAATATTTTCTACATAGATGACCTATTTTTAATATGTACCGCTGACTCAGAATGGAAGTCTCCTAGCGTATGCGACCCGATTTTGAGCAAATTAGCGTCAACCTATCACAAATTTAATTAGGATGAAATTTGCGAAAGATACGATCTCCTAGTGGGCACGTTTGGCAGAGATATTTGCATCCGAAGTGGAGAAAACGCACAGAGAAGTCGACAAATTTTCAAATATCTGTGCCACACGTGCCCATTGGGAGATCGTGTCTTTCGCAAATTTCACACTAATTAAATTAGTCATCGATTGACACTAATTTGCTCAAAATCTGATCTCATACTCTGGGAGTCCTCCATTGTCCGTCGTGTTCAGATATTTAAATGATCTTACTTATAAGATACTTGTTACTCGTATATATACTTTTAAACTGGTTAACCCTTAGCCATGGGAGACCGTTTAAAAACGTTTTGGAGTTTTTGTTTTAATTCGGGATGCCGTGAAAAGCCGTTCATAAAAAAAATGTCTGCCTTCGGGGTCAACGGCTTTTCACGTTTTCACGTTTCCATGTCAGGTGCGGGACAACGGATATTTCCGTGGTAAAAATTATTTAGCTGATTCGGGAAACGGCAAAACACGTTGGCACTAAAAACTAAAATTATTAGGGCCTTGGATCAGAATTGTCCGTGGTAACACTAGGTCACTTTCATGTAACTTCGCCCCAGCTTTGCATTGGATGGGTTGCATGCAAAATTTTTGACTCTGGTTTACTAACTGCTAACACTTATTTAGGATACAAAATATGTATGAGGTACAACCAGTGACGCCAATAAATAAAGGGCTATATACACTTTAAATCATTCATTAATTATCCAAGTGATCTCCTGGTCTAGACTGACTTCTTGGTTGCATTTAAAAATTAAAATATGACGTAAGTATGCATAAGGTTAGTCAGAACTCTTGATCCAAGTTTAAAAAAATTCACTATGGATGTTATGCAAGTCCACAAACATGTGGGGTTTGGGACAATAGCTTTACAAATTTCAGTTTTGCATAATCATAATTTTGCACCATAGTCAGAGTCATAGTTCATAATTAACTCGTCATAATTCTCTAATTATCATGCAACTTTGCTTTACAATGTTACATTATTAAATTTTAATATTCATCATTTTAAATATTATATTTATTGACTTTGTCCCGCACCTAATTTTCTCCCGTGTTTTGCCGTTCTCCCGAATTGAGCATTTAAAAAATCCTCCCGAATCTAAGCAACTCAAATATCAAAAGTTTCCAGATTTGGAACTTGTGAGATTTTAATTATTTTTCGGCTTCCCGAATGACAACTATTGTGGTCAACGAAACGCCCCGCAACAACGCCAAACATAGTTACCGTTTTCCCTCGGCTAAGGGTTAATTATTAAACTTAATAATTATGAGAATTGGTATTTAACTATTTAATAAGTATAGTTTTTTACATAGAAAGGAAAGCTATTGTTACCAACTCGTCTATAATAATAAACCGATTAATTACTAAACTGAATATTTATGAATGTTGTTTTTAATTTGATCACAATGGAAAGAAAAAAAATCCACAAAACTTATTTATAATTTTTGGAATCAAACAGAATTTATTTAACAATCAATTAGTTCATACATTTTGAATAAATTTCTGTGACTCGACAAAGTACAAAGGAACAAATTCTCGTCAACAATTTTATTATATTTCACGTAGGGGTCCAATTTTCTTAAGTTTTACATAGATAAGCGTCCATCTCTCTCCATCCTTACACATTCATCGCTCGACCCAACGCGTTCTTGACCAAGATTTCATACGTATGACTTGGATGCTCTTTTCCACCATATCTGGCAAAAAAAATATTCAAATTAATTCTCAGCTTAATAAATAAGACACCAAGTAAAATTTAAATAGTGCAACTACATTTACTTACGGGACATAACAAGATCCATGAGATGGATGAATTTTTCCCACGGTGATTGTTCCGTTCAGCCAGACGCGTCCAATGTAGTACGTCTCACCGCCAGGGTCACGTCCTGCACCCCATAAATAAAAATCAAGTCATTATTAATTCGAAATTTTATAAATTCCCTTAAAAAATGGGACCGAACCTCCAGGAACTGCATTCGGAGGAATGAAGCTTCCCTGGCCATCCACCCAGCTCAAACTCGCGACAGGAGCGACGAGCACCTGCAAAAATTTTACAGAAATTTTCAAAATCATGATTATCTATTTCCTCAGTAGCATTTCTAATTTCTCATTCTTACCTCATAATTTGGCGTGGGAACCTCCTCACCCCCATAAGCAATATAGGCCGAGCTGTGTCTATAATTTGTACGAAATTGTACATTATTCGCTAATTCGCTCATTAAATTCGCACCAATTTGCTTACCCAACGTGCAGTTTTCCAGGGATCATTCCTCCTTGATGATAAGCCCGGATGACGTACAACTCCCGTCCAGAGTCGAGACCAGCTTGGGTCGCGTACGGCGGCACGGCACCCCCACTCATCGGGATCCACTGTTAGTAAAGTTACCATTTCAGTCTGTGCATGCAAAATTTTTCATACATTTCCATACCTGAATTCCCATGGGTTGGACATGACCATGACCACCCCACCCCATCCCAGGCTGCGGCATGCCAGCGGACGCGTACATTTTTCAGTCAAGAAGAGAGATCAATTAGCTGAAAAAAAATAAATTATGCTGTTTAACGTAGGATTCATCGTCAAAATCCGCACATTTTTAATCAGTTCTCGGCTCTGGGAATTTATTTTAAAATTCTGCACGACAAATTTGTAGAGCAGGGAGTTACCAATTTTCTAAAAATATACACTCCAGATTTTGACACTTTTTGAAGCAGGAGACCTCAAGTTTAAGAAACCTTAGAAAAATTGTAACTTATCCAAACTGGCTTAAAAAACTCAACGCCATTCCATTAATTAACTCATTGACTACAAATTTGTCGTCCAGAATTTTAAAATAAATTCCCAGAGGTGAGAAATTATTAAAAATGTGTTGATTTTTACAAATTTGGTGAGAAGTCATCCGCTCTTACGTTAATAAAGTACGAAAAATTAGGAACATTAAATCAGAGATGGCATCTCTTTATGAAAATGCGATCTCTCTATAAAAAATCATGCTTCAATTTTCTACTAAATCTGCCCTTTATAATTCTGACACGTGGAAAACGTTGTCCTTGACCAGTAAAATATTTGTGTATCATATCGATATCAAAAAATCATCTCGTTTTAACACTGTCCAGCTAAATTAGGTTGCATGATTATTTGTCACCAACAAACAATGAATATTTGTACAAAGAAGACAACAAAATCTGAATAACATTATACTTAAGGGCCCGGGGGAAGATTTACTTTTCGAAAATTGATTTTATGTTAGCAACAATAATTGCTAGGAATCTAGGATTATTTATCACTCTATAAAGTTACGACCACAATTAATTGACACCATTTCTATGGTACACTCACGTCCAAAAGCTTTTGTTTGATCACTTTTCCCTCAAGTTTTTGAAAAAAGTTGTTTTCTTTTGTTCCATGGATATTCAAAATGCAATTCATGCCATCAGTTTTGTAATTCTAAGCCAATTTGTGCTCACTTTATGACCAAATATCTCCACTGCGCAAGAGGGCACATTGTCAAAAAAAAAGTTAGTAAAACCTAAAGATATGATTAACAAATTAAACATAATTTGAAAAATGTGCCCTCTTGCGCATTGCTGAATTTTATGGTCAAAGTTGACATGATTTCTAAGCAACTTCCCCCGGGCCCTTAACGTGCATGACAAAAAAACGTGTATGCAAATTACACGCAAATTTACTTACCAAATTTTTTCAAAACTTTGTATCCTTTGCGTTATCCAGACTTTTAACGAGTGAGGAGAATCCCTGGCTAAAATTTGTAACAAAAAAGTTTTGTTAGTTTAACCCGATGAATAATTAATGAGGCAAATAAATTATTATCTGTATATTTATTTCAACTAAAAAGTAATGTTGTTAAGTACCTTGTTTTCCGCTGTTATTGATAACACCACCACTTGACTTTATGATAACCACTTATCAAATAAATGACTAAATGAACAAACAAAAGATAACTGTGATGTCCTCCTTCTCGTCGTTTTGTACAAATTACTTATTATTTGGCTGGCTCAGGACTTCTTGTTCGAACCGGTTCTCAAACACGAATGACGAAATGGAACTATTTTCTCAGCTTAGAAAAAAAGTGTGCTTATCGAAATGAAAAAGCGCAGGTGACGCACTGACGCTGACGCATCCGGATGCTTGCTTGCATTCCTTCCTTGGCAGATGTAGCGTGGCGTGGCGCGTCCCTGATAAGAACACACAAAGCAAATGAAACCGACTAATTTGTATAGTCGGAAGTTCGACTTGGTTACTTTGAACTGTTTGCATGCATGCATTCATACAGTTCAAAGCCCAAATATGTATGTTATCTTTATTATCTAGCAAACACACGGCCATGAAATCATGAAAAATTGGAGTCAACCTTGATCTGCGTGTAACAAACCCGTGGAAAAGTGCATTCATCAATCATAATCATGAGATTTTGAGTCATAAAATAAGCATGAAAGTGTCACGATAGATTTGTCATATATATTTAAAAGGAAATTGATAAAAAGTACCTGTACGAAATCATGAGACTTATTGTTAAAATAAGTTTAAAAATGTAAGTCACCGAACAGAACGGACATTAAAACACGAAGTTAGTAACTTTGTCACCAATTTTAAGTATTTATTTACTTTTTCGTCACAAAAAACCAATGTCAATAAATCGAAAAAATCTTTTAATTTAGAAGAATAATCAATTTTTTTATGGAAACATTTCTCTAGCATCCCAAGAACTGTCCCAACTTGTTCTTCACGAGGATCTCGTACTCTTTGAAGTTCAATTCCTCTCCACCTGCGTCAAATTAAATGGATTAGATTAATGATCATAAAATATTTAAGGTTTTAAATAAAAATATTTTACCATAGCTGACATAACAGCATCCATGGCTAGCGTGGACTTTGCCGACCTGAACATAAACAGCCCCACCATAAAAATATAACTCTCGTAGTCGTAAATTGATAAGAATGATTGACAATTTCCGTGATAAAATGGTGCCTATTTAACAACTAGATAACTAACTTACCGTCACAGTTCCATTGTGGATAGCTCGTCCAATGTAGATAATCTCACCGTCAGCCTCCTGCCCCCCTTGGACAGAGTTGGGGGGGATGACCTACACAAAAATAATCCAAATATTATTGTCAAATTCACAAAGTTTTATTCCCTGAATTTCTAAATATGCCCTTTTAAATCTACTTCACTCCTTTGTAACGTGCTCCATAGTTAAATTATAACATTGGCGTAAGTTACCAAGTGTAAACCCACTATAAGGTTGGAAATGACTCTCTTTTCATTAATAACTTACCCCATGGCTTGACTCCACCCACGACAAAGCGGCTGGGGGACCGGTCAGGACCTATTTTAAATTAAGATTGGATAACCCACTTAACTAATTAATTAACTAACAATTAATCAACCCACCTCATAGTCGGAGCAAGGAACCTGTAATAACCATCAATTTTAATTAATTTCGAGTCAAACCATTGCAAAAAATTGACCTCTGACCTCAGCCATGTTGTACGGAATGTACATCGAAGAGTGACCATTGTGCAGCTTGCCGGGAATGATACACCCCTCGTGATGAGCCCGAGCGACGTAAACTTTCTCCCCAGAATCGTATCCTGTCGAATTAATTAATTAAATTAATCAACTAATTGTTAATTAATTAATCCCTCCAATCCAAAATAAATATCAATTAATCTTTCTTACCTGCACGAACAGAGTCCTTGGGGTGTGACCCCCCACTCGCCGGCACCCATTCCAACTTATCTTTGCCCATTTTATTTATACACTCGAAAAGGTTTAACAGGTATTCACACGACAAGCAATTAAATGATACTGAGCTCGTTAAATGATGTCGGTTTGATTATTATATCAGTGAAATAAATGCTGTCCAGCCAGATGTCGGGACCACAAATCAAATCAATCATCCTGCGATAAGGACGCCAAATATACATTTTTTTCAACTTTTGTATATATTTAGGAATGACCACTTCATTGTTTAATATATGAGTTGTACGGTTATCATCGATGACATAATTCGAAGATAAGAAGCAGAGCGAAAATTATGTATGTATTTATGTATGTACTTAATTATTTATCTAATTGGGTAATTAGCGAGTAACAAGAATCTTCCTGTTTGTTTGAGATTATCAGAACAAAGTGCAATTAATGTTATCCTGCGTCCTGCATTCCAGTCGGGATTGGTCATCGTTAAAAAATCATCCCGAGTAAAAATTTGGTCCGATTTCCGGCAGAAATTTGGTCCAATTTACTGCAGACAAACTGCATGCAGGGCGATTTGTGCAAATAATTGTGCAGAAATAGGTATGCACATACGGTTTTGCATAATAACACCTATACATATATAGAAAATTTGTGCAGGATATACAAAAAATATGCAAGATCAGTGGCCGCGGAAGCCGTGGGGACATCTTGGGACAGTAACATTGCAAGATAGGGGATGGAGGGGTTTGTATAACGTGGGCAGATGATGACGATATTAAACTATCGTGGGGACATTGCCCCTCTCCGCGGCCAAGCTTTCGCCAATTACAGCAGAATTCGACACACTGATTTCTACTCGGGTCAATTTCATTCATTTTATCAAGTTCCCAACTCATAACAAGCCAATAAATGCAGTATAAAAATGCATGCATATCATAATATTGCACAATTTAGATAAAAGTTTATGAAATGCAATGCATGGTCATTCCTAATAAATAGTTGTTATTATTGACTTGAGTGAGTTAAGTAGTCATCATGCCAAAATCAAAAATCAGGATATATTTACATACATACGCAATGTCTTCAAACCCAATTCTCTCAATTTACATGATATACATTTACAAATTCTGCCCAAATTTTTTACCTTTTCGACCTTGCAGATCGTTTTCTTCAGAAAAATAAATAGGCCAATTTTCGATTTCATTCTTCTCATGTTAACGACCTCTCCATTTCGAAATGTCATGTCGTGTTGACACGGTGTAAAAAATAGTTTGATAACTACACCATAAGTAAAGTATTGATTATTATTAAGAGAAAGGATATAAAGTTCTCTACCCATCGCATTCTCACCAAACTTTCCCCTCACATTTAGTTAGACATGAAATGAAAATGAACGTCATTTAACTTTACAAAGTACATAATATTATTGTCTATTCCTTCCAGTGATTCTGATGCAAGAAACCACGTGCAAGAAATGACGGGGAGAAAGTGGTTTCTTGCAGGTAAATATTTTGACCTGGGAGAAATGCAAGGCGCAAGAAACTACGTCCCGCATCTGTACTTCATACGGCGCGTTATTGGATGGCCCATATTTCTTGAACTTTCTCCCAGTTTCTTGCACCTCATATTTTTTGTGTAGCCTTGCGGTGAAAGCATTGTCCCAGTGACCACGTGCGGGAAATGACGGGTTGAAAATGGTTTTACGCAGCTAAATATTTTGACCTGGGAGAAATGCAAGGCGCAAGAAGTTACCCCGCGCCGCTAGAAATATTTCATACGGCGCGTGACTAGATGCGCATATTTCTTGCACTTTCTCCCAGTTTCTTGCACCCCGCATTTCTTGCACTTTTTTTGCAATGCAAGAAATGTACAACAAACCCGCAAAGCAACGAAACACTGATTCCTTCAACATGTACAGTAAAAGTACATAATACTATTGCTTCTACTCATTGTCAGTTTATCGTGATATGTACGTCTGGGTATAATAAAATGCGGCGTTGGATCAATAAAAATCAATAAAATCAAGCATTTGTACTCGAGTGAAAGTCTTTTATATTCATGAAATGAAGCCCATTGCCACACTCGCAACCAACACTTATCAGCCATGATATGCAATAAGAGGAGGTAGTAGTAAAGTAAAGAACAGGAAATAAAATGAAATGAGACCAGAATTAGTATACAATAACAAACAGCTCCTGACATTTAAAATTCTTTCTGAAAGAAGAAGGGCGACAAACAAGCCAAATTACAATTTCTTATCGCTCTTCATAGATATTTATGTACGTTCACTTTTTTGTAGGTCCATGCCCCCTTCTCTCTTAACTCAAGGATAGAAATACATACAAGATATCCCTCTCTTACACTCTTAGAAATGGGATTTTAACGTATGTGACTCTACCGCCGTGGTTATAAATGTGTCATCAAGTGGTTACAATTGTCACCGACTAATTATGCATGAAGTTTCACCGACTACGTATTAAATTGTTACCAGAGCTAATAAATTTATAACCAGTTGGTGACAAATTCATAACCTCGAGTCAAATACGTTTACTTTTTGGTTATAATCGTAACCCCATTTCTAAGAGTGTGTCCGTATTCTTTGTCAATTCGACATTATGTATGTATGTAAGTGCTAAATATCACGTCATGTCTCGTCCAGGGTTTGTATACTTTATTTTGAACGGTAGTTTTTGTAGAGAGGGTTATGTAAGTTCGAAATTTCGAAAAATCGGATCAACTAAAATGTTAATCTATGCAAATTTTTATGATTCCGTGAAAGGTTACAAGCAAGAAGGTGAATCAAAATTAAGCTGTAAAAAAATGACGTAAAGAACACAAATTATTATTTAAAAAAGTCATCAATTTCATTATCATTATTTCAATATTTATTCATACTCAATAATTAAGTATTTAATGATGATAGAAACAAAGAAAGTATCTAGATATTCATAAAATCTACTGGATTCGCAAATTTTAAAATGCGGTCTCTATATTATGCATTTTAAACGCATAACGCAACCATAAAAAATTTAAAATTGTATGCAAGTTGGAAATTTTAAAAAAGCAGACTTTTTTAAATTTTTAATCTACGTGAATTTCATGACTCAATTTTGATTCACCTTCTTGCTCGAAAACAGAATTATCAAAATTCGTATAAATACTTAAAAATTGTAATTAATCCGATTTTTAGAAATTTCGAAGTTGCGTAACCCTCTCTACAAAATACATGATACAAAAATGCATGCATAGCATGCAAAAATTTGCATGATACAAAAAGTATCATGCAAAATATCAGTAAAGCATAGGAACCCTGATATCCCCCTTATCGAGACATGCATCGGTATTACATACAACTTCTGAATACATATCATCCTCATGTTCTGCATGCATATCTAAAGTTTGTCCGTCCGTTTATTGAACCCACTTTCACTCGAATGGCTGCCTTTGTTTGGTCATTTTTCAATTTCCTATTAGTGCAAAAGAGTAATCCTGACAAAGTGAAAGTACAGCCAACCAACCAAACTTTTCCTCTTCAGTTGACTCCTCTGCTGTAGAAGGAGACAAACTTTAGCCTACTTTCGTCCATGGTGTGAGAGTAACAAGGAAAACACTTACATACAAGGGAGGCCTCCCAGCGTATGCTCTCAGATTTTGAGCAAACTAGTCCCAATCGATGACAAATTTAATTAGGATGAAATTTGCGAAAGACACGATCTCCCAATGGGCATGTTTGGCAGAGAGGCAGATATTTACATCCGAAGAGGAGAAAACGCACAGTAAAGTTGATAAATGCTACGCTTTCCAAATTTACTGGGCATTTTCTCCTCTTTTGATGCAAATATCTAAACGTGCCCATTGTCTTTAGCAAATTTCATACTAATCAAAATTTGTAATCGATTCCCACTAGTTTGCCCAAAATCTGAGAGCATCCGATGGAAGACCTCCCTTGTTCGAGCTGTCTTACCTGTCTACCTATTAGTGGATTATTACTGTTGTTGGTGGCGTATTATTCCAGACAGAAAGTAAACTCGTTCTCGAGTGGGCCCAACTTTCACTCCATGCAAAAACAAGCTTGTCAGTCCATGTAAACCTTTCTCCGGAAGAGGTTCTTCTCCTTCCTTCCTTCCTTCCTGCAATTCTATTGTTCACGTTTTCCGGTGCAGGTGTCAAACGAATTGTGTCCTCGTTAGTAAATTAATTCATCCACTATTACATAATTCTTGATCAATTTTTTGACAATGAATAACCATGTTTAAAACCACGTGCTGTGGAGGAAGCGCTGTACAAGAGATGGAGAAACAGGATAAGGAAACGCAGGAGAAAGTGGAGAAAGTAGAGCAGGCTATTGTCATGTAATTAACATAAATTTAGATAAGTAATTACAAATTTAGATAAGTAGTTATCCATCTAAAATTAATCATGCTTAGGGAAATGATGCCCCCGCCTCCCCCGACGCCACCGCCGCCACCACCACCACCGGGTTACAAATTGAGTTATTTCGATACTAGAATTGGTTGGTACATATTTTACTTTAAAGCTTGGTATCTATTAAGACGATCGTATTGGGCTAAATTTCGATGAATTATAAAACGATGAAGCCCACGAACGATTTTTCTGATTTTTTTATACGATATCAAACAACTTTCAAACTACCATTCCTGAAAATTTCAGCAATGGTACATGTCCACAAGTGGAGAAACAAATATTCTCCTGGGCTATGTTTAACACGTATTTAGATAGGCCAAAAACAAAAACGCAAATTAAAATACGAAGCCCACGAACGATTTTGTAAATATTTGCATATGTTGATGGTCATACTATTGGTGATTTTTCATCAAAGAATTTAAGATGGTACATTTCTAGATTTCGAGCAATAAATTCAAATGCATCAAAAAACAGGGAATAAAATGGAAACCATGCAAAATTACCACAGGTATTAATAAAATGGTAACCATGTTGCGCGTTGCTACCATTTTGCATAACATTTTCAATGCCTATACACCAAAGCCCGATAAGATAAAAACGGTAATTACATTCGTGGGTTGGAAGGGACTCAAACGGGTCCCTTCGAGTTATAGTAGACACACTGAATAATTGTTTGATAGTATAATCTGCCAAATCGTCAAGTTTTTAATCAATCGGGGTTCATTTGACGAAGTTGAAAATGAACAGACATACGAACAGACAGACTGGCAAACCGGTTCCCCAAGCCTTAAATCGGGGTATGAATCACTGAGCCCTATTTACTAATCAAAAACCACTGACAACCAACCGGATTTTGATAAAATATATTAGCCCAAAATATCGCCTTAATTACTGATCAGAATAATGCAAAATTCAAAGAAATTTAGCCCAAAACGATCACCATAACAGATACCCTTCTTTCCATAAGAAATATATTTCCAATTTCGTTTACACGATTTTTTCTTCGTAAAAGGTGGAGAAATGATAAGATTATTGTTTCACAAAGCTGAAGTGCCATTCGAAGATAACCGGATTCAGGACGCAGAATGGGAGAGTATGAAGTCAGGTGGGATTTCATAATCTGATTAGAAATACTTATCTTAATTGGTAACTTGCGCCATAGTTAAGCTATAACATTGGCGCAAGTTTGCTAAGTATAGACGCCGCTTTATATGCATTTGATGTCACTATTTTCAGCGGTGCAGTGGGGAAAGCTGCCCATTTTAGAGTTTGAAGGTAACACGATCTACTCGTCGACCGCGATCTCACGATTTTTGGCGAAACGGTTCAATCTCTGTGGTGCAGATGAGATCGAATCTGCAAAATGTGATGAAATGGTGGAAGTTTGTCAGGATATTCGGACCGGTAGGTGCATTATCCATGAATAAGGTCTTTCAGATTTTTGTGTCTCAACTTTCCCTTCTTACATATATTCAAATGGCGATTTCGAATAAGTCACGTAACGCGAGAGGGGGGAGGGAGGGTCTAAGGCTCCAATGAATGTAGTGTCTATGTTACACATGTCACAGGGGGGAGGGGGTCTAGAAAATCGCGATTTTTGCGTGATGGATGATCCCTTGTCCAATCGACTTGAAATTTTGCACAGACGAAGAACATGCAAAATTACGAATCGGGTTGGAAGATGCAGAAAATGTATGGAAAAATGGAAAATTTGTGGTCGCATTATACCCACCTCAATTATTAGCAACACCCTGACTCGGGCTAAATCAGGTTGTATTATTCGGGTTTTATTTAAAATACGTACATTATTATCCCAATTTAGCTTGGGGTACCTACTTTTACGGAACTTCTGCCGACTCCCTAGACCAGGAAGCCAAGTTGAAGGAACACCTCCAGAAGATTATGGCCACAAATTTGCCCAAATATGAGGACATCATCGCAAAAAACGGGGGGACTTGGCTGGTCGGCGGGGGATGTACCTGGGCCGACATTTTTGTCGCCAATTTCCTCTCCGTGTACGAGGAGACCATCGACCCCGCCGTGCTGGAGGGATTTCCTGCTCTCAACGCCATGAAAAAAGCGGTCTTTGCTTTCCCCGAGATTCAAAAGTATGTCGAGAGTAGGGCAGAAAAGTAATTGTAACTAATCAGGCAAATTTTGGCAGAAGTGTGCAAAATATTTTGGCAAAGTATTTTGCACTCCTTTCTTTCAAGGGTTTGTGTTTCCGGGGGTGTCACACCCATAAAAAGACGAAAAGCCAGGTTTTTTTTAAAGAAATTAACTTTTAATCGCTGTCAAAATACAACGTTTTCACGATTTTCAAAAAATTAAGAATTTTTACAGCGATAAAAACTTAATTTTTCAAAAAACCCGTATTTTCGACTGAATGTTACCTTCTCCACGTAGATTTTCGCCTTTTTGTGGGTGTAACAGCCCCCTGGAAATCTAAACCCTGGGAAGAACGGAACGTATTTTGACAGTATTTTGCCCACCTATGGAAATTTTATTAGGTAATAATCAATTATGCAAATTATTTATTTGTGTCACCACAATTCTTATATTGCAATTTTCACAATGCATGTATTTCATCAATTTATTGTCAATTCAATACTTGCAAACACTCAAATAAATCAAATGCTAACAGAAAAGTGAAAGTAAAGCCTTATGAAAGTTTGTTATAAGTAATTAATTTATTTATTAGCGTTAAATGTGCATCATGACGTGTTTATGAATTGTAAGTTTTTATTTGCATCCTACTTTTTCAAAATTTTGGGTTTTAATATGTATGTATAAACCCTAAAATTTTGAATTTCAAGTCAATCGCACAATTTTATGTTCGTAATTACGAGACTACTTTGTAATAATCTGGCAATTAAAATTAGACGTGGGCAAAGTACAGTATTTTAAGCTCTGTTTTTCTCACATCGTGCTGACAATAGTCAAAAATTTCTAAACGATTTTTGCGTGGAGAAAGTAACGTTGGTTAAAGCTTTAAAAAATTGGAAGAGTTTGACACCTAAAAAAATTATTCCAGGTAATTTCAATTGTCTAAAGTGTGATAGATGTGATTTCATACCCCTATTGTCACACGAATTTATTAAAATATGTAACTTGAATGATGGACAATAGATATTTTTTCACGAATTTGACACTCATATTTCAGAGCATAGTCAGAATTCTTTGTGAAAATGCAGCATTTTGATTTTCATTCTTCGCAGGGTTTGGATTCCCACAAAAAATTTCAAAAAACGAGAATCTGCATGGAAAATATAATAGTCATATTACGAAGTTATGTTTTTATCGCTGTCAATTATGTTTCGAAAATCTCTAAAACAATGTATTTTGACATAGATAAAAAGTTGGAAAACCTGCATTTTCGTGTGAAGGTTGTACTAATTAAAGAAATGTACTAACAAATGTATCGTTTAGTTTTGGATTGTGAATGAAATACAGTGGCCGCGGAAGGGTGTGGACAAAGGGACAATGTCCCCACGGTTGTTCAATGTCCCCATCATCTCCCCATCTTATATAAACCCCTGCCTCCCCTATCCTGCAATGCTAACGTCCCCACAGCCAAACGTCGTCTTGTCCAAAATGAATTTTTTAGTTGTTGAATTCCCTACTGATAACCCAAAAACAGTGGACGTTATTCCGCAAACGTGGCTTATCTCGAAAACTCAGTGTTATTGGCCTACTCGTTGCTTGCTACGAATTTGACTAAAATACGACGAGAACAAGTTAAGCCTGATCGAAGTTGGGGAAAATGTGCGTGCAGAATATTGGGACATTTTGGTAAATTTTTAGCTATTTTAAATAGTATATAATTTTATTCTAGGTTAATTTTTAAACTCTGGTGTTTTTTGATAGAAACTTTTGAAGCCGCCCAGCAAGCAGCCGTTTTAGCCGAAAACACATCCGATTTGGATATTAATTTTTCTACAAAACGGTCCACCCACCGGCGACCAGAGTCAAGTTCAGATTCGACAGATGACGAGGGACCACCAATAAAAGCGAAGAAAATTACTAAATCTGTGATTAATTCTGTGCCACAAACTTTATTTAAACTTGGTAAACTAAATTATTTTGCCAAAAAATTGATAACATATTTTTGTCTAATTGAGCGCACAAATAATAATGTGTTATTTGAAACAACTTCAGGCGACTTAGCAGACGTGACTCGTGCACAAATTGACCAGGGCCTCGTTTTGTCAGGAAATAATGAGGGTGAGTTGTTGGTTAGTTTTTTTTAACTAGACAGATACTTATTGCAATTATATTCACAATTAAATTATAAACTACTTTGATTTGTCTAGAACGTTCAGCCATATCAAATGTTGAGACAGATTCGTCAGGAAGCCAAATTTTGTATATGAATGCCACACCTTCAGGTGATGGACAGTTAAATTTAGCTATTATTCCTAACGATACAAATGTAAACCAAGATGACCAATCCGTAAATTTCGGCTCCCATCCTATTTATTCATCACCGGTACCATCACCATCGGCAAATTTGGGGTTGCAGACACAAGGTAATAATATGTAAATATATTAAATGTATAATTGTGATTAAAATAGTATGATGTAGTTTTATAAGGTATTATGCTAACTATACTAAGCCAGTTGATTAATTTTTTTAACAAACTTGTTACTCAGGTTTTAACAAAGTTGTGCTCAAACATTTGGCAGCAATAAAAACTGGACAAAAATCAATACTGGAAAAGTTGGACTTAATTCTCAACAATCAGAATAGAATCGGAGTAGGACTTGACTTGAACACGGAAACGGAAGAGCCTGACTTCTCGTCATTGCCAATCTTTCCCCTTGAAAGTGTGGACGCCCTTGAACAACTCGAGTCGCAATTGGCTATAGACGATGAACGGAAATTATTTGTAAGATGAAGTACTATACATACAACAATGCCAAAATAATTCATGTTTTAGCTAATTAATTTTTTATGCGTTTAGGTACTTTATCTAATTGACATTGGAGGTAAAAGTCTCGGCGAAACAGTCAAGCGAATTTTACAGAGAATTGTTAGCGAAGATCTCGCCATAGATTTGAGCTACACTGGTCTAGGAAAGAACAAAAAACCATTTAATATCTACAAACATATTGTTAATTGCATCACAGGTTCGTCAATTAATTACAAACATATGAAAATCAATTTGAATATTCCTGAAATTAATTTTCAGCTGCAACAAAGAAAAATAAGAGACTCCCTGCAGAAGTGGAAAAAACTGAGTTTGCCATTCGTGAAATAGTGATGGACTTCTTCCGGTACTCGAGGCCAAGGAAAGCAGCGGCTTCTATTTCTCAAGATTCCACCGATTAGATTATCTTTGTTTAAAATAATATAGGAAATGTCGTCAAGTAGAAATAAGCGAAGTTGAAGTTGATGCACTAGATGAAATCTCGGTAGGTACGGTTGAGCTTTCGGACAATTCGGTATTAGACAATTTGTTACCAGATAATACAACCGTTTATAATGATGGGGCTCAATATAGTTATGGATTAGAGAAGGAAGCCATTAATAGTTCTAGTGAGTACGACAGTGATGAAGTTAACGATGCGGACCAAGATTTTAAATCAGGTTTAGTGAAATGGGTGGCAAAACACAAAATAAATGGTGTGGCAGTAGACGATTTACTAAAACTATTAAGTGCTAATATTCCTGGTGGGAATCTTCCAGAGTCTTACAAAACATTAATGAAAACCCCTACAAAATATAAAATAGATTTAATTGATGGTGGGCAGTATTATCATTTTGGATTAGAGCGACAATTGCAGAGATTAAGTAAAATTGCTGGGTTTACCGATAATTTTGAAACAATTGAATTAAAAATAGGAATTGACGGTCTCCCAATCAGTCGCTCCAGCAAAAAACAGTTTTGGCCTATTTTGGCAAGTGGCGATATTTTAAATAATGGCAAACCTTTTCTCGTTGGCTTGTATTTTAGTTTATTTTGTAAACCAGAAAAATCTGATCAACTTCTTGGTCCGCTAGTTGAAGAGCTCACACTGCTGCTCGCCAATGGGGTTGAAATTAATGGCTTGGTGCGAAAAATTTCCATTAAATGCATAGTTGCGGATGCGCCCGCTAGAAATTTTGTTAAAAACTGTGTTGCATTTAATGGTTATTATGGTTGTGATAGATGCACTCAGAAAGGTCAATGGCTGGGGAGAGTAGTGTTTAGCGAATTGGACGCCCCTCTAAGAAATGACCAAGATTTTAGAAGAAATATGTACCACAATCATCAGGTTAAGGAATCCATTTTATCCAAATTAGAAATAGGAATGGTTAGTAGCTTTGTCCTTGACTACATGCACTTAGTGTGCCTGGGTGTAACTAGAAAATTAATATCTTGCTGGAGAAGTGGACCAATTCCTTTGCGAATTGGAAGGCAAAATATTGCACAGATTTCTGAACGTTTAATTGCCTGTAAAAATTTTATACCGTCAGAGTTTAATCGCAAGCCACGGTCGCTGGTGGAAGTCGATTATTGGAAGGCAACTGAATATAGGACATTTCTCTTATACCTAGGTCCACTGGTTCTAAAAGGAATTTTGTCTCAGGAAAAATACGAACATTTTTTACAGTTATCTGTTGCGGTTAGGATATTATTATCTGATAATAGAGATTGGTATAATTACGCAGGAGAAATGTTAAATTCCTTCGTTGAAAAAGCTAGCGAGTTATACAGGCCCGAATTTGTAGTATATAACGTACATTCGTTAATTCATTTAGCAGATGACGCTAAAAAATTTGGGTCCCTAGAAAAAATTAATGCTTTTGAGTTTGAGAACTACATGCAACTTCTCAAAAAAATGGTCAGAGGAAAAAAACACGAGCTCGCACAAGTAATTCGTAGAATATATGAGGTAGAGCAGTCTAATTTGTTAACCAAATCTAAATGTAGAGAATTGCATATTTCGACAAAACCAAAGGACAGGGGATTTGCTTTATTATCTGGGGAAATTGTTATTGTAACAGAATCTAATAAAGATTCTGACGAAGTGGAAATTACAGTTTTCTGTAATAAATCTGATTATTTCACAAATCCCTGTGAAAGCTCAAAGCTATGTATATATGTGGTTCGAAATTTGTCTCCTAGGTCTAGACGAATTAAGAAATCTGACCTTTATCATAAAGTCGTGCTATTACCATTGTCCGATTCCTCGAATGAATATTTATGCCTACCATTTTGCAGTCTTAAAAGTGTATAATTTAAATCAATTAATTGTAATTGTGCACATAAATAATATACATAGTATGTACATAATAATTCACACTAATATTGTATGAAAAGTTTTCATAGACGTATTGATATTTGTAATAATAAACGATCATTAATTGTTGAAATAATAAATTTGGGTGTGAATTAAATGTGAATGTGCATCATTTATTTAACATCAATGGCATGTGCAAAGCATGTAAAATTCGACAATATTAATATCATCCTAACGTTGCAATCACATTCAAACCACATTGCCTCAACATGAGCACTTTTACAATTTCAATGTTTTATACACATGAAAAAAGCGGCCATCATTCACTGTGATCCAACACGTTGATTATCACATTGTAACAATATCATTCTTCTACTTGGGATAAAACCTATTATTTTACCTGTCAATATAAAAATACAACAGGAGTAATATCGTCGATTGCTGTTTCGTCAAAGCTTTTACATTTCAAAGTGACAAGCTAACAACATTTCCACATTCTCTGATGTCATATTTCCACGATTTTATAATCATACATTGCATGTACATTAACATTACATATTTAAGCATTAGCATGTGGCCGCAGAAGTCGTGGGGACATTACCACTGGGGGATGGGGGAGGATAGAGGTTTAAAGGTTATGTAATATGGACAGATGATGTGGACACCGAATAACCGTGGGGACATTGTCCCCCTTCCGCGGCCACTGGTGACAGTAAACATAATAATGTTTATCAAACTCGAAGTGAACAAGTTTGTTCAGTTCAGTGACTGAAAGAAACTTCACTCAATCATCTGTTCAACAAACAAGACTAAATTGTAATTAACGGGGATTGATAAGAGCAAATCTTTTTTACGATAATAACAAAGGTTTTCATGGGATGAGGAAGATAACCAACCATGAGCCGAGAAGCTCGGTGCGAGGATTACGTATTGTTCGACATATTGTAACGTTCTTAAATTTCGACGAACATTTTCATGTCTGATGTTTTAACTTTTTAACAAACAATTAAGTTAAACAGGATTGGACGGAACATACATATTGTGGCAAAATATCTTTTAGGTAAAAAAAAACCTAACTAAAAAGTATTTAAGTAAAATTTCTAAAAATATTTTACAAAAATTTAGAAAATGAATTTCCCATTTTGAATTTTCTAGCTCTCGAAAATTACTTGCAAAATGGACAAGTGTTTCTTTCTCATCGTTGCAGACAGGCATTCTCCAATCTTTGGTCGGTCATTGTCTTTAATACCTTGACTAATTTTTGCATAATTAATTAACAATTAATTATTTACAGATCACACCTCCCCCGCGTATGAATTCCTGCAGAGTTTCTTTTCTTCAACCCAGTCCAATTCCGTGATTTACATAATTGTCCCAAATTTAGCGACGCTACGTCAATTTCGAGATGAATTTCCAGGAGCGAATTGTATCCTGCTGGATATCGACAAAACTGCCGAGACGGTCAAATCACTTATCGTCTTACTTCCTGAAATCGAAGTCATTATGGATTTCACTGGAAAATTTTATACTCAAATTTTACGTTGGGTCCCTACTCGCCAACCAGCGGCGTGAGTGATATGATGATAAAAGATTATGATCCTATAATTAATTAAATTAATTATGGTCGATTAGTTAACAATTTAATTAATTTAATGTTCAGGACGGTCGAGCTGAAAACAAAACGTCTTAACCTGGTCGAATTGAGCACTATTTGGAACGCAAATAATTCCGTGATGCCAGTGCTGATTAATGTTCTGCCCCCAAAAGATGTATGTAGATTTGTAGATGATAGGATACCTATTCTCCCAGCGGATGCTCTCCGATTTTGACCAAATCAGTGTCAATCGATCACAAATTTGATTAGGATGAAATTTGCGAAAGACGCGATCTCCCAATGGGCCCGTTTGGCAGCGATATTTGCATCCGGAGAGGAGAAAACGCTGTTCAAAGTTGAAAAATTTTCCACTTTCCAAATTTACTGCGCGTTTTCTCCTCTTCGGATGCAAATATACCAAACGGGCCCATTGGGAGATCATATTTTTCCCAAATTTCATCCTAATTAAATTTGTCATCGATTGACAATGCTGCTTTGACAAATTTTGCTCAAAATCATGGAAAGTGTAAAATTTGGATGGAATCTAAAAATTAAAATTATTATGAACTGTATGTTTTTTGCTTGAACGGTATCAAAGCCTTACATTTTTTTAAAACAAAAGTGCAGTAATAACTTAATTAAATTTGGAAAATGAAAAAGTTGGAAGGTATAAAATTTGTCAAATTTACTGCGCGTTTTCTCCGCTTCGGATGCAAATATACCTGCCAAACGTGCCCATTGGGAGATCGTGTCTTTCGAAAATTTCATCCTAATCAAATTTGTGATCGATTGACACTAATTTGCCCAAAATCGGAGAGCATACGCTGACAGACCTCCATTGAAAATTTAAAACCTAAAATTCACTTCTTTTTCAGGGACAAAACATTGTCAAAGATGCCGCACAAGCGGTCAAGAAGAAGGGGGCAAAAGTCATCGACGCCCTAAAATCAGATAATAGAACGCAACTCATAAGATTCAAACCAGGTCCGAAATTTTCTGCTACTGTCGCCAGTGGATCGCGAAGATCTCTGCCCGCCTCGTTGGGAAAAGCGGAAAATTCACTGTCCAGATTAGAACGTGGCCAAGAACAATCAGACCACTTCTTTTTTTCTTCACCACTTCTTGGTCACCCCCAAAACGACGAAGTGGAAATAACCTTATCCAGCCTTATCTTCTGGCTTCGGTCGAACTGTTGCTTTTGTTTCGGCCCAACGCCCCTCCCTACGCCGCAATTCCTCTCGGAAGGCCAACTTCTCAGCTACATCCGCGGAAAACAGCATGACTACACGCGTCGAAAGTTGGATACCGTTTTTGAAGAAGGGGAACAAAACTTGCTCCGTTTCAAGGGAAATTCCACCAGTGAAGAAGAAGCCGCGATTCGTGCGAAATACGAAGATATGAAAAAAGATAAGACAGCCAAGTACATGGAAATTTTTGCTAAAAATAAGGAGAACCCTTCCACCGTGGATCTCGTTCTAAAAGGTCAAGCTAGTCGTGAGAAGACTGCGTTGGAAAATATTAAACGCGTTGATACCGATTTGGCCAAAGAGTTGGGAGAACTTAGGAGGAGATGCGACGCTGAGAGGAAACTTGAAGGGGAGGCTGACCACTATGAGAGAGTCGTTAAAGCAGAACTTGACCTTTTAAGGAGAGCTACACTCAAATTTCAGGAAATGTATGACCAATTGTATGCAGAAAATGAGTCAAATTGGGTTGCAACTTGATATTCTTAACACTGATTTCTTTTACCAAATCTACACCGTACTTTTTAATTGAAATGTTTTATGAAATTGTTTTTTGAAATGTTTTTTATTGGGGATACTTTAAAAAATGCTTTGTCAAAATATACAGTATTTTGAGCTCCGTTCTTCCCTCGGTTAGGATTTCCAGGGCTGTTACACCCACAAAAAGATGCAAATCCATGTGGAGAGTTGGAGAGTGCAACAATCATACAAAAATATATTTTGTGAAGAAATTAACTATCGCTCTCAAAATATCATATTTAGAAAATCGAGTAATTTGATTAAAATTATTTGATCGTAAATTATTTTCGGTTTTCAAACCTTGACAAAAGATAAAAGTTAAGATTTTCGAAAAGATTTTTTTTGTGGAAAAGTTTGACACCGAAAATAAAAGATTTTGTGAATTGTAATTGTTTTTATTGTCATGTGATGACTTATAGGTATTGGCGAATCCAGTCTGTAATATCAAAATAAATTATTAAGATAAATTGGAGATAGAATGACATGTTTTTCACGACTTTCGTCAAAATACATATTGAGCTGAGCTCAATATGTATTTTGACCCAAGAGCTCAATGAGCTCTTGGGTTTTGATACCCACAAAAAGATGAAAATCTACGTGGAGAAGACAACAATTGCCAACATTGGCGAAAAATCATGTTTTGTGAAGAAATTAACCTTTTATCGCTGGCAAAATGCATTGTTTATACGATATTTTTTTAAATAAGGTATTTTAACAACGATAAAATCTTAATTTCTTCAGAAAACCTGTATTTTCGTACGACTGTTGCCTTCTCCACGTGGATTTTCGTCTTTTTGTGGGTGTGACAGCCCCGGAAATACAAACCCTGGGAAAAACAGAGCTCAAAATACTTCTATTTTGGCAAAGTAATTTACCCAATTTCAGAACATGGCAGACTTTTAGTTTGTAAATATTTTACGTTTTATTTTACACAAATATATATTATTTGAAACACATTTTAAATAGAGACTGAGATTTTAAATCTTTCCTTATCAATAATACGTAATCTTTGAACGAAACACTACATTTTCAACTACACACTTGTTAATAAATATTTACACATCATGATAAAGTCAATTTCCTTACTGATTACATTTTTATAAAGTGAAACTAAACGGACTAGTCTTCTCGTACATAGATATTTTTCCAATCAAAATGAGAATCAATTAGTGGCAATGCTTCTTCAAAGTTGGATAACGTTGTGGAATGGAATGTCATGTCAAATTGTCAACCTAATAATTTCTTAATCACAATGAGATTCTTCTCGGAGACCCATTTTTTCACTGTGTGAACCCCTATCAACCAATTCTAAGAGGGCTTTCGTTTCCGGGTCTTTGTCCAGAATGCTGCGTTCGCCTCGTTCATTCTGTAATTACATGAATCACACATAATTATATCTCAACAATTCTATTTAAGGTTATTAGTTAACTAGATTACAAGTTAATTATATTAAATACGAACCTCATCAACCTTGGGCTCTGGACCGACCCCCCAAATTTCAATGTGGTGAATTTCAAACTCTTCCGAGGAAGCCATTTGTGGGCAAGAATACGTTGTGCAGGACGGGCTGGATTTTCCTTTCCCGAATTCTGCGTCAAGCCAGATCCCAAAATACTCGAGTTTTCCACCAATTCCCTAAAATAGTAATGAACAATAAGTAAATATTCTGGATTTTTCATTTAAAAAATCGTACACACCATTCCATTAGGAAATGTCTGCTGTTGAACGTTAAAGTACTGGAAGTTGGTATTGTATCCGGTCGACGGGTAAGACCCAAACTTAGGCCCGAGATGGAACAGGAATGAGTTATTATTTCCTATAAAAATAGCCAAAAATTTTTGTTAAAAAAACAACAAGTTTACAAAGTTATGCGGGTGTTCGATCTCTATTTTTTGCCGGAAAACAGAGGGAAGAAAATCCCGTAAAAAAACGGACCCTAAAAAAGGTCCCGAAACGGTAAGGGGCCATTTCCCCGATTTTCGTCCCATACTTTCCCGGCAAACGCATTTCCAGGTTTGCACCACCAATCGAACCCACCAAATTTATGTAAAATTACCACAAAATTTGGGACCAAAAGCCCACGAGTCAGTCGAAAAAGCTCCAAAAACACGACCCCCTTGGTCTTTAATGATAATTATTGTGGGACCTTTGCCTTCAATCTGTCCCACCATTTTAGCAAAACTTTCCCCATGCGCTGCCGTCGAGAAGAGGAAACGCCACGTGGTTCTAAACAAATTAAAACGTCAGGGTCACACTCCAATAATTTTTTTCATTAGTTCCTCAATTTGATTACTCACCTCAGCTCGGTGGGAAGATGCGCATTAAGAAACATAATTCTGGAATGGTCAAGGATAGAATAGTTTTCAGGGAGGAAGGCCGGATGCGCCTTGATGCAGGAAGGCAACAAACGAACAAAGTACGAGTCCACGTCAAGTCGAAAGCAAGACGCGGCCACGGAGGAGTGCAGTTGTTGAAAGAGGGCCGAATTCAGGAAACACTTTTCCAAGTCGTCTCGACTAAAGGAATCCTGAGCAAACAATAATAGAATTATTAAAATTCAATTAAGGAATCTAATTAGTTCGCAATTTAACGTAGGCCTCGTCACCAAAACCGTCAAAATTCACACATTTTTAGTCATTTCTCGTCTCTGGGAATTTATTTTAAAATTCTGGACGACAAATTTGTAGTCAGTAAGTTGATTAATAGAATGATGTTGAGTTAATTAAACTAGTTTCGATAAGGTCCAATTTTTCTAAAGGCTTCTTAAACTTGAGATCTCCTCCGTCAAAAAGTGTCAAAATCTGGAGTGTATATTTTTACAAAATTGGCAACTCCCTGCTCTACAAATTTGTCGTCCAGAATTTTAAAATAAATTCCCAGAGCCGAGAAATGATTAAAAATCTGCTGATTTTGACAATCATCGAATCCTGATCGAGTTTGACAATATTTTTCACACCTTAGCGAACCCTGACTGATTGATAATTTCCTTATTAGAGATGCCCGGATACAGCAAATCCGCCAAGACGAATTCGGCCAAGTCCGTGATCGAGTCTGGCGTTAGATTATGGCCAATTTCGGCATCAATCCAGCTCCGATAAGTGGGCGACTGTTCCACACACTTAAGATAAGACTCGATAATGCTCCTCGTGTATTGCACAAGTTCCTGGGCAGTGATATAATCTCGCGCGGTGGGGGTCGTTGGAACGGCTAAATTCCAAATTACGTTGACCTTTTCGTCCACCGTCCCCTTGAGGAGGTCGGACACGAAGCTGAGATAGTTCGTGAGGGGGATGAGCTGCTCCTGTTTTGGCCACTGGATTGACAATTTGTCCGCGACACGAGCAGCTAACCAGTCATGCAGATAATTTTCACAGTGGCGCTGGAAATCTTGATAACTGCTGCAGAGCGTTTTCTCCCCCTTGGCGCCGACCACGGCGACCTGATAAGTATAACAGTTAACCATAATTTACAAATCCAAACCACCTGTAAATACATAATTTTTTACTACATTCCGTATTTTACCTGCGTATTGAACGTGTTAAACAACTTTTTTAACGTCGTCATCTCCTCCGCCGTCAAATGTCCGGACACGGCCTCGTCCGCTTTGGAATTTTGTGCCCCCATTATTTATTATTCGTGGGTGTGGAAATTATTCCGGTTTTCTAAATTAAACAAAAAAACTCTTTTACAACCAAATTCACTTCTTCAATTCATATTTTAATAGTTAAAAAACTTCATTCTAAAACTTATTTGACTCAACAAATCATTAAAATTCAACACTTACTTTCAATTCTTTTGTCTTTTTAGACGTGTCTGAGTCTGAATTTCAGTTCAGTTGATTCCTCTATTAAATCTAACCTCTATATCACATTTAACTAACTAACCAACTATTACAAACCACCATTAACTTTAATAAGCACAGCTTTTATTTTTATTATACAACGAATAATCTCTCTGGAGGAATAATGATAATAATTAATGAGATTTTTCATCTGGCAGTTCGTGTTTTTGTTAAGTACGTCGACTGAATTGTGTGTTCACCTTCTGACTGTTCTGACAGCGAATTCTTATTTATCGACTAATCCTATCCCGTCCTTTATATATCAAGAAACTTGTGAGTTTACGAATGCTTACGTGCCTATGTTCACAACAGCACAAAATTCTCATCTCGATCCATCCAATCCACAGTCTCAAGTTTCTCTGTCTTGTGTCAATAAATGTCAACGTCAACAAACAAAATGCGTTATGCCTTCTTCTCATTCTTCGTTTTGATAACACATAAATATTTATTGCTTGAATTATTCAGTAGTAATTTGATTTATTTGTGGGCTACGTTACAAATGTCATGTGTAGAAGAGGGATATGTATTTATTTTCAGCACGTGAAACGGTCAAACCTTGTGGGTGAGTTCGTGGAAATGAAAATTTCAAAATATATTTTTTGCATATTAGAACATATTTACTTCTAAGTTTTCAGACATATAAGTACTTCCACTATTATTTGAAAAATAAGTACGTAAATCGGATTTTTTTCCCGAAAATACATATGTATTTTGTAAATATTTCAACGATGTGAGACAAAATTTCTGTGCTGAAAGAAATTGGACTACTGACTACAAAAATTCTGGAGTATTGAATTCAGAAATTCAAATTTTGTGAAAATTCTTATTTTTTCGTACATATTTCGTAAATATTTTTACATATTGCCACATATTTCTTGGTTTTCAGACACAAATATTTCCGCTATTATTTCAAAATTACGTAAGTACATCTTTACATAATTTGTTCAAAAATACGTATATTTTGTAAATATTTCAACGATGCGAGACGGATTTTTTTTGCTTAAAGAAATTGGACCATAAAAAATCTGGAGTATTGAATCAGAAATACAAACTTTGCTAAAATTCTTATTTTTTCGGGCATCTTTCGCAAAAATTTTGACGCTTTTTTCATAAATATTAAATAATACATATTTCAGAATTTTTTTGTAAATGAATTTTTCCTGTAATGAGTGCGACGCGGGTTGTAAAAATTTGCAAAATTGAATTATTCATGAGTCACTTTTAGGTGATGTTATCTAATTAAATTAATTAAGAAAATTTTAATATTGCAAAGGAAAGTACTCTCCAAGGCTGCTTTTTCGGCCTGGCTCAAGAATTTTATTTTTTAAATTGATAAAATATACGTCATTGGCAACTATTTTGTAATATGGTTCAGAAATGAATGAACTTATTTCCCGAGGGTGGGCTTATGTAACCATGTAAGTCCGTCTGTCTGTAAATTAATTGTAAGTCCCATAAACCTTAACCGATTGACTTGAAACTTTTTGCACTATGTTTAAAATTAGAAATTGAGTTAGAATATGGCTCAAGTCTGTTATCAGGGAGACCCGTGGCTCTATTCAGGCCTTGTAGACCATCATTGAAACTTAATTTAGATTAAAAACTGTCAAATTGATTTCGAACTTTATACACATGAAACTCATCGGCGAAGTATTAAAATCGGGTGAGGTTGTTGGTTCAGAATATTTGAAATGGTCATAGACGGCTAAAATTCGGGACATTTGTGTACTAAAGTGAATGTCATCGACCAAATTGGCGACCCCTACATATTTTCGAAAATGGACACAGAAGGCTTAAATTTGCATTAACTGTTGGGGCAGATCAGATAACAAATAAGAAATATGTAAATTGTAAGATTTTTATGCCAGGGGACCCAAAAAGGTGACCCCCACTGGGTTTGGAAATTAGCCGAAAAGCTGAAATTTTGCATACTGCATTATAGGAACATTTCTGACGATTATGAATAGTAGTTAGTACGATTTTCTGCGAATATTAATAGTCCAAATTCCTTAGAAAACTTTATGAAAGGTTATTTTGTTTTTGGGAAATAATACAAATTAAGCCAAAATAGGAAGAGTGGGTTCTAGTTTTTTCCCAGTCTCAATTTCGCTCTCGCTTTGCAAAATACATTGTTCGCCCATCTCGAAACTTCGCATCGACCTTGTGGGGGGGGAGAGGGCGAAATCGGGAAGAAACCGCTTGTTAGGTGATTAAGATATTTTTCTGAATTTTTCTACGTTGGTCCCAAATTTTTTCGTACACGGAGATAGGGTGACCATATTTGTCCTGACTAAAACCGGGATATTTTTTGGCAAAAATTTTTTCCATAATATCTGATTTTATTCATTTGCTTGGCTTTTTTGAGTGGCTGTGGCGAGTGTGATCATTGAGTCAAGCAACTTGGTTGTTTCGTATCACATCAAAAAGGCATCGAAATCTGTTGGCAAGTAGGGAAGTTTCCCTTAGTTGGGTCATCTGACAAAATTTTAGAAGCGGGTTATGACCCGGATTCGGGCTAAATAAACACTACACACTAATGTTTTCCGACTAATTTCAAAAATCAATGTAGGCCACCCATCTAGACTTTGGAAAATATCCATAAATTGGCTTTCTTGCAAGATCATTTTTAATCCTTAAAACTTAGCTATAAAATTCCTCTTCTATTTCTTTTTAGCAAAACTAGAAGGTTCCATAGGGTTAATCTCCTAACTGAATTCTTTGTTTGAGATATATTAAGTGCATACAAAATTACAAGCCAATCAGGTAAGTTTTACAAGACTTACTTATCAATTTGCCGAAGGACAGACGGACTTAGTTACATAGGCTCGGGCTATTCGAAGTAGTCTAAGAAGAGGGATAGAACTTCAGTGAAAATAGGTTGTTCACGACAACGAAACACTAGTAAAATTTATTTTTTAATTATTTTCTATCCCAAAAAGTCAAAATCCGACCTGACTTTGTGCCGTCGTAGCGGTCCTTGCCAAAATCACCTTTCTTAGCTTTTTCGCTCAGAGCTAGTTAACATTATAAGCTAAATTTAGAGTAAAAATCTAAGAAAGGTGATTTTGGCAAGACTTGCTACAGCCGTTTCAATTTAGCCGGAAATCATGCCTTGGACAGTACTTATCTTTGACAAATTTGACACATTATTTGAAAAATACGTAAATCTTTTATCAATTTTTCCAAAATACGTACACTTTTTAAATATTTCAACGATGCGAGACGAAATTTGGGTTGGAGTAAGGCACAGGGTTATAGGTGACGTAACCTGTAACCTTCCATGTTATAACGTCCCATTTGAGGGTTACAGGTTACAGGTGACATCTCCTGCAGGTGACAGGTTACAAGGGCCGTACTAACTAATTACCCATATTGGGGTATGGTTCGTATTTAAGCGAGCGAAGCGAGCAGGTTAGGTTAGTTTGGGTACGCGGAAAGTATAACATAATTGGCTAGTTTTCCTAGCTTACATTCCTAGCTAATTTTCCTAGATAGTTTTCCTAGCTAAATTTCCTAGCTAGTCTTCCTAGGTAGTTTTCCCAGCTAATTTTTCTAGGTAGTTTTCCTAGCTTACATTCCCAGCTAATTTTCCTAGGTAGTTTTCCTAGCTAAATTTCATGTAGTCTTCCTAGCTACTTCCTAGCTAGTTTTTCTAGGTAGCTTTCCTAGCTAGTTTCAGTAGCTAGCTCACCTAGGATTATAGTGGTTAGCCAACTATGTCATACTTTCTGTGTACCCAAACTAACCTAACCTGCTCGCTTCGCTCGCTTAAATACGAACCATACCCCAATATGGGTAATTAGTTAGTACGGCCCTTGTAACCGGTCACCTGCAGGGGACGTAACCTGTAACCTGAAGGTTACATCACCTGTAACCTGCAGGAGATGTCACCTGTAACCTGTAACCTTCAAATGGGACGTTATAACATGGAAGGTTACAGGTTACGTCACCTATAACCCTGTGCCTTACTCCAACCGAAATTTGTTTGCTCATACAAGTGCGTGGGACATACAAAAATCTGGAGTTTTAAATTAAGAAATACAAATTTTGCTAAAATTTTATTTTTGTCTTTTCACATATACATGTTTCTACGATTTTTTCGCAAATACATATCCACCCTCTGTTTATCTTGGAAAATTTCTCCCTTTACTAGTATTAAATTAAATCCTTTTCCCACTTGTACATTCCGATGAATCACGGCCACCTGCGTGGACGCCAGACAGACGAACATGGCAATTACATAAGCCCTGATTCGACCTAAAAATATATACATATTTTGTAAATATTTCGAATGCGAGACAAAATTTTTGTGCTGAAAGAAATTGGACCACAAAAAAATCCAGATAATTAAATTAAAAAATACTTTACTTTTATGTTTTTTTCTATTTTTCATAAAATTTCAACAATTTTTAGTAAAAAAAGGTCACATCAGGAAATTTCTGCCTTTATTAAATTACATCCTTCCCACTTGAACATTCCGATGAATCACGGCGACCTGCGTGGACGCCATGTTCGGTACGAGCGCGACCCACGACTCGATCGTGGGGGGAGGTCGATACTGGACACCTTGTTGACCTCCTCCATATTGCTGGACCGGAAGCAAGAGTGGTTTCCGGTCGAACGGATAACCCATCGGTTTTTTGTCGGGATAAGCTTGCCCCATAATTCCGCAGTGGATATAGGACGGGACACATTGCGACATGGAGGAATCTTCCGAGGGGGCGAGGTAATCTTGGGATGCGTCCGTGATCATGACGAAGAGGTCGAAGGTCATACCGCCCTCGAGACCTTTGGGCAGGAGGAGATGGTGCGGGTAGTCGCATTCGCAGTTGACCCTGTCGTCCACGCCGGCGGCGATGTCGTCCCTCATGTCCGGCACGGATTCGGGCCATTCTGCGGTCAGGGATGAGTTCTGGGAGTGGCGGGTGAGCACGTTTCGACCGGGTTGGACTAAATTAGGGGGTGGGAAAAATATTTAGGAAATGATGCATTTTTTAGGAAATGAAATTTCATATCAGTGTTTCGTTTCTTTCGAGTTTGCTATACTTCTTGTATTGGAAAGCAAACCACGCAAGAAATGTGAGGTGCAAGAAACTGGGAGAAAGTGCAAGAAATAAGCGCCATCCGGCCAAGCGTCGTATGAAGTAAAGCGGTGGGAAAGAGTTTTTTGCACCTTGCATTTCTTGCAGGTCAAAATAGCTACAAAAACCACTTTCTTGCGTGTTTGGCACATTTCTTACACGCAAAGGCAGCAAGCAAGAAATGTAGTGCAAGAAAGTGGGAGAAAGTGCAAGAAATAAGCGCCATCCAGCCAAGCGTCGTATGAAGGAATAGCTGCGGCGGGGCGTGGTTTCTTGCGCCGTGCATTTCTCCCAGGTCAAAATATTTCCCTGCAAGAAACCACTTTCTTTCCCTTATTTCTTGCACGTGGTACTTGACTTTCACCCGAAACACTGGAAATGATACATTTCAGGAAATCAAATTTCACATACTTTTATCTATGAAGGCATCCATTGTAAAAAATAGTGGAATCTGTTCCTCAAACGTAAATCGTTCTTGTCCCCCCGGCTTGAATCTGGGGGCCATAAAAATCCGGACAAATGCCAAAACAGCGTCACGATGATGATTTTCCTACATTCAGATTCGTCTTGATACACCATTTTTACAAACCAAATATTGAATTAATTCACGCAGTTTTTGGGGAACTTCGTAAAATCCGTAAATTCTACAAACTTTTACACAATTTTACACATATTTCTGAGGAAAATTAGCTTACAATTTTTCTAAATTTGTTCAGATCAAGTGCGTCTGATTAATTTTTTTGTAAAAGTTTATCAAATTATTTGCGTCTCTTCATTTTTTAGGCGTTTGTAAAACGATTTTACAAACCTCACAAATTTTACGAAGTTACCAATGCCTGCGTGAATTCCTTCATAAATCTTCATCTCATACCACATTAATGTTATACACGAACTCGTCATGGTCCAAAAATTTGACGCAGGCATCCACCAACGGCGCATTTCTTGTCATATTCGGATTAAAATCGAGCCCACCCTCGCCCTGGAAGCGTCGCATGTTCCAAAACGTTCTTAGATTATTCGCTGGTGGATCATGGTCCCGATTTTGCAGGGGTGACGAGTCCAAATCCACGTGCACAGAGAGCCCCGTTATTGCCACCCCTTGGAAAACGAGGGGGTGTTCGCCCCCCGTTAATTGATACGGTTCAAGTGCCATTCCTTTATACGTTTTGAACATGTAATCCGCCGCGGCATGGACGCGATAAAATAGCACGTCCCGCATGGCCGTCGCTGTGGAGGACATGACGCCATAGATGCCCTAAAAATAGGAGGAGGGTTGTTATTGATAAGCCTGGATATTTACAGTGTTTCGAGTGCAGGAAACCAGTTGCAAGAAATAACGGGGAGAAAGTGGTTTCTTGCAGGGAAATAAATATTTTGACCTGCAAGAAACGCAAGGTATCTATATGAAAGAAACCATTTCCCAAGTGGCTAGATGGTGCACTTTCTCCCAATTTCTTGCACCTCACATTTCTTGCGTGGCTTGCACTGCAAGAAATGTAGAAAACCCGCAATCAAGTTGTTTTTCAACTTTTTTGACCTGCAAGAAATGCTAGGCGCAAGAAACAACGCCCCGCCGCTGTAAATACTCCATATGGCGCGTGGCTAGTTGGCGCATATTTCTCGCACTTTCTCCCAGTTTCTTGCACCTCCCATTTCTTGCGTGGCTTGCTTTCCCAGTGGCAAACACGCAATTAGCGAAAAACTAGCTACTTATTTTTTTAAACCTGCATGTTTTATTCTGCTTGAACGTTTAAGGGAACTGGAGATATTTTGCAGAAAAAGTGGTTAATCCCGTAAACAAAATCGCATTTTAAACCTCGCTAATCGTGCTGACAAAGTAGAAAATTTCTAAACGATTTTTTCCCTGGAGAAAGTAACTAGTTAGCCAAAAATCTTGGAATTGATAGACTTTGACTTTGACACCGGAAAATAAAGATCTACTTACAATGCGATAGTGTGAAGTGTAACCCTCTGATTTGGCTGAAATTTTTAAATTAGGTGGTCCAAGTCAATACAACTAACGTTTCTTCAGCCAGTTTGTGCGATGGTTGGAGTTACTCAAAATATTTGAGGTCAAAGTTGAAAAAACAGCCGACTTTTTTCAGGCGCAGGGAGAAAACTCCACTTCCATTCTATTCCCCTCGCATTGATTTTATTCAGGTTTCTCACTCACACATACGCCTTTATACATAAGCATAAGCAGTGATGCAAAATAACCAAAATAAAACATTATTAATTCCGGCTTAAATAAGAATTAACACGCCTCATGCTCGCTTAATTTAATTCATAACTGAATACGTGAGATTTTTACTTCTTTGCATTAAAAATTCATTCAAACATTAATTTATAAATTCATCAGCGGCAAATAAACATGGAAAAACTTAACTTACTTTTCATTTCGAAAGCGTTATTCTGATTTCCAATTCATTTGAAAACAAAGACCAATGCCCATGTGCAATGAATAATATTTTTCTATAATAAATTAAATTTAAAATTGGTGAAATGGATTATTTTTCGGAGTGAAAATCAATGCGAGGGGAAGAGAATGGAAGTGGAGTTTTCTCCCTGCGCCTGAAAAAAGTCGACCATTTTTTCAACTTTGACCTCAAATATTTTGAGTAACTCCAACCACCGCACAAACTGGCTGAAGAAACGTTAGTTGTATTGACTTGGACCACCTAATTTCAAAATTTCAGCCAAATCGGAGGGTTACACTTCACACCATCGCATTGTTAGTAAATTTTTGTTATCTACTCTAATAAAGTGTTAGTATGATCCCTGGGTCCCTGGGTCCGTCTTCGCAATGCAAATTGCCCCATACAGTAGACAAAGAAGGAAGCGGAGCAACCACTGCATGCATGCACTGCACTGCATGAATAAATGAATACATGAACATGTACACCCCACATACATACATCACTCATCAATAGTGGTTATCATGATAAGTGATCGTGATAAACACTATTAATTAATTATTTTAGTTTGAGAAACTCTACCCACAGCGAGTGGCATGTCAATTCGAATGTATTTTTGACGCTGAATCCAACGCCGTCAATGGTTTTGACCTGCGAGGCCCCCGTGACCTCGCCGTGACCGTGGTGTCCAAATCTGGCTTATTCGTGATGTCGCATATCAATCCGAATGTATTTTTGACGCTGAATCCGAATTCGTCAATAGCTTGGCGTTAATTGTAGAAGTTAACGGGGTTTATGGAACTTAACGGGAGCGTGAAGCGTGGGAATTTAAATAGTTAGCTATGCAGTTACTCCCACGCGACGGGAATTTAAGTAATTAGCTATTCAACTACTCCCACAGGGGGGAATCAAATTTTACTGTGACCAGGTTAATTAAAATGCAGTATGACTTGGGCAAACCCTCAGTCTGATGTATGTATGTAGTATGACAAAGTCTCCACTGGGAATTATTTAAAATATAGTATGACGGATTTTTCGCTTTGGGCACACCCCCCACTGGAACTCTAGAACCCGGCCTTGGCCGGGCTATACGCTAGTTGTAAATATAGTAGATATCTTCCATTGAGATAAAGTATAGCTTGAAAAAGTAAAAAGTTCTAAGGTGAGGAGTGCACTTAAAAGTACTAAACAAGCTCCCCCCGCCACCCAAATAATTTTACTTCGCCTGGCAGTCTAGGGATTGGCAGTGAATTCACCTGCTTTGGCCGTGAATTCACGGGCCTGAGAGGCTGCAGATTCACGGGCTTCAAGATAGGAAAAACTGTGAATTCACGGCCCGGAAAAAAATAATTTCCAGAGCCGTGAATTTCCCATCAGAACAATCAGTTAGCACGGTTGACGGTTGGCTGTCACTGAATGCTTATCTTAAGTCATCTTATATACACTACAAAGTTTTACTTCCACTATTTGCATATTGTGCAAAATAATCAAGGTTTTCAAAATGTTTGTCATTTTAAGTTCCCACCACTCCCCTTTCCGAGGGGGTGTGGTCATATTCACCAATTAGAATTGTGACGGATTTACACATTATTTTGTGTGAAAATTTCGAAAATCTTTGTCATTTTAAGTTTTTTAAGTTCCCACCACTCCCCCATCGAGTGGGAGTGGTCATATGCACAAATTCAAACAGTGGCGGTTTTACACATTATTTTGTAAGAATATTTCGGAAATCATCATAATTTTGGACTCTGACCACTCCCCTTCAAGTGGGAGTGGTCATGTACACAAATTCAAATTTTGACGGATTAGTTTATGTGAAAATTCCGAAAATCAAAAATTTGATGATTTTGATCAAAATTTCACTTTACCCCATACCGGGGGTGTGGTCAAGTGGGGTCAACGTCCTAAACAGTTAAACTTAATATTTTTTCATAATGTGTTGATTCTGACCAAAATCTCACTTTGCCCCACCCTGTGGGTGTGGTCAAGTAGGGCTACCTTTCAATTTTGAGCATAGTTCATGTAGTATAGGATATCATAAACAAATGCATGAATTTCAAAATATATTCAGGGCACTACTTTCAACTTTTTATTGTTGTTTGCGTTCGACGTGCCAGCGTGCGCATTATTTGAGAAATGTAATTTTTTCAATTGAAATTGAGTTATTTCGAATTTCGCATGGATGAATTTTTTTTAAATAAACCTCTAAATATTTAAACAAAATTATCCTATTTTTTGGGCCCCTGCGTTTTTTTAAAAAGTTTTCAGAAAAATTAAAATTTTCAAAAAACGAAAATAAAAAATTTTGAAGCCCGTGAAATCACAGCCTTAAAGATAGGAAAAGCTGCAGATTCACAGCCCTAGAATTATTTTTAAATTATTTTTTCTTCTGGGCCGTGAATTCACAGCTTTTCCTATCTTGAAGCCCGTGAATCTGCAGACTTTCAGGCCCGTGAATTCACGGCCAAAGCAGGTGAATTCACTGCCAATCCCTAGACTGCCTGGGCTGTCTATTCCATGCAAAATATCTATTGCAAATAAAAATACGTTGTAAATAAGTCGCTCAAAGAGTCACCTAAGAAATCTAAAAACAATGGTTGTATCGTATACTATAGGTTTAAAATATATCGGTTTATCCGTCCATATATTCTCACATGAATGTACAACGAGCACATTGTCGAGCTAGTTATACAAGTAATTAATAAATATTTGGGGACGGGCCATATGTAATTACTAATAATTACCACCAGTTGAATTTAACTGATATTTATTGACACATGAATAAAGGACAACTAACTAACTAACTAACTAACCAAATGATCATAATTGCTAATACCCTTACCTCCCAGCAAAGTTCTGGATATTAACCAATTCAAAAGCTAACTTTGGACCAAGAAATTAAATCTGATCTTTATTTTATTATGTAACGCCGAAGTATTATTGTCGATATTTTGCATGGAATAGTTTGCATGGAATAGACAGCCCAGGCGAAGTAAAATTATTTGGGTGGCGGAGGGAGCTTGTTTAGTACTTTTAAGTGCACTCCTCACCTTAGAACTTTTTATTTTTCAAGCTATACTTTATTTGTTCTTTTTTAGGTTTGAATTTTAAAAGCAAATATAGAATATAAACACTATCAGTCTAGGGATTGACAGTGAATTTGCGAGCCTAGCCCGTACTGTCAATCCCTAGACTGACTATTGTATGCTATAAATCAACATTTACACCGTTAGTCTTTCGGATATCATAGCTAATTTAATTCGTTCAAATTTACAGCATATGTTTTAAAAGTGTCAGTTGAAAGATATCAATTTTGATATTCCTAACCACTAACAAATTTGTGCTTCGACTTATGTGTAAAGCTATATCTAAGACCGTTGGTAACAATTTCTAATAGTGTGGGTGACTTTAAAGGGTCCCTCCACATACAAATCTTCCCAATCCCAGTTCATATTCTGCCATTAGGTGCGACTAGAAACCGATGTACTAAATTATAACTCGACTAGCGTATAGCCCGACCAAGGCCGGGTTCTAGGGTTCCAGTGGGGGGTGTGCCCAAAGCGAAAAATCCGTCATAATATACTTTAAATAATTCCCAGTGGAGACTTTGTCATACCACATACATAAATCAGAGTGAGGGTTTGCCCAAGTAATGCTGCATTTTAATTAATCTGGTCACAGTACAATTTGATTTCCCCCTGTGGGAGTAGTTGAATAGCTAATTACTTAAATTCCCGTCGCGTGGGAGGAACTGCATAGCTAACTATTTAAATTCCCACCCTTCACGCTCCCGTTAAGTTCCATAAACCCCGTTAACTTCTACAATTAACGCCAAGCTATTGACGAATTCGGATTCAGCGTCAAAAATACATTCGGATTGATATGCGACATCACGAATGAGCCATATTTGGAAACCACGGTCACGGGAAGGTCACGGGGGCCTTGGAGGTCAAAACTATTGGCGTTGGATTCAGCGTCAAAAATACATTCGAATTGATATACCACTCGCTGTGGGTGGAGTTTCTCAAACTAAAATAATTAATTAATAGTATTTATCAAGATCACTTATCATGATAACCACTATTGATGAGTTATTTATACTGCTCACTGAGCTCACTCACTCAATTTACTTATGCACACTGTGTTTATATACAAAGGCATTTAATTTGAGATTGATGGCAAGCGTACGTACGTGAAAGTCACGTGCAGGCGAAGTGAGACTCATGCAGTATGAAAATTCATGCATGCAGTGGTTGCTCCGCTTCCTTCTTTGTCTTCTCTACGGGGCAACTTGCATTGCGAAGACCGACCCAGGGAGGACTTAACACTGGCATTTTATGTATATGGATTTGATGATTTTGCGAAATCAGTATGGGTGACCCCACCCTTCAGATGAATATTTTTCCAATCTGATTTCATATTCTTCCATTAGGAGCCACTAACAATCTGTATGCCAAATTTCAGCTTTCTAAGACAATTTTAAAATCTGGTGCATAGCACCCCACTACTTAGATGACCCCAACAGGTCAACCATTTGACCGATTTCGCCCACACTCGAACTTGTTTCATAACTTTGCTCAATATGCATATGGTAAAATTGCAAGTCTATCGTGTTCACGGACGGACATGACGGTCCCATAAGCCCGGACACGGGCTAAGACTATAAATTACTCCATAGCGAGGGTGTAACTATATAGTTCCTATATAGCAACCACTCGGAAATTTATAAGGAAAAGTCGCTGGTTTCTCAACCAATCGACCCAATTCTTGTTTCCCCTTATAGTAAAGTGGGGGCGATCTTTCATAAATTTAGATACCCAGCTATGTAGGTAGTCTCCTTCATACTTAAACTGTGAAACCCAACCATTCACCACCATCAAAACTTTTGTCTGGGAGGTCATATCGAAAAATCCCTAAAGATAGCACTAGATTAGGTCCGTAATTGATTTTTCGGTCTCTTTATTTTTTTCTCTAAAACGCACCCCCTTGACTGTAAGGCGCGGTCAAAGTTTTCAAGACCTGTCGGAATGCATACTAAGGTGTAACTGTAACTATAGTTTTTTACCTCACCTTAGAAAAACATTGAGAAAACGAAATTATTGAATGAAATAAACTTAAGGTAAAACGACACATTTTTTACGTCTTTTAGCAACAAAATAATTCGTCAAAATAAAATATGCACCATTTTTGAGCTGCGTTCTTCCCAGGGTTTGCATTCCCAGGGCTGTCACTCCCACAAAAGGACGAAAAAGTACGAGGGGAAAACAGAAGTCTTTCGAAATACAGGTTTTCTGAGGAAATTAACTTTTATCCTTGTCAAAATAATTTTTTAATCGAGAAAACAATGTACTTTGACAGCTATAAAAAGCTAATTTACAAAACCCGTAGTAGCATTTTGACCATTCTTGTTGATAAGGTTGCATCCATGATAAGCGTATTTTTATGTATTTCTCACGGGTGCATAATGATTACTGAGGACACTTCCTATGACGAGATGAGCATCATTGTGCCAGCCCATTTGTCCATAAAAGGACGGATTTGCTGACCAGACCGACGCCTCCAACAGCTCTCCGATCACGTTTATGTTATCCGCGTACGTCAATTTAACCGGCTTTCCGTTCTAAATACATTAAAATTTTGTAATTAAAAAAATATATTTTGAACAATTAGAGTTTTTAAAAATTGTTCAAAATTTTTAAATCTTAGTGTTTTTAATTTTTTTAAATATTGAATTTTGAACAATCTTTTCTAAAACAATTGTTGACTTGTTTTTTTCCTTACGATAACTATCGTCCCAGTCAAGATAAGGTCCAAAACTCGTTTCCAGAAATCAGCCAAGTTTAAAAGTTTCGAAAAATTATTGTTGTCCAATGTTTTCTCCTGAAAATAATGCAAAAATAATAGATATTATTCGCTTAAGTTTAGTATATTAACATAATTATGTAAAATATGTACATTTGTAATTTGCAAATAATTTGTAAATATTATTTTTACTTTTTCAGAAATGTACAAATTTTTCGACGATTAAAGTTTTCCTTGAAAAAATTCGACTTCAAAATTTTTTAGTATTGAATAAATTGCGCTTCAAAACGCCAAAAATGCAATTTCAGAATTGTTTTTTATTTATAATTTAATTTTCTAGATAACTTGAATTTATAGTTCATACATATTTTTCGTACTAGTTTTTACGGTCATACACACAATTTTTAAACATTTCGGGTATTTAAAAAAACCTAAATTTTCCTAGCCATTCGACAAGTAAAGTTTTTCTTTGAAAAATTGGACTACAATTTTTTTAAATGATGTTAATAATAATTGGGCTACGATAATGCCAAAAATGCATTTTCAGAATTTTTAAGCAACGCAACTTATTTTCTTAGATGCGTTTGATTTCATAAATGTCCCATGCTAATTTTTAAGATAATATTTCATATATTTTCGCAGAATTTTTTCACAATTTTTTTAACACTAAATTCGGTTTTGGTTTCGCAAACATTTTTTCATACTAAAATGTTTATGGCTGTGTTACCAGTGGCCGCGGAAGCCGTGGGGACATGTGGGGGCATTAATATTGTAAGATGGGGGGAGGAAGGGGTTCATACAACATGAGGAGATGATGAGGACATTGTCCCTCTGTCCCGCAGTTCCTCGGCCAGTGCATCATGTTTATGCATTTGAGTAGCATGAATTCACCCAGTGGCCGTGGGACATGTGGGGATATTAACATTGTGGGGTTTGTATAAGATGGGCAGATGATGCGGACATCGAACAACCGTGGGACATTGCCCCTCTGTCCCCCCACCCTTCCGCGGCCACTGTTTTTTATTTATTTTACGTACATTCACAGGAACACTGGAAGGTCTCGGGATCCAAAAGTTTGTCGAGACTCCGTCCCTCAAATGAGAATCAAAGCCTTGTTCCAAAACCGTGTTGTAGTTCAGGGTCAGCGGGGTCACGAAGTAGTCGGAAAACCCGTTCGATAACCGTTCCGCGGCATATCTGCGGGCATAATTTTTCCATGAAATTAAAATCCAAATCAGTAAAGTTCTACGTATGCAAAACCCCACCTGGCGAGGATATCGTGATGAAAAAAGCTAAAGAATTCTCCCCGTCTAGGAATCTGCTTTTCTGATATGATCGGAAATAAGAGGTGCCAAATCATGTGGTGACCATTTAACATGACCTGGAAAAAAATGTGAAATATAAAATTAAGGAAAGCACAGTGGAGGTCTCCCAGCAGATGCTCTCAGATTTTGACCAAAATAGCGTCAATCAATCGCAAGTTTAATTAGTATGAAATTTGCGAAACACATGACCTCCCAATGGGCACGTTTGGCCGAGATATTTGCATCCCAAGAGTAGAAATCGCTCAGGAAATTTAGAAAGTGTAAAATTTGTCGACTTTAGGGCAGGGTTTCTCCTCTTTGGATGCAAGCATCTCTGCCAAACGTGCCCATTGGGAGATCGTGTCTTTCACAAATTTCATACTAGTTAAACTTGTCATCGATTGACACTACGTAATTTAACTAAAATCTCAAATTAGTGTACTTTAATAATAAATTAGATTAGGATGAAATTTGCAAAAGACACGATCTCCCAATGGGCACGTTTGGCGCAGATATTTGCATCCGAAGAGGAGAAAACGCGCAGTAAATTTGGAAGTTGTAAAATTTGTCGTGTCTTTCATCCTAGCTAAATTTGCGATCGATCTACAGTAATTTTGCATTTTTAAAATTTACTGTAGTTATTACTACAGTTTTGTTTTTAAAAATGTAACCCTTTGACACCTTTCGAGTGAAATAAACACGCAGTCCACTAATAATAATATTTTAGATACGTTCATTACCAATTCGTTCCGTAAAATATGATGAAAGTCAAATTCGCACGAAAATTGACAAGAGGATGTTATAATATGTCAAAATCTTACATCTTGTCGGAAATACCACAACAAATTTTCAACTCCATTATCCATCCCGACGCGCTCATCGACGACGTAACATTGCTAAAAAATAAATTGGCACAAATTTTATCATTAAAATAAACAAAAATTCGCTTGTTTATTAGCATAGCATCTACGGACCGATTGAGCTCCATTATTGGCACCACTTTGACCCTGTCCACCTCCATCTGGTTGTTGTCTTTGGGCGTGTGTATGTCTGACCGGGACATTTCGTTTTCCTCGGGAAAATCCTTGACCTGGTTGACCTTGGCCATTATTATTGTCATTTCTGTCACGTTGTATAGCAGCATTGGGGTAGAATCCTTGACTTTGTTGACCTACGCCTTGACCTTGACCATTATTATTATTGCCCTGGTCGCGTTGTGTTGCAACATTGGGGAAGAATCCTTGACCTTGACTTTGATCTTGTTGACCTTGACTTTGACCATGACCATTGTTATTATTGCCCCTGTCTCGTTGTATGGCAGCATCTGGGAAGAAGAGGGTTGGCAGGAGGGCGAAGGAGTTTGGTCGTCGGAGGTTCATCAGGGCCGGATTTCCTCTCGCTTGGGCCTTGATGAAGGCCGAGTACCAAACCTGGGGATGAATTTCCCTCCGAGATTTGCAGTAGTCGGAAAAATCAAGAAAACTCTCGACATCCGTGCGCTCTAAAATTTGCAAAACATAAGAATTTTTCAGACATGCAAAAGTACATGCAAAAGTCTACAGAAGTAAACTTTCTGCAGAAAAGCTCTGTACATTTTACTTTACTTATAACGTGAATCGAATTTTTAGTCATTTCTCAGCTCTGGGAATTTATTTTAAAATTCTGGACGACAAATTTATAAAGCAGGTAGTGGCCAATTAAAAAAATATAAACTCCCAATTTTGACACTTTTTGAAGGAGGAGGTCTCAAGTTTAAGAAGCCTTCAGAAAAATTGGAACGCATCGAAACTGACTGAAAAACTCACCGCTATTCCATTAATCAACTCACTGACGTTCAGAATTTTAAAATAAATTCCCAGAGCGAGAAATGATTTAAAATGTGCAAATTTTAACGATTTTAGTCACGACTCATATCAGTCCTGCGTTAATAAATTTACTCAGATATGAAAATTTTGCAAGTTTCTTCTTTAGGGACTCCCAACTTTGTAAAAAAATCGCTTTTTTCGCTCTTTTCTCAAAACGCTTTTTTCTAAATTGCGATGCGATTTCGTTCTTTTTTCACTCTTTTCGTCCAAAAATAAAATTATGTTAACCTTGATTTTATTTTTAAGCAAAAATATTGTAAAAAATTTCGAAATCGCATGCGGAATTGAGAAAAAAGCGTTTTGCGAAAGAGCGAAAAAATCGATTTTTTTGCAAAGTTGGAACTCCTTTTTATAACTCAAATTTTTCTGCACAAAAACTGCCAAATTTTCGGGGAATTCTTAATTGCATACGTGATTAAATAGTTATCTATTTTACCCACCCTTCAGCAAGCCTTCCAATTCATCCACGGCACTTCGATGACTCGGATTGAAACTGGCGAACATCGAGGTTGGAGCACATTTTGTCGCAATACTAGAAAAATTGGCGTCATACGAAGGAAACTGAGATCTATATCGGGTCAAAGTATTCTCCTCAATTTGGTTCAACGGTGTCGCAAATATGTTAAAGTATCTTTGCAATAGTGATTGACAAAATAATTACGAAAATAAAGTGGAAATTTTGAAAATTTGGCATTTTTCTTTTTCACAAAACGTAGGCAGCTACTGGTATATGCATGTGGACAGAAATCTCATTCATCCACTTTGGAGTGCAATTGTTGTAATAAATCTTAAATGGCGAGTAAATTTAGCCAGTGTTTCGAACCACTTGCAAGAAATAACTGCAGGAAAGTGTTTTTTTACAGGTGAATATTTTGACCTGCAAAAAATGCAAAACTCAAGAAACTTCATACGGCGCGTGTCTAGATGGCGCTTATTTCTTGCACTTTCTCCCAGTTTCTTGCACCTTGCATTTCTTACCTTACACTGCAAGAAATGTGCCAAAAACCGAAACCAAGTAGTTCCTCGTGTCTATTTTGACCGGATAGAAATGCAAAGCTTAAAAAACCAGATGGTGCACATTTCTTTTCTCCCACTTTTATGCAGTTGCTTGCACCTTGAATTTCTTGCATTTCTTGCTTTGCAGTTCCACAAATATAGCAAACCCGCAACACTGATTTTAACATGAATGAACGGAAATGGATGGAAATGTACAGAAAATTTGTATACATACATACGTAATTTTATTACCAAAAATTAATCATTGTTTCAAGCATATCCTTAAAAATTGGGACATTTCGATTTAAAAACCTATTGAATTTCGTATAATATACAATAAAAAAAAAACTGGGCGACATACATGCATATTCGCAAATTGGGGAATGAATCCTGATGAAAAATGAGACTATGATAAATGATAAATCAATTCGGGTATCAAATGGCTGGCTTATCATTTTCGTAGTAACTCACTCATTCGAACATGAGAATTTAGGAATTTTCTCCCAGTATCTCCGGCGCATTATGCAATATTTGATTTTACAAAGTCATTCCCGAATAAACTGGACTTGTCATCCCGTCCAATGCACATTTTTCATGTGTACACGTTCAAGTGTAGTATGCATGCATAACAAAAATCATGCAAAAAACGTATCATTATTCTCTCACTCAAGTCCAAGGTTGAGTTGAACATGTGAAAATAATCTCATACGCGTTTATACGTATCATATGAACACTTGAGTGATGTGATGATTCCAATGAAAATCATTCCGCAATTCAGTGCTTTGAAGCAGTTGTTTCTGCATTAAGTTAAGTCCTCTGCTGTTCATTTACATGTAAAAAACCTTTCAAAATTTCAAAAAACATTGGAAATCCTTCAATTACAAATTATTTTGTGCAAATTTTGAGTGCTAGAAAGCAGTTGTTGTTACATTCAATTAATTCATCGTGTTTTTTTAAAATATAAACATCTCTAGAAATTTCAAAATTTTGAAAAAATAATAATGTTCCTTCTTCTTTCTCTCTTGTCTGCGACTGGATTATCTACGACGACCCTGGTCACCATTTTTGCCCTCCTTCTGGGCACGTATTTCGTCCTTTTTCCTCAAATTAATCGGAAATGGCAGGAAAGGAAATGGTATGTAACTAACTCAATTTCGAAATTTTATAAAATTTTACATGCAAATTTTTATATGCAAAATGCAGGAAAAAGTGGTCAAACACTCCGAAAGATTTGGTCATTATGCATGCAATCTTTCGAGGAAGAACGGTCCCTCATCCTTCCCCATTCGTCCTGAAACTCGAAACGTATTTAAGAATGGCGAAAATTCCGTATAAAGTATTGGCAAATATTTACATTTATATTTTCGCAATATTTCGCGTAAACTAATTAAAACAAAATTTATTTATAGGCAGACATAAGTATTATTGACGCGTGGGGACCGAAATCCCGTTTTCCTTGGATTTCGATAAATGGACAGCATTTAGGAGATTCACAGCTTGCGATTGAATATCTTAACAAGTTTGTGGCCATAAGAAATATTTAATTGGTGTAATTTTTTCAAATACAAAATTTCCAATGGTGGGAAAATACTTTGTTAAAATATTTTGAGCTCCGTTCTTCCCAGGGTTTCGATTTCCGGAGGCTGTTACACCCACAAAAAGACGAAAATCTATATACGTGGAGAAGACAACAATCACACAAAAATACAGGTTTTGTCAAGAAATTAACTTTCTACCCCTGTCAAACTACTTTATTAAAAAAAAATCGTGGAAACATTGTATTTTGACAGGGATAACATAAAAGGTTAATGTCTTCAAAAAACATGATTTTTCCTGTTGTCTTCTCCACGTAGATTTTCTTCTTTTTGTGGGTCTAAAAACCCAGAAAAGAAATAAAAATCCAGTACGCTCAAAATACTGCATTTTGACAAACTATTTTGGCGAAAGTCGTAAAAAAATGTGTAATTCTATCTTCAATTTATTTTAATAATCTATTTTGATATTACACACGCGGTTTTGACATCTTATCTATCAGTCATCACATTAAAAACAATTACAATTCGCAAAATCTTTTCGGTGTCAAACTTTGTCACAAAAAAAAATCTTGAAAACAATATATTTTTGACCGCGATAGAAAAATATTTTCTTTATAAAACCTGTTTTTCCTAGCAAGTTGTATTTTTTACGTATATTTTCATCGTTTTGTGGGCGTAACAGTCCCGGAAATGTAAAGCCTGGGAACAACCGAGCTCCAAATACTGTATTTGACAAAGTAGTGTTTCCCACATTAAAAAAAATTACTTATAAATTTTGCACAACTTTTTTTTATTATTATATCGAAAAACTTGTCAGAATCAATTATTTTTCTATGAGATTCGTATTCAAATCTGGTTTTTACATGAAATTTTTTCGTTTTAAAATTCGTCCTGTGGAAAAGTTCGGTCGAATTTTTTAGTTAATTTATTTATGCGAAGAAATAAAAAAGATTATTTTTTATTTTTTATTTTTTGCTAGAAAATTTGAAGTAAAACTTGGTCACGAATATTCCAAGAGTGAGTTGGCTATCGGGGCCGTGGTGCGAGTTATGGTGGACGATCACTTGTTCTGGTCAGTATTTTGTTCCGTTAAAAAATCAATGTTTCAAAAATTTGCATAAAAATTTGCATATCAAGAATAACTCAAATCCGACAGGGCGATTCCGATGGAGCGATTCGTGTACGCTCCGTACCACCGACTTGCGGAAGTCATGGGGTCACACCTTCCCAAATGGGTGATTTGGATTTACTACAAAGTTTTACAGGGTCAGGTCATCAAAAGGTCGAAAGGTCACGGAATCGGGCTCAATCCGCAGGAGGAAGTCCAACGTTTGACCCAAGACGACTTAAAGGTATTCATTTTGAACGAAAACGGTCTTTTTTACCTGAGATAAATCTAAAGCTGTTAAATTTTGACTTCTTAAAATGTTTCTTGCCGGCGTCAAAACTTGCAAAATTTAAAGCATAGTAAGTTGCGTGTAGAATTTTTTTTGCAGAATCTTCTATATTGGATTTACATAATTTTTCGATTTTTTTTAAATTATAAAAAAATTGGCCTATTCATTTTCACCGAAAATGATCTTATCGACCTGAGACAATTTGAAGCTATTAAATTTTAAATTCTAAAAATATTTCTTGATGGCGTTAAAAGACATATAATAAAAATTATGTGCGCACATTATTAGTAAATTTTTACCGGGTTTTGACGCCATCAAAATTGTAACCAACTGCTGACACATGTTTCGAAATTATGCAATTCATTTTTAGCCAAAGGGATCATCTCATCTGAGAGAAATCTAAATCTGTTAAATTTTGCATTCCAAAAATGTTTCTTGACGGCGTCAAACCTCGTAAAAAATTTCAAAATATAAATTTGCGCACAGAATTTTTTTTCTGCAGAAACCTCTAGAAATCAGTGCACACACAATTATGAAACAATGTGCCTATTCGTTTTGAGGAAAAATATGAACCTGAAATAAATACAGAGATGTTTTTCATTCTAAATATTTCTAGACGGCGTCAAACTTCGTAAAAAAAGTTTCAAGTTTCAAAAACATTACAAATTTGCGCACAGAATTTTTGTGCAAAAACTTCTGTAGAAATTAGTACACACATTATTTTTCAAAATTATGAGAAAATTGGCATATAGATTTTCTCCAAGAATAAAAAATACGAATTATTTTGCATTCTAATGTTTCCTGAGGGAGTTAAAACTCGCAAAAAGTTTAAATTTTAAATTTGATTGATGTCCACATAGAAGATTTTATTTAATTATGAAAAAACTGACCTATTAATTTTCCGCTAAAACATAAGCTATGCACCTGAAATTAGGCTAAAGCTATTTTTGCATTATAAATGTTTATTGACGGCGTCATTCCTCGTAAAAAAATTAAGTTTGAAAAATATTACAAATTTGCATTTGCAGAATTTTTATTGCAGAAACTTAAATCAGCGCACAAGTTATTTTTCGAAATTATAGAAAACTTTACCCATTCATTTTCAGCAAAAATACGATTTGAAATAAATGTAACGAGCCTTTTCATTCTAAAAATGTTCCTTGACGGGGTTAAAACTCGCAAAAAATTTCAAGTTTCAAAGATATTACTAATTTGCATATATTTTTTTTCGTCTAAGTCTGTCTAAGGTGACTAATTATTTTCCAAAATTATGAAAAAGTTGGCCTATTCTTTTTCACCAAGATTGAAAAATACGAACCTGAAATAATTCCCACGATAGAATTTTGCATTCTAAGTTTCTTGTTAGTAATATTTAATCTTAAAATTTTTGCGGATTTTAGTGCCGTCTAAGTCTGTAAAAAGCTACTGACACATGTTTTTGAAATTATGAAAAATTCGCCTATTCATTTTTCAGCAAAAATGAACTTATCCACCTGAGATGAATCTAAAGCAGACTAAAGCTATTAAAATTCAGAAAATGTTTCTTGACGGCGTCAAACCTCGCAGAAAATCCACAAGTTTAAAAAATATTACAAATTTGCATTCAGAAATGTAAAGATATTTTGCATTCTAAATATTTCTTGACAACGTCAAACCTCTCAAAAAATTTAAAGTTTTTAAAATATTGCAAATTTGCACATAGAATTTGTCTTGCAGAATCTTCTGTAGAAATCGGCGCACAAATTTTTTTCTTCAAAAGTATGAAAAAATTGGCATATTCGTTTTCAGCAACAATATTATGTATCTGAAATAAATGTAAAGATAAGTATTTTGCATTCTAAATATTTCTTGACGGCGTTAAAACTTGCAAAAAAAATTAAACTTTAAATATTCGCAATGTTCGGGTGGTAGATTTTTGTTTTGCAGCATTAAGTCTGTACAAACCTGGCGACAAATTATTTTTCAAAGTTCTGAAAAATTGGCATGCCTGTTTTCATAAAAAAAATTAAAGTTTGTAAACACAGAATTTGGCAAATAATTTGTTTTATAGAAACTTCTGTAAAAATCGGGGCACAAATTCCTTTCTTCGAAATTACGAAAAAATTGGCTTATTTATTTTTAGAAAGAATAAATAAACCTAGCGATATTTTGCATTCTTTATGTTTCTGGACCGCGTTAAAACTCCCCAAAAAATTAAAGTTAGAAAAACATTACAAATTTGCGCACTTAATTTGTTTTGTAGAAACTTCTGTAGAAATCAGCGCTGATATTATTATTCGTAATTTTGAAAAAATTGGCCTATTTATTTCCTATCTCCAAAGACCAATTGACACACCTGAAATAAATTTAAAGTTATTCAATGTTGAATTATAAAAATGTTTCTTTACGGCGTCAAACCTCGCATAAAATTTTAAAACATTACAAATTTGCGCACAAAATTTGTTTTGCAGAAACTTCTGTAGAAATCGGGTTACAATTTTTTTTCTTCAAAAGTATGAAAAAATTGGCTTATTCGTTCGACGAAAAATATGTATCTGAAATAAATTTCAAAATATTTAACATTCTAAATCTTTCCTGACGGCGTTAAAACTCACAAAAAAATTGAAGTTTAAAAAATATTACAAATTTGCGCGCAGAATTTGTTTTGAAGAAACTTCTGTAGAAATCGGGGTACAAATTATTTTCTTCAAAATTACGAAAACAAGTTGGCTTATTTGTTTTTAGGAAGAATGTGAACTTGAAATAAACCTAAGGATATTTTGCATTCAAAATATTTCTTGAGGATGGTAAAACTTATAAAAAAAATTTGAGTTTCAATACGCGTACATAATTTTTTTTGAAAAATTAAGTCTGTAGACACCTTCTGATACATTATTTTTTCTAAATTATGAGAAAATTGGCCTATTATTTTCTCCAAGAATGAAAAATACGAACCAGAAAGAATGTTAACGAATTATTTCGCATTCTAATGCAAATTACAAATTGCAAATTTAAATGTGATTAATGTCCACATAGAAGGTTTTTAGAAAAAACTGACCTATTTATTTTCAGCCGGAATAATAATTTACAGACTTGACATAAGTCTGAAGCTATTTTTGTATTATAAATATTTTTTGATGGCGTTAAAACTATATAGCAAAAAAATTAAAGTTTGAAAAATATTACAAATTTTCACAGAATTTGTTTTCCATTCCAAATATTTCTTGAAACTCGCAAAAACAATAAACCTTCTGACAAATTATTTTTCCAAATTATGAGAAAATTGGCCTATTAATTTTCTCCAAGAATGAAAAATACGAACCTGAAGGAATGCTAACGAATTATTTTGCGTTCTAATGTTTTCTGAAAAACTCGGATAAAAATTTAAAGTTTAAATTTGATTAATGTCCGCATAGAAGATTTTTTTTAATTATGAAAAACTGGCATATTAATTTTCATCAGAAAAATTAGTTATAAACCTGAAATTAGTTTAAGGTATTTTTGCGTTATAAATGTTGCTTGACGGCGTTAAAACTTACAAAAAAATTAAATTTTAATAATAATTACCAATGTGTGCACAGCAATTTTTTGCAGATTTAAGTATGCAGAAATTCGCCGGCATCTTTTTTCAAGCTACGAAAAAATCATTTTCAGCAAGATTGCGACATTACAAATAAATTAATAGCTATTTGAACTTTAGAAATGATTCTTAACAGCGTCGTCAAACCTCGCAAAAAAATTTAAAGTTTCATTTTACGTACAGATTTTTTAAAGAATTAAATCTCTCGAAATCCTTCCGAATTTTTATTTTTCACAATTATGAAAAAATTGGCCTATTTATTTTTTACACAGAAAGAAAATTTCGAACCTGAAATAATTCTAAAGCTACTTTCCATTCTAAAAATGTTTCTTAACGGCGTTAGAACTCACAAAAAGTCTAAAGTTTAAATTTTCCTCACATAATTTTTGCAGCATGAAGTCTCCGAATTAGTTTTTCAAAATTATGACAAAAAACCTTGCCAAATTTCATACTAGATTTTTTTTACAAATTGTAAGTTGATTAAACAGTTTAAACATGCGCACAGATTTTTTTCAAAATTATAAGTCTCCCAGTCTCCGAATTAGTTTTTCAAAATTATGACAAAAAAAACCTTGCCAAATTTCATACTAGATTTTTTTTACAAATTGTAAGTTGATTAAACAGTTTAAACATGCGCACAGATTTTTTTTTACAGAATTATAAGTCTCCCATACACTTTTTTAAATAGTAAATTTCATTCTCGATTTTTTTTTTGCAAATTTAATTCGCTAATTTATTCTTTTCCAGCATCTCTCCACTATTCTCGGTCAGAGAAAGTTTCTCCTAGGCGAGTACCCATCTGAATACGACTGCACCGTATTTGGACATCTTGCCCAAGCCATGTGGGGTCTTCCGGGGTCCTCGTTTGAAAAAGCTGTCAAAGGTATAAATTTACATAATTTGCGCGAATTTATAATTTATTCATATAAATATTTTGTCTACAGTTAAACTAAAAATAATTTTTTTTTCAGAGGAATTTCCAAATTTAAAAGAGTACTGTTTAAGAATAAAGGAAACTTATTATCCCGACTGGGACGAGGTGGTGGACAAGTGAGAAGTGTATGCAAATATATATATGCAAATTCAATAGGTAAAAGTATTAAATATGTACTATTTTAATTAATAAATTAATAATCCTAATAATAATTTCAAAGATTTGCTGTGTAAATTAAATCAATATTTAATGCTTAATTATGAATTTCGGAATTCCTCCGAAGTTAGAACTGTCATTACTTAACTTTGCAAAATTAATGGTGTTTGCCATTTCATACTTTCCACCACATTTCAAAAACATACAACTCGTAATTTGCAGAATAAAGCAAATATTTGACATTTTACGTAATAATACGCAAAAACAAATAAATTCTGACATACTCTTCCCATAATTTTGTTTGCTTTAACAATTTCATGACATGAAATTCATGCATATCGCTAAAAAACGGGACTCGTTGTTATCATCACATTTGCATTAATTATGCTTGTCGAGTTTATGCTAAATTAATAAATTTATGCAATCGCTTAAAGGGTCAAAATGCATTCAAAATTTGTTAAATTTTTGAACATTAAGCTTTGATTTTTTTTTAGATAACGATGACCAATTTTTCGTATTTCATATTATGAAATGGTTACACTTTTTTATACACTATAAGAAATCCAGTATTTAAAAAATTAATACCAAGTCGTATCTATAAATGACTCTACCAAAGTGTTATTGATAAGTGATACCGTCTAGTAATAGCTCGGTATTAAAGTTTTATCATATCGGTAGCAATTTTTTTTACGGACCCGGTATACCAAGCAGTAGCAACTTTTATGCCGAGCAATCAATACACTCAAAATAAGGTAGTAATGAATCATTACCATGCGGAATGACTATGTGGCTCTACCACGTTGGTTACGATTTGTCGTAGAAATGGTAATAATAAGTTCAGGGAAATTCAAATTCATTACCAAATATTAAGGAAGTTAATACCATTATGTATTAAATTTGAATTTCCCTGAACTTATTATTACCATTTCTACTACAAATCGTAACCAACGTGGTAGAGCCACATAGTCATTCCGCATGGTAATGATTCATTACTACCTTATTTTACCTATTATAGGTAAAAATAATCAATTTTTCGCATTTCACATTTTTTAATGGTGTCACTTTTTTTATATGGAAAGTGCATTTTTATTACAACTTTCCCTCTAGAATGTGTAAACGTAAATATTTTGCTCGAAAATGTGCCTACATACGTACATTTCCTCCGTCGCACTTTCTCCTTTCAAATCCTCAAGGGCTTATTAGTTCAAAAGTACGTCACCCAAAAGACCAGAAATAGCTCCACTCACATTGGCCTTGCCTTTAGTTCCTGCTTTCTCTCACAGCACATTTTCCCATTTTGCTGTGTCTGAGAGAGCTCTCGGAAAAAAGGGTTAAACGTTCCCTACACCAAAAGCAAAGGGGTAAAAGCAACCTGTTATTACGAGTCAGAAAGACCAAAATGTGCATTCTGCTCAGTCGTGCAGTCTCAACAAAGACAGGATTGCTTGGCTATCGTGCAATGCAATTTTCACGATGGAGCCAGCAAACAAAATGTGATTCCAGAAATGTTAAAAAATTTGGTACATAAAATTTTTAGCTTTCTCCACAATTTTGTACAAAAATTTGGATTTATAACATGCAAAATACGCTCAAAACTTACCTCCTCGTAAAAAAATATCAAACTTATCAAGCCCAAAAATCAAAAAAAGATGTCACGATTCCTATCAAATCAAAAATCATTTTCAAAAATTGATACATAAAATTTTTACTTTCTCCGAAATTCCCCCAAATCTGCCAAATTTGGATTTGTAAAATTTCACGTTGTAAAAAATGATCCAAATTTATTACCAAGTGCAAAAAATATATGTCCGTATGGATGGATGGGACACTCTTTTTGGCCAAAATAATAGTCTGCACCTCGACTTACTCACTCTCACACATTCGATTGCGTACAAAATCCTTAGCCCACGTTATTTTTTAACAACTGCTCTACTGCTTGCGCTTTAAGGTGATCATTGGACATTGGACATTATCCTCTGTAAAACATCACTTTACATCCGACTGATCACACATCAAAAGTCTCTTCTGTGGATTGGATTGGATAGGATTCGCAATCGCGAAACTGTGTAATACCAACCAACGTGGGTTTGTCTGTCTCAAAGTTTAGCCAGAAATTCGCGAATACGTATTCGCAACTTACTTTAGCAAGAAAGTCGCAAGTACATATACATACGTATTCGCAACTTTTACACTAAAACAGTTCACAGTTAGTGGTTTCGAGGTACAGTTGCAGTCTTGCAGTCAGTCAGTTTAGTTTGCACAAATTTTGGCAGGTTTTTACACCCAGCAAGTTTCTTAGTGCGAATAATGTAACTGTGATATTTGCTACGGTGCATTACAAGAACCTTATCGTCCCAAGATAAGTCAAGCTTGAAACGTTACTGAAGTTGAAATTGTGTTGAAATATAGCTCATCAAACAAAGTGAGGTGAAAATTTCCGAAATTTGGTGCATTTCAAAGCCAAAATTGGAGAACGAAAAGGATTACGATTTATAAGGTGAGATTAGATAATTCCTTGATCCCCCGCAAAGTACAAAAAAAACATGACAAGGACAAATTTTAGCTTTTCAATTTTTATGAAACATAAATATTTCAAAATTTTGGACGATATTTTTCAATTTTATTTTTCTCAACCCATTTAAATAGTCAAACTATTAATACGTACATATTTACTTAAATAATATTGACAATCTGGATCTTGAAAGGACGAAAAACTTTGCAATTATGTATTTGGTGTACGTTTCCAGAAAATTTGACGTTTTCCAGTTTTTTCACGATACGTTTTTAATAAAATTTCAATTTTTTTAAGTTTCGAAATAGTAGTACTCTCAAACAATAAAGATTGACAATCCGGACCTTGAATTCGCGGAAACCTTGCAATTATTGCGGAATATTTTGGCGACAGCAAAATCAATGTACATAGATTTCCTCCCCCTTAATTATTCACCCAGTCGCATTTATTGGGCGAAAACTCCATCCATTTTGTTAATTTGACCGCATAAATCTTTAATTTGCGGTACTGCACGTGTATGTACGATTCGTAACTGCATATTACGTATACCAGGCTAGCTTATTCACCACTTGACCAACCAAACTGGTGAAATCTGATTAAAGCAAACCTTCATAATTGGCATAAATGTTTTGTTTTGCGTCCTTCCGTCGAAAATATGGATCGACAACGAGGAAGATAATCAGTGGCCGCGGAAGCCATGGGGACATTCTCATTGTAGGATGGGGGGAGGGAGGGGTTTATAAAACATGGGGAGATGATGCGGACATAAAATAACCGTGGGGGCATTGTCCCTCTGTCCCGATGAACACTTCCGCGGCCACTGACGATACATAAATGACCTGCAGTTGCGCATTATTGCAATTTCAATTAAAAAAAGTGATGGAGTGATACGTTGGTTTGGCCGAGTAATAAAAAATTTAAGGAAATTTTCTGTGGTTGGTTTGGTGTGATGAAAACAATAATAAGCAAAATATGTATACGATCGATACGATAAATCCTCCCTGACAGACAACGTCACGTCAGTAACGCATGTCGTCCTGCTGCTTAAAAGTTCATCCGAATGTCATTATGATGCTTGGTTACTCGTGCTGGCATTTAATTATTTTAGGCAGGCATTAACACAAACAGTGGCCGCGGAAGGGTGCGTGTGGACAGAGGGACGATGTCCCCACGGTTGTTCGGTGTCCGCATCATCTCCCCATTTTATATAAACCCCTCCCTCTCCAATATCCCGCAATATTAATGTCCCCACGGCTTCCGCGGCCACTGGGCATGCATAAACTGCATAATTTTGTCAGTAAAGCTCTAATTGATCCATGACCACCACCAGCACCGCACCATCGACTAACTGTCAATAACATAATAATTATTAATGAATAATTAAGCTAAAACCATCATAACAAGCACTGTTACGTGGGTAAAAAGCGTGCTGAAAAGTTCATCCGAATGTCATGTCATGATGCGAAATTTATGCATAATTTTGAGCGTTTTATTTTGTCACTAAAGTTCTAATTGATCCACGACCACCACCTTGTCAATCACGTAACAATTATGAATAATAATTATTAAGTATGCATAATAATTGAAGTAAAGCAAATATAAATAACTTGACACTGTTCAAATAATGAGCTCCACCCTTCCACTCAAACACACATAAATATTCATTGTAATACGCATTTGTCATCCCAAAATGGATATCCGCCATTCGCCCTTGAAATATGTAATGTACGTCACTTAATATTGCATAAGTTCGTCACTTTTATTTAATGACTAATTTAGGACTATGGATTAATCCACATATACATATTTGCATACGCAGATAGCAGAGATAACACTACACTGCAAAGTGCAAATAACTGGGGTAAAAGATTTAATCACCTCATATGCAAATAATTATGCACGTGCAAAAAAGTAAACTTGGTCTTGAAGTACATAACTAAAGTGTACTTGTTTGTACCGATGCCCTGAGAAAATTTAGGCATAAGTGCAAATAACTGGGTAAAAGATTTGGCCATGTGCAAATAATTATGCACGTGCAAAAAAGAAGTTGAACGTGGACTTGACGCAAATTTATCGCAGTTAAAGTTGTACGTGTTTGTACCGATGTCTTGGGGAAATTTAGGCATTTTTGGCACCCTTTTTTGCCCCCCCCCCCAGATTAAATTTATGGCATCAATATCAAGGTTAAAATAACGCAAAAAATGCCCTGCCATTTATTTGCAGGACCTTCTTATTATCTTTGCAAAAGTCTAATCATTAGTCGCTACTCAATCATCACTTTGTACACAAAGTTTGACATTGCATTAGGTAGGAAAGGACAAGGTAAAGCTTCTCTGCTCAAGGACCAGAGTCTGGTCACCAGACCACCCACGGTCTTCGCAACTAATTTTCTCCTGTCCTTTCTCATTTCTCTTCTATTGATCTACAGTAAGCAAAATAAATATTGGAATAGGTAGTAAAGCATTTGATGAAAAGATTCAGAGCCTGTCCTATTTACGAAAAATGACAAAAATGTCAAAGGTGCCAGTCAACTTGGTCTCTTTTTTTGCCAGCTTTATTTTTTGTTATGTAGAACATTTTGACAGCTTGTACATAGGTACAGTGTTATACATTTTTTTTAAAACCAAATTATGAATTTTTGAAAAATTGCGAATTCATAGTTTCATACAGTTTGTTTGTTATGATTTTTTTTTAATTTGCTCGATTTTTCGAAAATCTGTAAACTGAGAAGTTACTTACTGTGCAAAAAATCTAATCTATTCCGTTTCACTACGTCACAAGCATCATTTACAAGAATTCTGCTTAGATTGCATCCCTCAATAAAAAATGATGGCAAGATCGAGAGAAAGTCCATTTCTTTGTGGGCGGACACGAGAACCTTTCACTCATTTTATTATCGAACTTTTCTCTCCCCCGATCAATATATACTTTCCCCATGAAAGTGATGGCGACGATGGTGGTACTTAAAGAGAGAGCCAATTTTCCTATACATTTCCATTTATTGGCAGAGAAACAAACATCATTAACCAAAACTCGAGTGGGTGGACGGGAATTGGAATTTGTGGCAATTCTGACTTTCTCCCGGGTGTGAAAGCATTTACCACTTGACTTTCCTTAACTCGACTTGAGGGCAAAAATCAGAAAACTAAATTCAATTTCCTGATTTGATTTGATTTACTAACTTAATAATTCGGGTCATCATTCAATAAGACCAAATTGACAGACGGATTGGCTGGATGCATTAACCAAATAAACTAGAACGATATCACAAACAATGCATAATTGTCCGTTCCCCAGTGGCCGCGGAAGCCGTGAGGACATTAACATTGTAGGATAGGGGTAGGGACGGGTTCATATAACATGGGCAGATGATGCGGACATCGAACAACCGTGGGGACATTGTCCCTCTGTCCACACCCTTCTGCGGCCACTGTTTGCATTGCTATTTGTATTGTACCTAGTTTTAAATCATCAAGCTCTTTAAATCTGTGTCATGCTAGCTTATATATGCAAAATTTAAATGTACTCAAGTTCTGATTGATGATTGATTAAATAATAATTGCAGCGTAGTACTTTTTCATGTATGGAAATTAAATTGCTTTCCTGGTCGAATTTAGTTATGCAAAGGGGGCCATTGTACGTTACAAAATTCGTCCATTTCTGATGAATTGCATGTTATTCTTCCTTCTAAATAGTTTTATTGTGTTGCTAGTTAAATGCATCGTTTCGTGTCTATTATTACGGTTTAATAATAATACACGATAAATATCAGAGTGCAAAAAAGCAGGACAGTCCATTTGTCCATTCGACACCTCAATCATATACAATTCTGGCAATTTTGTCAACCTGTGTGCGGTTTTTTTTATCCGTCGTCAACGTCGTCGTTCTTGTGTGACACGATTTCCATCACGAAATATTACGAAAGGAATAAATAAAAAAGTACGAAAATCGATCTGCCAAAAATTGAAGTAAGTTTGTGAACAAAGCTTCATGCAAAAATCCTGCGGTTTCTAGTTTCTACATTGTCCTATAGAGAATTTGCAAAATTCCTGTAATTCTGCACATTTCTTTTGCAGGAAACAAATCCACCGGAAAATAGAGTTTCTTGTGCAAAATCTTGCGAAATTATATGTGTAGTGAATTTGCAAAAATCCCGTAACTCTGCACTTATCTATTTCTTGTGCAGAACCTGTTTTTCAAAAACAACTCCGCCCAAGAAATACGCCAATTTTCGTCAGATCGGTTTTTATTCCATTTTACTCACCAATTTTGGAAAATAGGCTGCCTTCTTGTCGTCAATTATTTGGTAAGCACAAAAGCCAAGTCAAATTAACGACAGTGGTGAGTCAAGGGCACAACGCACAAATTTCTAAATAGGTCATTTTACGAGGATGGAATTAGTGCCATCATTTTTTTAGGAGTACAAATATTCTTTGCTAAAAAAATGCATGCAATAATTTTGCATATTAGTCGCCTCTCACATGTGTATTTAGGCATCAATTTCGTGTCAATTCCACCACTCCAGTCTTATCATCGTGCATTAGGTACGTATGAATGAATACGATAAGAAATTAGCCTCCCAGCACGCATACGAACAACGACGATAAGTTTACGACATCATAACGCCACCATTTATTACATGATGATCTTACTTTACACGTGATGCAAGCCGTCTAACTCCAAATTTGTTGCATAATAATTCTGAATTTAAGCCAGTTTTTTGTCTACTCTGTGATACAACTTTCATTTTGCACATTTTTTGCCGTTGTGTTAAAGGGCGCACCAAAAAATGAATGAACTTTTGGCACATTCATTCATCCCCCCATGTTTTTGCCCCTTAATTAATACACAGCGGCCGCGGAAGGGTTGGTGGCGACAAAAGAGGGACAATGTCCCCACGGTTGTTCGATGTCCCCTCCCTGTTAATGTCCCCAGATGCCCCCCCAGCTTCCGCGGCCACTGTTATGTATGTACACAGCTTCTTGCAAAATTTGTGTGTAGCGTTGCAAGAACCAGTTTTTCTTGTGACAATAACATTCCATTTGTCATGTTAAGATTAATAATTCAGTTAAATATTTAGAGGTCGAGGACACTTTTTAGAGGAGGTGTCATGTCAGTTCATTTCTTGACTTTTTAATGGGTTTTCTGCCCATTTCACGGTGTAATTTTAAATTTTGGACGGCAGTCTTAAAAATCTAATCAGTCAGTAACAGCCTTAATTTCTTCCTGGCTGGGCTTTTTTCTTGGCGTTGTTTTGGTATGAAAATGCGAAACAGGGTTGTTTGTCACATTTCCAAAATAGTTTTTTTAACAGAGGTGGGCAAAATACATTATTTCTCAAAATATAATATATGTTCTTCCCAGGGTTTGGATTTCCGTGGCTGTTACACCCACAAAAAGACGAAAATCTACGTGGAGAAGGCACCAGTCAGTAGAAAATACGGGTTTTATGAAGAAATTAACTTTTTATCGTTGCTAAAATACATTGTTTTCATGATTTTTTTAAAAATAAAGTATTTTGACCGTAATAAAATGTTAATTTCTTCTTAAAACGTGTTTTCATAACGAATATGTGTAACATATTGATACATTTCAAAATTTAGAAATTGCATCAAGACTATGAAATGATTAATCTCAAATTCCTTAATTTTGGTACTTTATTTCGACGATTTCAAAATTTTCAGGGTATTTACTTTAATTTTTGGGTCTAGTAGGTTCGTTGTACTTTTGTACGTAAACATTGTTTTCATGACTGTTTCAAAATACAGTATTTTGACAACGGTAAAAAGTTAATTTCTTCATAAAACCCGTATTTTCGTACAATTTTTGTCTTTTTGTGGTTGTAATAACAGCCCCGAAAATACAAACCCTGGGAAGAACCCAGCTCAAAATACGTCACAAAGTATTTTGCCCACCTTTGTTCCATCTTACCAGGTTAAACATTCAGGTTATTGCGTTCAACTTTTGTACATTTGGATGTGGTCATTCACAAGTAAAATTGAAACAGAGTCTTGTTCCTCATCTCATAAAGGGCATCCCATATGTAAAGTGCAGATGGAAAAATGGCCCTCATTTTGTTGTAATTCAATTTTGTTCAAAGAAACCAAATTTACCCAAAAGCTTAGTGTTATTTTTATCGTTAAACAAATTTCCTATCACATTGCAACCTAGAGATATTAGGTTCTTCCGAGCCCCGCCGAAGAGTCGTTTTCACGACTTTGCTTCAATGTCCTTCGCGACTCTGGTCCAAACTTTCGAAATCTACGAACGGTTGCAAACTGTTTCTCTCGTTTGGAACATTGTCTTCGACAATTGGCCCCGAAATTTTCGATACCACGTGTTTGAGGTACATTTTTAGCGTTGTTTGATTTTTGTGTATCTTATCCAATGTGTTCGGGGGTATGAATAACCAAGATTTTCTTTTGAAAGATTGGCTTTGGCTTCAGTTTATCTTCGTATTTTACATCTGCTAGAGTGGTTGCATGAAAATATATACGATAGGGAACATAATCAGGGCCAATGGTCACTTAAATTTCATTATCAATAACCACGAGTTTGCTCGACCCTTTTTTGAAAATTTTTCTGCACGTTGTTTTAGCTCGCTGCTGCTGGGTCCGTACTTTTTTCGGTGCCGATTGCTTTATACAGCCTTTGATGCCTAAGGTATGAAGTTTAATTCGACATATCGTTGGAATCGATATCTTTTGTTTTGTGGATGATGCAGCCATGGAAGTGCGGGACGCTTTTTGAAGAGCTCTTTACTTTTCTCCAAATGTATTTTCGCCGATTGGGTAGCCGTCCGACTTGATTATTTTTTGCAAATCGTGTCACCGGCAAGCTCACATCTTGTAATTATCAGGTCAACAACGAATCTGCGTTTTCCTTGCCTGGCCAAGTGGTCAATCGTTTTCTTCCTATCACGCAGAGACGAATTTTCGTGCGAGTGAAAATCCACCTTTCTGAATTTTTAGATTCCGGCTCGCGTAATCCATAAACAAGATTTTTTGATCAAATCTGTTGTAAGGTTTCTTAATCTATATGCAATTACCTAAAAGATGAGTTATCTCTGACCAATTTTTTCCCGCCCATACCCTTAAAATTAATGGCTAACCGAGCTGCACTTTACATATGGTATGCCCTTTATATTATTTTCATACATATTACGTAATTTGTTGGCCCAGTCGTATCAGCATCATGGCACATTTAATGTGCCATGTACCGGCAGTGCAGACCGGATATGTCTGCCAAAAATTTGCCGACGATGATACGACACATCCGCAAAAAGAACACCCGTCTTGCACACACGTTACTTGGCAGGAGAACACATAAATTATTTGCGCACCTAAAATTGCATTCCACTAGCAAAAAATTTCGCAGACAATTAACTGAACATTGTTTCAGTATTTTTGCCAAGTAAAAAAATAATTGCGGGGTAAACTTAACTTTATTCAGGCAAAATTTGACCTTTGCTTATCAATCAAGAGATTAATTTAATGGTGTTCGGATCATAAATATGTGACATGAGACATCATTGAAATTCGCACTAACAAGAAAATTCGCACACAATTAAATAAACCCTGTTTCAGTATTTTTGCCAATTTGGCCAAGAAAAAATAATATAATTGCGGGGTTAAGCTTAACATTTTTCTGGCCAATTTGACCTTTGTTTATCAACTACGAATTCATTTACATAATGCTATTCGGGTCATATGACGTGCGAATTTACCTAAATTTGCACTACAAAAATTTCGCGCACAATTACAATTAAATGAACCCTGTCTCGCTATTTTTGCCAATTTTACCACTTACAAAAATAACTACGGGGTTAAACTTAACTTTATTCAGGCCAATTTGACCTTTGCTTATCACCCATTCATTTAATCGTATTCGGGTCATTCATATGACATCTGCGAAGCATTTCGACATTTCATGGTGATCAAGATCAAGTGATCTCAACCACATTTCAGTAGGCATATCCTTGATCATATGCAGGTGATTTTTTTGCACAGACCAGACACACAGACACACCTCCAAAAAATGTCCAGTTAATATTGCGTCGCACTGGATTTTTTTGCAAACCCCAGACGAACCATTGCAGATAACTGATGAGTGAGATACCAGGAAGAACAATTTACTAACTAACTAAAAAAGTCCGACGCAGTAGTTTGCATATTTACGTTGCAAAAATCTTACCCGTGGATGCCGGAGGTTGGGTCGCTGAAATGCGTAGTAGAAATTATTAGCACACAACAATAACAGATACATTTTATCTATTTAACCAGTAGTAGTGAGAAGTGACCTTGTCTCGGTAATGTGTTACACGAGATGTGCGAATTGCGAATGTTTGCCAAACCGGTCGACTGCATCGTTGTCTGGGTCGTCGGTTGTGGTTTCGTTTTGTTTAGTGATCCTGGACTGGAATTTGATCTAATCCAATCCATGTATGCAAATCTAGGTCAACCCAGTATAATAGCACCAGCAGCGCAATAATGTTTGTGAACGAAGGCTGTTTATATTAGCTTTTAAAATTTAGCGACATAACTACAAAGAAAGGCAAATGGTGGAATATAAAATATCCACATTTCAGTTTTTGTTTTACTCGCCAATTATTTTTTCGCACATAATTCCATCAAAATGATGATGCATGATTCGGTATGAGCGTGTTTAATTCTTAGAAAAAAATTCCCACAATATTTTAAATCTACACAATAGTTAAATTGGATTTAAATCGTTGTTTCCACTATTTTTCATACATACATATTTGCGAGAATGCACAATATTTAAATTGGTTTTATATAGTTGTTTTCACAATTTTCCTACCTATTTTTGCGAGGCAGGAAATGCAGGATGTTCGCCTAAATAAATTCAGTTCTACAAAAAAATATATTTTTTAATACGGTCAAATACACAAATTATGAAAACCTCTTTATCATTAGAAAGGATATCACCCATCAAAGCTCTCTCCTAAATATTTTCCATGAGAATTTCATACATACGCACAACCCGATCAATCCAATCTACCATCAACCATCCTCTCTCGAAACTTAATTAAGTATGAATTTAGTACTGCGAAAATGTGAATGACTCGCAAATTGGCAGAAAGCGAGAGATAATAAAGACTGAATATTAAAGAAGCACCCATACCAACGAGAAACCGAGGTCACATTGACGCTGAATGGGCTTTCCATCCACTTTTTGCGCTGTTTAGTTAGTTAGTAAATCTGACCGTGTAGAGTGTGCTTGACTGACTAAAAACTATCAGTCTCAGTACCATTTCAGTTGACAGATCGGCAGCATTATGTAAAAGCTCCGTCTTAATTTTAAGAATTTTGTGGAAATTCTCTGAAAATTGGTGTGTTTTACATACAATCTGCGCTTAATTTTGTGTCGTCGTTACCCAATTTTGGTGTTCACCTTCCCCAAGGGTATGCAATTTTCTGTCCAATTTTCCTCCACTTAATTAGATATGTGCCAGGCATTTTCGTACTAATTATCAACGCATCTTAATTCAAGATCGCTTATTACATATTCTTAAGCACGAGTTGAGTCTGTGATCAGAAAACTAATTAGTTAGTAGCACTAATTTAGTGCCATGCAGTATTACATTGCGACACTTTTGCTTGTCTTGTGCTGGTGTGATACATAATAAATCATTACATTTTGTACATTGTTCTTGGCGAATGAATTAAGATTTTACTCACTTATAAAGTCATTCTTTCTGCTGATGGTTAATATGTAATGGTAGATAAATATGCACCATCAAAAAATTTAGGTAATACATTTATTGTTCCTTTGTATTCATACACAAATATTATATTGGGTTCATGTTACGCAATACCAGCACCACCACCACTACCAAATTATGTACAATGTGTTACCTTCTTCCACTTTTAATAGGTATATAAATTGTACCAGATATTACACACTTACTTTATTCACTTGAGATTATATGTGCATGCCATACAGCAAGTTAACTTATTTAGTGGATCGTACGATTGATCAGTGGCCGCGGAAGTGTGGGGACAAAAGAGGGACAATGTCTCCACGGTTATTCGATGTCCACTTCATTTGTCCATCTTATATCAACCCCTCCTTCCCCCATCATACAATGTTAATGTCCCCCGATGTCCCCACGGCCACTGGGCGAATTCATCCTGCTCAAATGTATGAACATGACGCAGTGACCGCGGAAGCGTGGGGACAGAGGGACAATGTCCCCACAGTTATTTGATATCCGCATCATCTCCCCGTGTTAAATAAACCCTTGCCTCCACCCATCCTACAATGTTAACGTCCCCACATGTCCCCCGCCGGCTTCCGCGGCCACTGCAACGTACGTATTGATTGAGCATGAATAAGCAAAAAGAAGAAACCATACTAAAAAGGGAATAAAGTATCAAAAAGTTTCATTTTTTTTGTCATTGTATTCAAACCACGATTGCTTACTTACTTATTCATGCTTTTGTCGTAATGTTATCCATTACTCTACTTTTTTCTTTCCTCTTTTTTGTATATGTGATGAATGACAATCGTAGCAGTTTATGCAATCTTTGAGGCTAGAATTCGTGCCTGATTTTGTTAGAAATCTGGATACAATGTTGACAACGCGACTTTCTAGTCCCTCTACGAATTAATAAATTGGGCAGAATTGTAGTTATCCATGCGATACAAAAGTTGATAAGTTCAGTTGGTTATCGACGCTGTACACGATAAGGTAAATGGATTTTTTTAAACTGGGCAAAATAATCCATGAAAGTTGTGCTTTTTTTACGCCAATCTACATTTTCTCACAGTTTTTGTTATTTAAAAGTGTGTTAGATTCATGAGTGCATCTTCGTAAGTTTAGCAAAATATTTACAACTTTTACACAACATTTTCTGTAATTTGCATATTGCAAATATTTTTGCATTGTAAAATCATTTTTTTGCCAGTTACATACATACATCAGAGCAAATCTTTGAATGCCTGCCTGATTTTGTTATTATTTAGTTAGAAATCTGGCTGGATAGAATGTTGACAACATGACTTTCTAGTCGGATAAGCAATTAATAAATGTAGTTATCCATGCAGTACAACAAAGTACAACAAAGTTGACAAGTTCAGTTGGTTATCGATGCTGGACAAGATAAGGTAAATCGGCAAAATATTTCGTAAACTTGGACGCCAATCTAAATTTTCTCACAGATTTTGATATTTAAAATTTTGTTAGATCATGAAAGCGTATGTAAGTTTAGCAAAATATTCACAACTTTAGCAAAACATTTTCTGTAATTTGCATATTGAAAATATTTTTGCACTTGTAAAATCATTTTTTTGCCAGTTACATAATACATCGGAGCAGTTCATGCAATCTTTGAGACTGGAATGCGTGCCTGATTTTGTTATTATTTAGTCAGAAATCTTGATACAATGTTGTCAACATGACTTTCTAATCCCTCTACGAATTAATAACTTTGGTAGTGTTGTACTTATCGAGGCCGTAAAAAGTTGACAAGTTCAGTTGGTTATCGACACTGTACAAGATAAGGTCAATTGGCAAAATATTTCGTAAAGTTGAACGCCGATTTAAATTTACTCACAGTTTTTAATATATGAAATACTGTTAGATCGAAATTCTGAGTACATTAATTTTGCAAAATATTTACAAACTTAACAAACTATGTTCTGTAATTTGCATATTGCAAATATTTTTGCATTGTTTCTTATTTATGCAATCTTTAAGACTAGAATTTGTGTGCGTGATTTCGTTATTATTTAATTAAAAATCTGGCTGGAATGTTGACATGGCATGACTTTCTAGTCTGATAAGGAATTAATAAATTAGGCAGAATTGTGGTTATCCAGGCAGTAAAAACTTGACAAGTTTAGTTGGTTATCGACACTGTGCAGGATAAGGTAGATGGGTTTTAAGCTGGGCAAAATAGTAAGTGCTGGACGCCGATCTTAATTTTCTCACAGTATTTTATACGTAAAATTGTATTAGATCAAACATTCCTTAATATCAGTTTAACAAAATATTTTCTGTAATTTGCATATTGCATATTGCACTTGGTTATCGACGCTGTGCAAGATAAGGTAAATGGATTTTAAATTGGGCAAATATTGTGCCTGCTGGACGCCAATAAATCTAAATTTTTGTCAAATTGATATTGTTAAAAGTATGCCAGATAGTCATTGTGTGTCCAATAAATTTTGCAAATATTTGCAAATTTAGGTAATTTCATTTTTTGCAAATTGTGTCTACCTACAATATTCGCAAATATTTTTGCATTATAAAATAAGTTTTAAGTATTTGTATCAAAAGAGCAAAATATTTCATGAAAATTGTCCATGCTGGACGCCAATCAAAATTATCTCAAAATTGTGTGAGATGACAAATTTTGCAAATTCTTACTACTCCGTAAATTGCATGTCGTCAAAATTGCCCTGGACGCCAATTTAAATTTATCACAGTTTTAGATATTTTAAAGTGTAAAGCAGATTCTAGCCATGTTCTGAATTCAGATAATCAGATCATTAGGAAATTTTTGCAAAATATTAATTTTCTGCGTATACAATTTTGCAAATATTTTTGCATCAAAAACTAATTTTTTAGTATCTTATATCAAAAGGACAAAATATTTCGTGAAAATTGTCCATGCTGGACGCCAATCTAAATTTTTTCACAGTTTTGGATATTTCAAAGTGTCAGCAGACTAAAAAAAAAATTTCGTTGGAAATCGTTGGAAATTTTGATAATAATTTTCTGTGTGTACAATATATTGCAAATATTTTTGCAAATATGAAAAAATAATTGCACACCATCATGTGATCAAGATCCTGCATTGCCCATCCATCGGTTCACTACAGTTCCTCAAATTTTGTTTTCTTGTGGCTCGACTGACGTACATATAAGCAAAACCAGTATTTAATTTGAGACAGGTGTGCTGCTTGCAGGTGCTGTTAGTAAATTTTTAACTTAATTGGACTGAGAAGTAGAAGTTCAAATCAACTCCTACCTCCACGTAACGTATTTCATTCAACATGCACAAGGAACGTGAACATTTTAAGTAGCAATTTTGTGCTAGATTAAGAAATCAGAAATATTTCTTTGTTTTGGCCTCAAAATAAATAATTCTCAAAATTTCTACATGCGTTGGAAGGTAAATCAGCAGTTCTTTAATAGTAAATCGACTGTAAAGTGTAGAAATTAGGGTTGATGGCGACATTTGTGTGTAAATTTTGAAAATTTTTGAAATCTGTGCAAGAATTTACTATTTATTTTGCCCAAATTTACGGTGGAAGGTAAAACAGTTTGAAAGTAGCAGTTTTTCGATAATAAATCGACTATAAAGTGTAGAAATGAGGGTTTATGGAGACATTTGTGTGTAAATTTTGAAAATGTTTGAAACCTTGCAAGAAGTTATTACTTATTTAAGCCCAAAATAATTCCCAAAATTTATATTTAAGAACTAAACACGGTGGAACGTGGAAGGTAAAATAGTTCAGTTTTTCGATGATAAATCGGTCGTAAAGTGTACAATGGCGACATTTTTGTGTAAATTGAAAATTTTTGAAATCCACGTTTCACCATGGCGTCATTTACCTTGTCACTGACGGCCTAAAAAATCTACCCCGTTTCCCGTACAAATATTTACTTTCCCGATAATCTAGCTAAAAAAAATCAAAATTTATAATTAATTACTTGATTTATTTCTGGTTTTATAGTTGGAGAGCAAACACAAATCTAAATCAGACGTTCGGGACCAAGACTTCCTTCCCTCGACGAGAAGTCAAGTCAGTCACTCCCCCAACGTTTAAATCCCCCTAAATAAATATTCCTCGAATAAATATGTCGCGACAACCACGACGCTTCCCAGGAGGAGAGGTTAGTTAGTTAATAGTCTTAATTAATTATATAAAATCTACCTTTAAATATTAATTAATTAACTATTTTTTGCAGTACGGAGAGCTGGAAAGTTTCTTAGAATCTTTTGAAGCTGAGGGAGCCAGACGACGTAGAATAGTTGTAAATTCAGCAGATGGTTGTCCTTCCGGCGACCTGCTGCCCATCAGAAGGCCGAGCGATGCGTAAGTAGCGAAGCGTCATTTAATTTTAATTCATGTTTAATTACGTAAAAAATTAACCAGTATTTTAAAATTTATTTACTTATCCAGAGAGGAATTTAGCGTATCTTTACTTCGAAATAAGTTGGGCGAGCTACGGTCAACCCTGGATTTGCCGCTGATTCCAGATTTCTTAAGGGATGATGACGACGAAGAATTAGAAGAAGGTTTGGGACTCACACTTCCGGCCACGCCGTTGGATTCGTCACCGTCAGATTCAGAGGTACTAACGATCAATTTCGCCAATTGGCAAAAATATGGAAATTTCATGCAATTCCTAAAATTTTCTTCTTCTCCAGGTCGATCCCGAACTACTCAATCAAGAAGAAGAGGAGGAGGAGTACGATTTCTGTCTGCCTCAATTATCTCATGCGACCGAGCAGGTGGAAGAATTCGCGAGGAAAGTTTGGGCCGCTGGGTGGAACGTTTGTCACTTTAGAGTAAGAATTTAACACGTATATTCGAAAATTCCTGGAAATATTGGAGAAAAATGTATAAAAATTTCCCTGCAGTAATTCCTCAGTTTAAATCTTGACCTGCGGTCAATCCAGGCCAAAAACGATGTATTAATAAAACTTCAATTTGAATTGTGCAGGCTCTCCCTAATTGGCTGCAAGATAATGACTTTCTCGTTCGAGGGCACAGACCACCATTGCCCTGTGTTAAGGAATGTTTTAAAAGTATTTTCCGGATTCACACAGAGGTTTGTACATTCATATTTACCAAAAATACTTCTTTAGTTTCGTGAGAAATTGTTTCGTAATTAATAATTTGCTTATGATGGTGGTTTGATTTGATTTGTTACTTTCAGACTATGAATATATGGACACATCTCTTAGGAGCGTTGGCGTTTTTGGGTGTAGCAATCTATTTCCTAACTAGACCTTCAGGTGTGAAGAATAATAATGCTTTTATACCCGTAAAAATCTGTACAAATTACAAATTTTGTCTTTTCTTCCCACAGTCGAGATTCAACTTCAGGAGAAACTAGTTTTCACAGCCTTCTTCGCAGGGGCCATTGCTTGTCTCGGATTGTCCGCTGCGTTCCATACGGTAAATTTTAATCGATTAGTGTATCTATCTTTAAATATGCAATTACTAAATAAATGTGTTTCTATTGCAGCTTCATTGTCACTCTGAGTTTGTTGGAAAACTGTTCAGCAAGTGAGTAACACTATTTTTGAAATATTTTTGAATAATTTTTTCGGTGTGTTTTGTAAATTACTAATTAATTCTTCATTATTCTTATAGACTGGACTACGTAGGAATCGCATTACTAATTATGGGATCCTTCTTCCCTTGGTTGTATTATGGATTTTACTGTGAAAAATCACTCCAAATATTCTATTTGAGTGTAACCTTCGTTCTCGGACTGGCTGCAATTGTTAGTTATTTCAACCCCAAATTGATCCTCCTTCATACATAAAACACATTAATAATTAATTAATATTAAAGGTTGTATCGCTGTGGGACAAGTTTGGCGAGCCAAGACTTCGACCCCTGCGTGCCGGATTGTTTGCCGGTTTCGGGCTCAGCGGAGTAATTCCTGCGATCCATTATGCTCTGGCTAAAGGATGGTAAGAAACTGTCACTTATCATAGGCTTCGTTTCTTCCGGGTTTGCCACATTTCTTGCACTGCAAAGCAAGAAATGCAAGAAATGCGAGCTGCCAGAAATTGGGAGAAAGTGCGAGAAATCTGCGCTTCGCCGTATGTAGTATTTGCAGCGGCGGGACGTAGTTTCTAGTGCCTTGCATTTTTTGCGGGTCAACATATTCACCTGCAAGAAACCACTTTCTCCTTCCCGTTATTTCTTGCACGTGGTGACTTGCACCCGAAACAGTAGAAACGATACGATTTTCCAGAAAATTTATATAAAAAATAACGAATTATCATTAATTATTCCAGGATCCACGCAATTTCAAAAGCATCTCTCGGCTGGTTGATTCTCATGGGAAGCCTCTACGTTCTGGGCGCTATAGTTTACGCCTCTAGAATTCCGGAGCGCTGGTTCCCAGGAAAATGTGATATTTGGGTAGGTCAAATCAAAATTTTCAAAATTCTTTCTTTCCAAAGTCAAAATTGACTTAATTTTTTTCTTTTTTCTACAGGGTCACAGTCACCAATTGTTCCACGTCTTAGTCATCGCCGCAGCTTTTGTACATTACCACGGAATTTCGGAGATGGCCATGCATCGCTTAGCCTATGGCGAATGCGAAGATCATCCGTACGAAGCAGTATCCTGGTTCTCATAAATAAGATGGCAAAATCCCTCTTACAAGAAAAGTCTCTCGTCGTGTACGTCAATATTTAGTAGGTCGCAAGACTGATAATTATGTTAATTATTATAAATATAAATCACCCGCAAGGACAACAAAATCAAAAAAATAAAACTTATCTCCCACCGACGAACATCACTAGAAATTTTTGCAAATTTCACAGTGACGACAAAAAAATAGAACCTGATAAAATTAAGAAGATTACTTATCTGCTGAGGAGGTTATCAAAATCTTCAGTGTCCGCGGAAGCGTGGGGGCAATATCCCAGGGTTATTATATGTCCCCATCATCTCCCCATGTTATATAAACCCCTCCCTCCCCCTATCCTACAATGTTAATGTCCCCAGATGTCCCCACGGCTTCCGCAGCCACTGAAAATCTTCGGGAATTGTTTTAAAAAATTATCAAAATTCAACCTAAATATATGTACAACACAGTTAAACAATTATGAAAAAATTTAATAATCTGTGTAAACTTTAAGTGTTTTTTTGTAAATTTACGAAATGGTACTATTTACTCAGCTCTTAATTGATTTATAACCATCAACATCACGTTACATCACATTACGTATCGTAGAATTAAGTTTATTTGCAGTCACGTGTCACGTCAGTTGACATGTTATTTTTCAGTTCCTACATGTTAAAATAAGTATACCGCAATTTTGTCAGTACACAATTTTTGTTCGTGGATATGAATATAATTACAAAATTGACAGCTATTTAGTAAATAAGTTTCCGAAAAACCCAGAAAACAAAACCACCGTGATAATAATTTGGCTTGTTTTTTTCTCGTTTTTGTAAAAGTTTACTGATTTAGTTTCGCCCAATAATAAATAATTACTTATAAAAATTATACACGGCAAATTTTGGGCATCGTATTTATGTATTTACTAAATACGATGGAGTATGTTAAATATAATATAACAAAAGGGAATTAGATAATAGATAAGATAAGTGTATGTCACTACTCAAAAATAGAAGAATAGTCATAAAATAAAGGAAACAAATCAAGTAAAAAATCTACATAAATTTTGATTTTTTTCATTCGATTACATAATTATTTCATAAAAACAAGGGGACAATTTATTATTTCGCAAAATTTCGGGTTTATCTTGCCAGATTACGTAAAACCTCATGAAATACCAAAAATTATAGAAAATCAACCACTTATAACTTCCTAATTCCGGAAGCATATTTTTGAAATAAGTACTATGCCACCAGTCAAGAAATACAGGAATAGAATAGTCATAAAATAAAGAAAACCAATCAATCCAGTAAAAAAACCCAATTTTGCTCCAAAATTTCGGTTTTATTTAATAGTTCATCACAGATTACGTAAAACCTAATGAAATTCCAAAAATTATAGAAAATTAACCACTTAACTTCCTAATTTGGAAACATATTTTTGAAATAAGTAGTCAAAAATCCAGCAAAAAAATACAAGACGTCATAAAACAAAGAAAACCAATCAATCCAGTAAAAAATTCCAATTTTGCTCTCGATTCGATTCCATTCGATTAGATGACACCTTGCGAATCCAAATTATTATATCGTAGTCATCGCCGTTGTGCAAAAATCCTGCAGTAAAAAAGCCCACGCCTGCGACCAGTGGTCGCGGAAGGGTGAGGGACAATATCCCCACGATTGTTCGATGTCCTCATCATCTCCCCATGTTATATACACCCCTCCCTCCTCTAACCCACAATGTTCATGTCCCCAGATGTCCTCACGGCTTCCGCGGCCACTGACGACCAACCAGGACCACCTAGTTATCATCAGCCGGCAACCACGTACGTCTGTAAGTTTCATACGTATACCAAATCCTTGAGAAACTTTCCGGTTCGGGGAGGATGAGATGATGAGGAGTGAAAATGTCAAGGGCCCTTGTCAACTGCTCTTCTTCTCCTCAGTTATTTTATGATTTCTACACCAATCTCATATTTGAATTCCCATTAGTATTCAGATAATACGGGGAAGAGAGAGAGAGTCGGAGGGAGAGGCTTCTGGTGCCATTATTGCGATTGAAATTCCACGTATGTCTCCCCGCACGAGGGGGAAAATTAGCATTCTGTATTGCACAAAGGGAAGAAGATCCATCTTTCCGAGGCAGCAGTAGTATTATTAGAGGGTGAAACCCTTTATGGGAATGGCGTATCTGTCCGTCCGTTCATCTGTCCAAATCCACGATAGCTTTTGAATAGAATATGCAGTCTTTGCTAACGTCTGGCAATGAGTATTTTATAGGAATAAACTTCCGTCCGTCTGTCTGTCCATAACTTTCGAACAGATGCAGTTTTTGCCAACGTTTGAGCATTTTATGGGAATGACTTGTCTGTCCGTCTGTCTGTCCATGTATCTACATCCAGTCTTCGTCAACGTTTTGGGGATGACTTTGACAGGTCACATTGACCAGGTCATGGCGCCAGGTCAAAGGTCAGCAATATCAGAAATTTTTGTTTGGACTGTTTAGGAATTTCAGAAATTTAAATACGTTCCACATACGATGACCCTATGACGAAATTAGAAGTCTAAAATGTCAAAATTCCTTATTTCTGGTTTCACCCCTTTGCTATATTTTGTTCCCACCGGTTTATTATATTGTTCATTCTCTCTCTGGCTAGCAAAAATCCAACCTGGTCCACTTTTCTTTCTTGTCATTCATCCAACTACATAACTGCATGCAACGTAACGTACTTTCTCCATGCACGTGGGTGGAGAAAGTTCTTCTTTTCGGGAGAAAAGTTGAGACTACTTTTTCTCTCCAGCTCCTCAAACTCTTTTTTGATGACAACATAATGACATCCGGCCGGCTCCTCCTTCTTTTATCCGAATCCAGAAAAGGAGAAGAGAGAAATCCGACTGAATGGCAAATTTTTTCGTCTCCTTGAATTGAAGAATGTGCAATTTTCGAGACGAATTATTGTCAACTTTCTCTCCTTTCATGAGTAAGTATGTACATACGTGTAGGAGGTGGAAATAATGACCCACTTCAGAAATAAATTCGGGATAGAATACATAAATTCCTGGAAATGTCAAATTCTTAGAAGATATAAAATTTCATGATTTTGTCGCGTCATTTATTTTTATAAGTTCAAACAAATGATTTTTTACGTAACGTAAGACTCGATAATTCATCATCAAAATCACCACATTTTTAATCGCTTTTCGCCTCTGGGAATTTATTTTAAAATTCTGGACGACGAATTTGTAGTCGTTGAGTTGATTAATGGAATGGCGTTGAGTTTTTTAGCCAGTTTCGACGAGTTCCAATTTTTCTGAAGGCTTCATAAACTTGAGATCTCCTCCTTCAAAAAGTGTCAAAATCTGGTGTGTATATTTTCAAAAATTTGGGAACGACCTATGCTATACAAATTTGTCGTCCAGAATTATAAAATAAATTCCCAGAGGTGAGAAATGATTAAAAATGTGTTGATTTTGGTAACGAGATCTGCGTTAATTTCTCACGTGCGAGTTGTTAAATACAATTGCGTAATTATCAGTTTTTTTTTCTCTCTCTTCTTCTTTCATAACTCCGTAAATCCATTAATTACTCAAGTTTACTTTGCACCAAGTAATAAGTAGATAAAAACTTAACTTTGCAATAATCACGTAACTCTCTCCCAATACTTTCTCAAAATTTGTCATCAAAGTGAGAGAGTGACATCCGCACACAAAGAGACAGACGCAATCCAGATATAAAAAGTACGTGAGCGAAGAAGAGCCACAGCCCACCAACTTTCTCCTCTCTCACTAATTATCCTATTTTCATTAATACTATTCATTAATCCACACATTTCCGTCGTTCGTCCTCGTCTTCTCCTTAGCCCAAAAGTACACACGTGCATTTCAACTAATTATCTCTCCTCTCAATTCTCAGCTTTCACCTGTCCGACACGCCCAACCATCCACCCACCACTTATTTACCACCCACCCACCCACCAACGAAGAACAAAGCAACGGAAGTCATTTTCCTCCTCTGGTTGGCCCAATTAAATTACTTAAATTAATGAAAAGGTAAGTAAATCTAATCAGAGCAAAGTTCCTGAAATCAAATCCATTTACATAAATCGCTAAAAGTCACGATTTCCTTAATTCAACGGGGAAAGTTTAGCTCTACTCTTACTTTCACCGATGACATGTTATACGCTAATTGCTTATTTATCCATGCATACATACACACTCCATCAAAATTTAACTTTTGCACACAAAACGGACCAACTTTTCTAAATATTATTTAGACAAAATGACACACGTGTATAATTTGCATAACTCTAAATGCTAATTAGTAGTTGCACACTTAGTTCGCGTGTATTCGTTTCAAAACAGAACTTTCTCCATTGTTTTTTACCCCCACGCCACCAAAAGTGAGTGAACCGACAACTTATCAGGAAACAAAGAGAGAGAGGCAGACCCACTTCCGACTTTAATTATGGAATCAAACTTTACTTTACTTTCAATAAGTTTAACCTCATTCATTCAACTCTTAAATGGAGTAATTAGCCGGAATTGTTATACATACGAACGAGCAATGATGATGACAAGGCCGTTCAGAGTGAGAATGGAAGAACCAAGAATTATTACTTGGAGAGAATGAGAAAGCTAGAATTGCTAGGGAAGAATCATGCCGCGGCTATTTATTCATTTACGAATTTTCTATTTAGGAAAATTGTCGAATTTTACGAAATTTTAGAAATTTGTTTACAAAGCTACGGTGAAAAATCAAATTGCATATAAAAGTGTTTCAGCCATAAAAAGATGGAGGTCGTCAGTTTATTCGTAAAAAAGTTTGTAATATCGTTTTATACGTGATTACAAAAATTTGTTTAAATTTCGTAATTATTTAACAAAAAATGTGTAAGAATTACGCCGAATGAATGATTTTTAATATTAAAGTAACTAAAATTAGGGTTTTAGATCCACTGGGTATGGGTATACTTTTTAGGAATAGTTACTAGAATTTCTAAATAGAATATCTATTTTCTTTTATTTCTACCTTTTCCTAATTTTTTGTCAGATTCTTAAGAAAATATGCAAATTTAAAAAAATGGAAATTTTGTAAATATTTTTAACGCTTTTAGACTAAAATAATTTAAATCCTTCGGCTATTTTTTTTTTCAAAAGTAGATTTTCAATTTTCAAAATAAAAATTTTCAATGATTTTAAACCAAATAGTTTCTTAAACTAGGAAAAGCTTATATTAAATTTAAAAAATAATAATTTGACGAAAAAATGCCCCAAAATTTATATTTTTACATTAAATTTTCCGCGATTTGTCATAAATAAATAAATAGCCGCTGTATGCTTGAACATGCATGACACGAACTGCTTGCTTTCTTATAAAGCTCTGCGTAGCATCCACCTCACAGCAGCAGCAGAATAGCAAATATAAACTTTCGCCGTATAATAATGTACCTCCTTTCTCCGTGAGCTTTATTGTCTCACCAGTCTTAAGACTCTGACTGAATGTGTGAATCGTTAAAATTAATTATTATAAATCGTCCCACATTTGAGTGAGACGACGGGAAAGCGAATCATTATAATTGTCACGTTCCTCATCGTCTCACTGACTGAGCATGACATTTAAGAGAAGAAGATCTCTCACTCTAATTCTACTCCATGCACTGAGGAGAGAAAGTTTAGTTGACCTAAAAATCATCATCCCTCGCTTTTTTTCCTGGTCTGTCGATAAGTTAAGTATTTTCTTTATTAAGTGATGAAAAATATGACATTTCTCCAACGCTAACTTCTCTCAGGATAAAATACACACTCTTAGAAATAAGATAATACCAAGCGGTATTCATGTATGAATTTATAAAAGTGAGATTGATCACTAGTACTCTGTAGTAACAGTGAGTATTAAATTTTTACCATATCGGTAGCAAATTTTTACGGACCTGAATAATTTTAATACCAAGCCGTAGCAAGTTTAACACCGAGAAATCAATATCTTCCCGAGTATGGTATATTTCTAACAGTGGAGAAATCCAGTATTAAACTAATACCGAGACGTATTCATGACTCTACCAAACTAGAATTGATAATAATACCCCGTAGTAATAGTTGGGTAATTTATTTTTTCAAAATTTTATCATACATATCGGTGGTAGCAAATTTTTACGGAGCGGTATAATTTTAACACCAAGCAGTGGCAACTTTAATATCGAGAAATCAATACCTATACTTGACAGATTTCTAACAGTGGGTTTGTCTCACGTTTGAGACTGAATATGATGAAAATGTGTCAACTTTCACCCAAAAGTGGGAAAGGTGGTGAATAAAGACAAAGGCAGCCACTTTCTCATCATTTGTAGTAGCAGAGGAGGAGGAGGAGGAGGAGGAGTAGGTGGTGGTGTTGGATTAGTGGAAATGCATTAAACGACTAAAACAATGTTTTCCTTCCTCCTTCACCATTTACTATTCGCTTTTTCTCCGTGTCACCTCACCGTGTCGCGCTAATTCATCATTTCTCTCTCTTCTCTACATACATATCCTCCTCGTAAGAGAAAGAGGCAGGGGTCGCAGAATACTGGGGACACTGGGGGATTATTATAAGATATGTCCACCTCGATATGTCCACACTGTTAGAAATCTGATATAGTCAGGCAGATATTGATTTCTCGGTATTAAAGTTACTACCGCTTGGCATTAAAATTATACCCGTCCGTAAAAGTATCAGTACGTGTGCTTACGCTCGTTCGACACCATTAATAAAAACTTCAATCAAGCAATCAATCAATCAAAAATTTCCTGTCGATCTGATAACAATTTAATACCGAGCTATTACTACGGTATTACTTTTCAATCCCACTTTAGTAGAGTCCTACATGAATACCGCTTGGTATTATTTTAATACTTGGTTTCTAAGAATTTTAAACACATGCCCCTTTGTCTCTATTGTTGTCCCCCATTCATTGTTCCACCGTCCCTGCGTGCGTGTGAGGTGACTAAAACTACTCTCAAATGTAAATAAGGGTCGTCTCCTCCTCTCCTCGTAATACTCTCACTCAAACGCCTTTAACACATCCTGCCTGACTTTCTCTCTGCTTTCCTAACCTTTCGTCACAAAAGGAAGAAAGGAAAGCGTTGCGGGAGGAGGTGAGAAGACCTCCTTCTCAGCCACCCATTACAACAATTCTTCGTTTACTTACTTTACTTTACTCATACTTTGACTTTCCTGAGAAATGGGGCCGTAGAAATTATTGTCCTTTCCTTTCTATACGGCAGGGTTTCCGGTGAAAGTAAGTAACCACGTGCAAGAAATAATGGGGAGAAAGTGGTTTCTTGCAGGGCAATATTTTGACCTGAGAGAAATGCAAGGCGCGAGAAACTACGCCGCGCCGCTGTAAATACTTCATACGGTGCGTGGCTGGATGGCGCATATTTCTTGCACTTTCTCCCAGTTTCTTGCACCTCGCATTCTTGCTTTGTACTGCAAGAAATGTGACAAACACACAAGAAACTAAATACTTCCCGCCCTTATATTTCATCAGACGCGTAGTTAGATGACACAGGTTTCTTGCACTTTCGCATAGTTTCATGCACCCCGCATTTCTTGCATTTCTTGCCTCACAGTGCAAGAAACTACCGGAAGAAAGTGGGTTTTGCAGCTATTTTGACCTGGAAGTAATGCAAGGCACCAGAAACTCCTTCCCGCCGCTATATTTCATACAGCGCGCGGCTAGATGGCGCATATTTCTCGCACTTTCTCGCCCACCCGCCAGAAACGAAACACTGTTTCGACACCATACCACCTCCTCCCCGATAACTAAAGCTAACATTAAATTCGCTCCGTGTAAACAGGAGCAGTTTGTCATAAAGGAGTTAAATATATGGTGACTGACTTGGAGAAAACTTGGTGCGGCACGATTTATTTACTTTCCAACCCATGCTGCCGTACATTCGAGTACACGTGTTTTAATTGCAAACTTGTTCACCAAACTTGGCCACTTTGTCATCTTAAAAAGCAAGCCTGAATTAAATGCACGTAATGTAATAATAACGTGCAGTTTGGTTTTGGCTTGTGCATGCAAAAATGGATGGTTCTCGTTCTAGTTATGCAGAAATTTATAGAATTTTACAGAAATTTGTAGAAATTTACTGACAAACTCGGGAGAATTTATGCAGAAATTTGCAGAAATTTACTAATAATTACAAGAATTTTTGCAGAAATTTACAGGAATTCACCAACAATTATAAAAATTTGTGCAGAATTTACAGAAATTTAACAATAATTGTAAGATCTTTTTGTAGACCTTACAGAAATTTACAGAAATTTACGGATAATTTTAAGAATTTTTGCAGAAATTTATAGGAATTCGCCAACAATTTAAGAGTTTCTACAGAACGTAAAGAAATTTACAGAAATTTCTCGAGTTCCTAGTTGCTAGTTAATTTAAATTTCAAAAGTTTGGATCCTACCCGTTATTCAGAAATTTTTCGAAATATAAGAAATATGCTTTTCATTTAAACATTTGGGTGAATACATTGTCGTTCAGCGATCTATATTTGAACACGTGATTTATACAAAATACACGTAAAATTCAAAAGTGGCGTCAAGTTAGCAATGTTACGATTTTAGTCTAAAATTCCATAATTTTGCTACTATATTTCGCCGATTCCAGAATTTTCAGTATATTGCAAATTACGCGTTGATTAGAAGATCCAATACTCATCAATAGTGGATGCATTTGGTCTTTACATATAATTCCGCCCGACTCGACTCGAGCGAATCTTCCAATTCAACGGAGGTACATAATTTAAGCAGCGTTGTTTATTAAATCATAAGCTGTCATTTAAATCACTAACAATGGAGGTCTCCCAACGTATGCTCACAGATTTGGACCAAACTAGCGTTGATCGATCACAAATATAATTAGTGTGAAATTTGCAAATGGAACTATCTGCCAATGCGCAGGTTTGGCGGAGATATTTGCATAAAAAGAGGAGAAGACGCACCCCCAAGGCTGGCAAATTTGTCATTTGCCAAATTTGCTGCGCATTTTCTAGCTAACATATCGCGATTATTATCATTTTTAACAAGTTATATACTTCTCGAAATAAATATTTGTTAGAGTTGATTTCACACTTTCAGATTGCTTGTTGTTTCTCACTCTTGATGGTACATTGGAAATTCAGAAATTTTATGAAAATAAGACAATTCAAAATTGTACGTGTCTGGACAACCATTAAAAATTTTAATAAAGTAGTTAAACTTATTTTAATAAAGTAGTTAAACTTAAATTCTGTTTTATTAATACCTGGAGTACATTTTAAACAAGTTTGATTTCCAAACTACTAAATTTTCGACGTATTAATGTCGCAATAATAATATATTCGAATATGTAGTTCCAGAAGCTACAGAATTATAGAAAACTTGTCGCAAATTTTCTTTTTCTGGATATTTGTAAAAGCAAATTTTCTTCATGTGCAGATCAAATTATAACTTTCTGGAAACCGACAGAAATGTCCATTTTCAAAGGATTTCAAAGTCGGCTCCGTAAATTTTGACCTACATATTTTTATCTTTTAATATCTGCAAATTTTAAAAACGTAGGTTTACTAACTGCCAATTAATTTGCGCTGAAACGTATGAATCATAGGAAAATAAATAAGATGAAAACCAATTTTTTTAAAGGTTCAGTCAAATCACAGCTTTATTCAGAACATTGTAAACAAAATTTGGAAATATAAGCCTTGAAAATTTTAATAGTAGGCTGGAATAGCGGCGGCTTATGAAAAATCTGAATATGAAAAATGTTCAAGAGATTTCAACATCTGTTCCGCAAATTTTGACCAAACTCAAGTTACAGAAATTTTAAAAATGTGGGTTTACTAACTGTGTATCAATTTGCGCTGAAACGAATGAATATTATGAAAAATATGTAAACAAATACAACGAAACAAAATTTTCTTAAATTTGAAGATTAATATCAACTCAGTTTTTCTTTTCCATCCCGCGCTGGTATCCTTCCCATGCTATTAGTATGGTAGGGATACGAAGCGGGAATCAAATTTTTGGTAAAGTAATTCTGAGTCAGTAGTAGATCACAGCTTTATTCAGAACATGATAGAAAAATTTTGGAAAAATAGCACTTCAAAAATTTCATAGTACATGGGAATTAAGCGGCGGACCAAATTTGCATGCAGAAGAATGAATTTTATACAAAATAAGAAAATAAATAATAAGAAAACCAAATTTCTTAAAAGGTTCACAGTTTTATTCAGAACATGGTAAACCAAAAATTTGGAAATATAAAACTTCAAAATTTTAATAGTAGGCGGGAATAGCGGCGGCGTATGCTGGAGCGGCGGCGTAGGCCAATCCAGCGGTGGATCCGTATCTTCGAATTCCGGTGGAGGCGGAGGAGGCGAAAGCGTTGTGGAAGTTGGGGCCGCTCACACCGGAAGTGTACAAAAGCTGGGCGGACGCCACGGCGAGGAGGGCGAGAACGACAAGGACCTAATTAGCAAGAATCAAATTATTACACAAAATTCCCATATTTTAGAAAATTATGAAAAATTCAAAAACTCAATTTTGGCCAGAAATCAGTATAAATAAATTTCCAGCAAATTTCAAATTCTGATGCTTTCAACAAATTTTGAAAAAGTCAGTAATTCAAATTCCCTTATATATTGTAGAAAAGTATGAAAAATTGTGGCTCAAATTGCTCAACTTACGAATCGGAACATGGCGAAGTTTTTGGTTTTTGAAGAGATGATAATTTCTGAGGAGATGAGATTGATTGAGCTTGAATGATTCCAATCCGTAAGGATTCTCGCATTTTATAGTTTCCATTCCACCAAGGAATCTACGTCATCGAGAAGAATTCCTTTGTTCACGAGTCACATCCACAAAAAAATACGTAACTGTACATTTTCATTAAGAAGGAGCGTAAATCTCAATTTTCTTACAACATCGATTGTCCAGGTTGCCAATCAGTCACGCCTTTACCTTAACTTTTTATTCAATCTTGAACTTGACTTGATCACGTGCAAAAAAACTGCAACTAATTTGGCACTGAATGAAATACTTAAGTTGCATACAGTTAACAACAATTTGATTAAGAGTTGATATGTACGTATGCATTTTGATTAAGTTGTTACAGCAAAAGTGAACCTTTTTTACTCCTGAGTTTATTTGTAGTACACAAACGACTATTGGAATTAAGAGATTGGAATGGTTATGGTGAGTGAAGATGTGCAGAATTTTGCCAAAACTTTTGAATACAGGTTGATGCACTGAAATTGTGCGTGCATATCTCTTCTGCTCGAAAATGTATCATTTTTTCGGCTTCGTGTAAACGAGGTCAAAGGTCATGAAATGTTAGCACGTCAAAAATCATTTTTTAAAAATGTCAAACTTTCCGAGTAGCGTCTCAACGAACTTCGTTTCCGTGAGTTTGTTACAGGATTTTATTTCTTGTTCGAATGCATTCCATAAAAAAATCTAATAAAATTCAAATTGTAAAAATTGTGCAGGTTTGTCCTTGAATTTTTATGGATAATAAAAAAATAGTATTTTTTTTGTAACAATGCAAATTGTTTACCGAATTTGCATACAAACAATAATTAAACGCCGGTTTATTTATTGTTAGTCCATGATTTCTCGTGTATACATATTTATTATTTCTTGCATAAAAATTAAGCTGACAGAGAGAAGAGCAGGCAAGATTTTTGGGATGGGTGACATTTTTTCAGGTATAAGAAAATTAAGCAATTATGTTATCGCTGCTGGATTTTGATTGAAAATAAATGAAACGATTGGTTTTAATTCGTGCCACAAAATAAATAATAATTACTCCAGGTTGCGGAATTTGGCTTTTTTTGAGGAAATTCTTCCCTCATGGAAAGTGGTAAATTTTTTGGAATAATTTACATAAAATGGGAGCAAACAATTTTCAAAATTTAAAAACATGAAGTGACTGGAACGGTGTAAAGGAGAGGTAAGTTTTTATTTTAAATTTTGAATATTAGGGGTTTACAATCGACTTATTTTGGTTTTCCCACAAATTATAAGTCATTTCTATAAATCAATTATAAGTCTGTTCTATTTGAATGCTCCACTTTTTGTTTAAATTTTATGTTGTATGCAATTCAGGCGACCGAATTGCATTAAACGTCAAAATCATCGCAAAAACAAACATAGTAGCTTTAAAAAGACCTAAAACTTCAAAAATAGGTACAACCTTTGAATTCTTGCCTAATATATAAATTACATGATATTTATGAAGTGGGATGATTGAAAATTTAATCGTCACTCTCATTTGAACTTCCCACTTTAAATATTTCACTGCACTATCGTAATTAAACCAATTTCAATTATGCACCATTTTAAATCACTTGAATACGGATTAAAACTCGATTGAAAAATAATTTATTGAGCAGCAAGTGCCCTGCAGCAAATTTGAGTGAGTCAAATTTCAACGGCAGCTGATGCTCAAAACAAGCGAAATAAGTGTCTTATTCCAGAAAAAAGTCAATCCAGGAGACTTATTTTCCGATCACTTATAAGTGAAATACTAGCTACTGCGCATGCTCGCGCAGTGTCACTTAAAAGTGGAAACGACTTATAAGTGGTCGGTACACTTATAAGTCAACATTTTGTAAACACCTATTGTTTATTTTCGACTTATTCATTAGACTGTGGATAAGTATTCTAGGTCACTAAAGTTCCAAAATATTTGTTTTCAAAATTTCTAGAATTTAAATGTTTTTGAAATATTATTGATAAATGTCATTTTTTTTAATTGTTTAACTTGAGCGACTTTAGACAAAATATTTTTATAAAGTTTTTATTTTTCTTAGGTGAGGCATAGTAACCATGACCACATGAAAAAATGCATGGTTACGGCGAAGCCTTAGTATGCAATCAGACCCCCCTTCCTAAAATTCCGCTCAAGTTTGTGGCAAAACGGCTAATCGCATCAAAATGGTGTAAAAGGCAATCGTGCAGACCTTGCTTAGCAGATTATGCCCGTCAATTCGAGGGAGATGACAATCTTATTTTAGTGCATTTAAAATCGATTTTAAACTTTTAAACGACTGGCAAATTCACTTTTACCATGCAATGCTAGTGCGAGACCCTGATTTTCATGTGTAGAAATCTATAACGGGTCAATTAAAACAAACCCGAGTGAAATCGGGTAAGAAATGAAGAACTTTTCTTGGTGGCATCTGCAAGTAGTCCTCTTGCATATAACGCCTGATCATCTTCCTATTATGAAGTTGCTATTAGCAACTAAATTCAACCAGTAAATACAGGCCGTACATAAAGTATGTGATACATTTTCTTCGAATTTCGACCCATACAATGTATGGCATACATGTCCCGTTAAATTCATTTGTTTGTTTGTCACATGGTATGCTAAAAGGCGCGATGGCTCTCCCCCACTCGAAATTGGTTAAATATTTCATGCACGTCCCCTAACACATAAGTCTCGTTCATACAATGCTTGTATTAAAGATGTATGCAATTAGAGATGTGCATCATATTTCACTTTTGTACAAACAATTTTTTAACGTCCAGTGTCTGAATTTTATGCTTATTGTTTATGAATTTGTATTCATAAACACGCCAGTTCATGGAAAGCATTTCTCACTCATTTAACTTCTGGTCATAATTTTCGCACCAGATACATATTTTTAATCGTGACAAATTCATTTAACACAATTAACCGAGCATAATACTACCAAAAATCCTGGCAGAAGATGGATAACCCCAGTCAAGCGGTACGTATATACATTTATGCCACAATCTTAATTAAATACGGTGTTTAGAGAATTATCGCTGCATTTATAATTTTAATTCATAGCTGGTGAACCTTGCTGACGTAACCTATTTTATGATCAAAAACGCTAAATCGAGATGTAAGAGCAAGAAATCTAATAATCCAACGCACAAGAACTCAATATGGAGGTACATCGAATCTTCTCTACTCGGAACGAATGAACCAAATATTAGGCAATTTCTCCACAATTTTGAGAAATGCATTCCATTACAAAATTCCGTGAGTGCATTTTAATTACATATTTCATTTAGTATGTTGCCTATGTATGCTTATTTATGTACTTATTGATACAGGAAAAATACTACGACACCACCGTAAATATGATTAGAATATTTATGATGGATCTTGCATCAAAATCGGAACTCAATAATAATCATCGACAACCTTCCTCATCGTGGGGACTTCTATCGACGAATATTTATACAACAAATACCATGGATGACCGACGATTTCTTTCGCAATTATGGGCAATTGGAAACGAAGTACGTACTTATAACTAAGCTAGCCTTAATCTAAAGTCCTTCGGTCTAATTTTATCAATATGATATTTTTATATTAAAGTTGGATAATATCGAAGGCGAGTCACTGGATGCACTTTTGCACAAAACGGTACGAATTAGGGACAAGAGGAAAGAGAAGCTAATCAAGGATCAGAATCGGTACCAACATAACCTGCAGCAGTTGTCCACCACCATTTCACCAGCACCACAGAACATTGAGGATGATCTCATCGTTCCATCACAAACTTCGCAAGTAGAATTAATTGAATTATTAGATAAATTGTATAAAAAGAGCATCCAACAATATGCTACGCAACCATGTGACAATTGTATGTTATTAATGTATCCATCACAAGCTCGTAATATTAGTATAACACCACAACTTTTTACATTATTTGGTGAGATTGATGTACAGTACCAACTTCCACCTCAAATGAAAGTGTGTCAGCGTTGCAAGAATAACTTGAAAAAATTCAAAATTCCTCCGAAATCCAAAATTAATGGGATGGCATTGCCACCCATTCCCAAGGAGCTTGAGTGCTTATCCATGGCTGAAACACGACTTATAAGCCAAGTCAAGCCCCACATGAAAGTCTTTCATACTTGCAGAGGGCAAGGCCAAAGAGCAATAAAAGGGTTGGTGGTTCATTTCCCACAGCAGATTAAGGAGGTGGTGGACCAATTACCCATGACGACTGAGAATTCGGACTTCATAGTTGTCAATGAAACAAATGACAAGACAGATCTGACTACACAACTTAGAGTTCGTCCGAAAAAAGTATATGAAGCACTTAGATGGTTAAAAGACAACAACCCTTTATACAGAAATGTAACTATTAATGATTCGGTTACATTTAATGATTTCCCATCCATTACTAGGGACGAAACTTTAACTCCTTCCCCAATAATAAACTACAATAATGCAAACATTACCTATATACAAGTAGGACAAATGTTTGTTCTTAGGGGCTCATTCTGCCAGAGCCACACCATATTTCTCAATAATGCTGGCAAGCAATGCACCGCAATGGCTGCCAGCTTACGCTGCTATAGAATCCCCTTTAACCTGGACACGTGAAACTCTGGACGGAGTTTTACTAACTGGAAACGAGTACTACTCCCTCAAACAGGAGGATGTACAGCACGACTACTTAACAGCTGACGAAGTTACTGGGGATATTATTGTCTTTGGTGGGTGTCAGGTTAGTCTGGGTATTGGAGATTTGTCAAATGCTGTCCAATTCGACGGTTATGTTAACCGTGCGCGGAGTGCTGACCTACCTCGATTGGATTACCAAATCCGACAATTCCTCACTCGAGGGTGTCAGTTTGGAATTCTGACCATCGGCCTTTACTCGATGGCGATGTATGTAGAAGGAAACCTCACATACTATTTTGACAGCCATAGTCGAGGAAAGGCAGGGGGAGCCACAAGAGGGGAAGATGCGGGAGCAGCTTGTGTGCTAAAAATCGACAATGATTTGGCCCCAGCTAAGATATCCAACTTGGCTAATAGAAATTGCGTGTCCACTTCTATCCCTCGCACTGATCTTGTCAATCTTCGCTTCCTCATTACTGTTTTTAATGTGGTACGCGAGGAGCAAATTTCTTCCAATCCATCAACTCCTATTCCATCTCCCACAAATTCACCACCACGCAAGATTCCGAGACCTGAAATTTTCGCTCCAGATTCCGATGAGGGAGCTAGTGAAAGCGAGGATGAAGACCAAGAAGGTCTTGCTTTTCCCAGCGCCGAGTTTGGTAGAGTTTTAGACATGGATTGCGTCATTGAAAGGGACGATATAATGGAGCCCGATTTGGATGATGTCATTGACGGTAGATACGAGCTAAATCGTATTTATGGAGGTCCCCTCAACGAGCATCACGAGCAGAACCTCGATCTGCTTGCATTCCCAAACTTATTCCCTCATGGTGTTAACGGGTTACATGCCTTTAGGAAAATCCCAATAACGTACTTGGATTACTTCCAACAAAGAATTATGTCTTCCGAAAAACGGTTTTCGAGGAATACAGATTTTCTGTTCTACGCTTTATCTGAAACCGATAAATATCGGGCTCGTCAAAAAATTGCTATATGCTGCCACCAGAAGTTGCAAGGTGACCCGAACGGACAGGAAGATAATCTTGCAGCTCGTGACCCTCACGTTTACATGAGTGCAATTAGAGGGACGTCTGCTTTCTGGAGGAAGTACACAGGTGATTTGATTGCAATGGTCAAGTCACTTGGTGTACCTACGTTTTTCTTCACATTTAGTTACGATGACCTTAATTCTTCTGATAGTGTTAATGCTCTCCTCAAGGCGAAAAACGGGGCAGACACACCTGAATGCGACCCTTCCACCATTCCCTACGACGAAAGGAAACAGATGCTTAACGATGATCCAGTGACTGCAGCCCGGCATTTTTCAATGCGTCTCACGAAATTTATTGCCTTGATCAAGGCCAATGGGCAGTCTATTTTTGGACTCCCTCTAATTGATTATTCCATCCGAGTTGAATTTCAAGCCCGTGGAAGTCCGCATGCCCACTGCCTATTTTGGCTCGAAAATGCACCTGATTGGAATTCATCAGAAGGAATTGCATTGCTTGAAAGGAACATTTCATGCAGCGTTTCTGGACAATATTCGGATTTGGTATTACGGTACCAAAAACATTGTCACAAGAGCACGTGCTTCAAAAATAGAAACTCATCTTGTAGGTTTGCATTTCCGAGGGTGGCTTCTTCGGAAACTAAAATTCTTAATGATGACGAAATTGCTAGAAATCGAGGCAGATTTTTCGCTCTGAAACGTGTGGAAGGGGAAGAAATGATAGGATACTATCACCCTGTTCTTTTTCCAATTCTGCGATGTAATATGGACTTGCAACCTGTGACAAACGCTATGGCCATTGCATACTATATAGCTAAATATATGTCGAAGGCGGAGCCACTTGAGATTCGCCAAGATGTGAAAGCAGCAATCAGTAAAATTCATTCTTCAAATTTACCTGCTGCACAAAAAATGTTTCGAGTTGCTATGACTATCATGCGACATCGTGAAGTTGGGGCTCAAGAAGCGGCTTTTCGGAACTGTCATCTCTTTCTTCGGTACTCTTCCCGAGCTTCTGTCTTTCTTCCTACTTTCATGAAGGACAAACGGGTACGGATGGTTGACCGAGAATATCTTGCGTAAGAAGTTATTCCAAAATTTCGAACGAATATTATAGATCGTTATATGGCTCGTCCACCGTTCTTGGAACCAATCTGCCTTTATGAATTCGCATCAATCTGGGCTCTGGCGCCGGCGTCAAAAAATGAGGGAAATGATGATGAGGATTTAATTGAATTTCCAGAAGCTCCTCCTGATGAACACTTTTTCCAGAGAAGTGGGTTCTTACATAAGTGCATTGACAGCGAGAACAGGTTACTCGGCAAAATTTTTTGGCGCCGCACCCCAGCCGTTGTTAAATATCCTAATTTTCATCCAGTGACAGATCGGGAAGCTTATTATTACTCTCTCATCTTAATGTACTGGCCATTTCGGAAGGAGGATTTCTGTGATGAAAGCGCACCAAGCGTCGTCTTCCAGCAAAAGCACCCTGAGTTTAGAACAAGTGTGCACAGTCCTGTGATTAGACGTGATTTGTGCGAAGAAATTGATAGGGCAATCTTACGAATATCTGAATTCACAGAAAATGAGAACGACGAGGCAAATATTGAGTGTCCCTTCGATCCTCCATTCGAAGAACAAGAGGATAATCTTCTTGACATCCCGTCACAGCAAGAGGTGTTCCCAGAAGTAGCTCCTAATATGAATATTACGGAGACTGTAAATGAATTATATCGGGGACTAAATGTGCAGCAAAAGAATATATTTCATAAGGTTCACACTGCTCTATCTTCTACCAACACCTTCCGCTTATTAGTGCAAGCAAGCCGAAGGTGGAACTGGTAAAACCCATTGTTTAAAGACACTCACGCTATTAATTAGGAACTACTGGCCGGGGGATTGTCTCATCATTGCGGCCCCCACTGGTAAAGCTGCATTTCCAATTCGTGGGGGCACTTGCCATCGAATTTTTGGATTGCAAGTTTTTGATAGGGTTCATAAAAACCTATCAAAAACTCAACGCTCGAAAACTGGCCGAATTTAGGAGAATTTATTCTAACGTGAGGTGGATTTTTATTGACGAAATTAGTATGGTTTCCTATGAAAATTTTCGCGCAATTCATTTGCGCTTGTGCGAAATTTTCAACACTGAAGGGGTTGACCCATTCGCTAATAAAAATGTCGTCATTTGGGGAGACTTACTTCAGCTTCCACCTCCGAAGGCGACCAGAATATTCATGCAACCTTCCGTATTCTCTGCTGAAGTTAATTTGTGGCGCCAGTTCTAATTTTCGGAACTGACTATTAACATGCGCCAAGGGACTGACCCACTATCTAAAATATGCTCTGAGCTTAGAGTTGGTAATTTGTCAGAAGAAAGTTTACGTTTACTGCAAGACAGACTGAATTTTGACCAAACAGAATTTGAGAATGCTGTACGAATTTTTCCAGAGAACCAAATGTGTGACGAATATAATAAAAAACGGACTATACAACTCAGACGAACTCAGCGCACTTATAAAATTAAGGCGCAAGACACGTATGCAGACGGTACTAAGCAAGGGCGAACATACCCTGAACAATCTTTGCCTACAACGATTGATAGAACTGGTGGATTTCCAAACGGGATAGAATTGGGTGTCGGTAGTAGAGTCATGCTTCGTAAAAATATTGATGTTATGAGTGGAAAAAGTAATGGCACTACTGGGGTGGTTCGTAAAATTGAATGGACCATTGATATAGACCAACAGATTTCTGAGGGTGACATGCCAAAAAGAGTTTCTATTCTTTTTGATCACGAGTCCGTAGAAACCTGGATTGAACCAACAACTGTAGAATTCTTCGCAAGAGGGCAGCAAAGAGTTACTCGTCGAACGCTGCCTCTGATTTTGTGCTGGGCAATTACAACGCATAAAACCCAAGGTTCCACATTAAATCAGGCGGTGGTATATTTAGGCAGCAAATGCAAAACCAAGGGATTAGCGTATGTCGCTATATCCAGGGTCAGAACACTTGCCGGGTTAGGCATTATCACGTTAGATCCTAGAAAGTTGTTGACGACAGGGAAATTTAACCCTGCAGATACTGACGCTCTGGATGAATTGGAAAGATTAAGAGCAACACTTGAAAATTAAGTTCTTTAAAAAATGCAGCTCTGAAATGCTATAAATAATAATGCATCCTTTCCCACTAATAATACAGTCACATTTTTTGGTCAATTGCACCCAACACCTTATACTGCATAAATAACCATCTCAAACCCAGCCAAAAAATGTGATTGTAATTTGAGTGGAAGTTGGTACTTGCAACGGGAATTAACGAAAAGTGCAGTTGCAAGTTAAATGGGTCTCGTTAATTACGTTGGCAATTCATACGTTTTGTTCCTATTTTAATGATTTTTAAGTATTTAATTCAGCGTAATTCATCATTGTATATATTAGGTATTACATATTTCTATCTTATTAACTGTTAAATAAAATTTTAGTACTTAGATGCAATATGTGAACTTGTAATGCATTTAATTTGAAAGCATTTCTCATCTCATTTATGCATTAATTCTTAATATCTTGTAACCTAAAGCATAAAAATAAACTAATTCTTTAAAAAAAACTTAGGCGAGGCTTGCTGAAAAGAAGAAAACAAGGTTTTATCATCATGTACTAAAATAATATGCCAAATCAATGTTCATCTCACGATTTCTAATTTTCCGTAAAGAGCTCAGCATATGCGTTTGGGACCATTTGCCTCGCCGTGGGCCGTGTGGCGATTCAAAAAATTAAAATGCTTTTAAATTTATTATTAATCCTCGGTACATTGAGTTTTGATACAACGAATTTTTAATATAAGGTTGAACAATGATATCTTTTTGTGACCTCAATGACCTCAAGTTTTGGTTGTCGCTAAATGATGGTAAAAAATAGTTGTGTCTTCCAATTATTAATTTGAAACCGAATTTTTCAGGTGCAGTATTCCTCCTACTTTCCAATGATTCTATTTTAAGTAATTCTAAAACTTCTAAAAAACCGGAGCGATTCCGGGCAATCGAGAAGTACGGAGGATAAAGTTTGTCAAATCTGGGAGGATTTTGACCACTGGATTTCGAACGAGTTTTCTCCTCCCGCTGCAAAAAGTCGGGATCATGATAACCACGCCGACGAGGAGCAGATAAGTCGTGATGATACGACCAGTCATGCGGGATTATCTTCTGCTCAAGTGGAGCCTGTTGTTGGGGGTAAATTTTATGCAAATAAATTTCATAATGAAACGGAAGGGTTATAAAAATAATTTGTAATTTCAGAAACTGATAGGACCGGGATTCATGGCGCGGGCATTCTTTGCCGAAACCCGGGTTGTGGTCGGCACTCGTCTTCATGCACGCTGTTATTACAAGGCAATCGGAATGGTGATGATGATGCCATCCAGAGACAGAGAGGTATTAATATGTGTTCCGTATGAAAATCGACGTGCCTGAAAAATGGGAATATATTTTGCAGAAAAATTTGCAAAATTCTTCAGAGCTCTATGCAATTTTTCTTATAGATACTATTCGTTTTAGACTTTCCACCTGAATCCTGCAAGTTTCTGTATGCGAATTTAATTTTTTAATTCGTAATTTTCCCGTGATTTTCGAAATAGGATGCTATAGTTTGGAGATATTTGACCCACGTCCTCCCCGATCATCGAATATGGACCCTGGTTCCACCATGTTCTCCGTTTCGCCGTATTTGGTCTCAATTTTTGTCCTTTTAGCGACATCTGTTTTCGTTTTTGCAATATTAATTTTGTGGTCGACTCGCTTCTATGAAAATGGTTCTTCCACAATTCAAAATTGGTGGAGTCCACGACCCCACGGGAGAAATAGTGGGGGTTAATTTACATATTAATAAAAAATTTACTAATATGAAATGAAATGAGTATAAAAAATTCGAATTCAAAAATGAAATTTATACATATTTTAAAAGGTTATATTTCAATAAAAATCCATTAAGATTACGCAATGTTCATTTATTTCGTGTAAAGTTTTGTGCAACGTTTGGACAAAAATTCTTAAATTCCTTCAAGATTATGTAATGATCATTTATGTTTTGAAACAAAAGTTTGGGAAAAACAAAAAAATTTGCTAAATTGCGTCAAAATTGGGAAATATTCATGAAACTATGAATGAAATTTTAATCCAAAATTTGGTAACTTGTGACGTCGATTTCAGAATTTTTTGCACGTATCTTATATTATTATGCTTTTACAATATTCGAATACACACAATTCCGTTTATAGAGTGCATTTATTCAAATTTTTACTAACTGGAGTTACGCAAATTTTAACTACCTTGTTGCTATTTACTTTAAATTCCGAAACTTCATATAACACAATAATTTCAGAAATTTTTGGCAATATAGGAAATTATAATCCCAAATGTAGTTGGTACCTCCGGTCGAACCTGTGTTTAATGTGATTTACAAACTACAGTCTCCTAATAAAAAGTGATAGTAGAGCGTAGTTTTTGAACCGGTCAACATAAAATTAAAAGGTCAATTGCGGTTTGTGCATACATTCAGTGCATATCATTGGTGTTGACCGCTTTTACTTGACATCACTAGGTCAAAAGATGCAGGAGCTTTACCACACGCGCGCGGCAATATTTTTTCACTTTTTACGCTAGACGAAAAATTCACAATGTTAGATGTAGTGTAGCAATTCAAGGACAACTACCATCTGGTTGCCCAACCTATTAAAGTAACCATAGGGACAGTGTCTAACTTTGAGATAAAAGTTCCGCTGGTCCAAGGTCAAGGAGGACTACAGTGATGTCCGAAGCTTTGAACGCCAGATTACCACAAAATCTCTGTCTGAGACCGAAGACTTTGGCCATACAAATGACCTTTCAACTTTAGAAATCAGATGAGCACTGAAAAATGACCCTAAGATGGAGGCCTTTTAGAGTTGAAAGAACCAAGTGCTACAGATTGCCCAGACGTAAGCTAAGGTCAAAAAATCGACCTCCCTCTCCCAGCGGTACGGTAAAAAACAAAATAACCCGTTTACCGATGAGAATTTCTTTACGACAAAAATTTGTTTCAACAAACGAAGTAGCATATTTTGTGTCAAATATTCTTAGGGTTAGTTAATTACGAAATGGAGGTCAAATGTCATCTTATCGGCCTACATTCATGGTTTTGGCGGCAATCGGCGGAATTGGGCAAAAACCGCCCAATTTCCTTGATTAAGGAGAGGAGATAGTTTAAAAAAATACTTGATAAATGTCCTTGTGAAGAAGGAACACCCCCTCAACTAGTCCATATTGGGTGAAAAGCCACCGACCCTTGTGAACGGCCCTACAGTAACAAATACAGCGAAATTCGTGAAAAACTGGATTAAACTCCAAATTTCTGACTTCATTTCCACTTTAGGTTTGATCTTGGCATTTTCGAATCGCAGTCAACTTCACTACCAAATATTGATTAAAATTGAGGAAACGGTCTGTTATGAGCCCCATATAAGTGTGTGGGTCACAAAAAAATTTCTGACCCGGGAATGATACACTTTGTCAGTAAATTGCGTGCGTATTTTTGACAGAGTTCGTTCTCTTCTCTTGTGACTAATTTTTCATGGTCACAGGTGACAGGAGGAATATATTTTCAAGTGTAATACATGTTTTCTACTTGAAATTTAACTGGCTTTTCAATGGAACAAAAATAAATTTGGAATTCTTTAAAACAAAAGAGATATGGTCATCTACTCTACTATCACTTCTTATTAGGAGACTATGTACACATATAACCCAGAAATGGCATCAAGATTGCGCAATTTCATGATTTTAGTTTTAAACTGTTTAATTGTAAATTGCTTGCTTCTGGTCCTTCATTTCACCGATTTCAAAATTCACAATTTCAAAAACGTTTTCAAGATTCTCAACATATTGCAAATTATATTCTAATTTTAAGATACTTCTAAAAAAAAGTTGAATACACACAATTCCCAATTTATAGAGTGCGAATTCAAATTTTTAGATTGTTTGTCGAAATATGAATTTAATTTATTAAGCCTGACGATATTTGAATAAATTACAAGGATTGTTTTAGAAAAACCCAACAACTATGTTGTTTTTGCCTGAGCATTCGTCAAAATCTAACTCGAAGGTCGAAGAAATGTAGAAATGTAATATTTACATACATACATTGTTTTAGTGCCCCAAAAAATTTAGCAACATTTATACTCATTTATTTATTTGTACCTGAGAATTTGTCAAAATCTCACAAAATCGGGGGTGGGATCCTCCTAGGGGTGTGATTGATAAGGGGTGGCATATACAGGGGTGCGATTGCTCTGGTGCGATTGATCGGGGGTGGCAATGGTGGGGTGCGTTAGACGGGGTGCGATTGCTCGGGTGCGATTGATCGGGGGTGGCAATGGTGGGGTGCATTAGACGGGGTGCGATTGCTCGGGTGCGATTGATCGGGGGTGGCAATGGTGGGGTGCGTTAGACGGGGTGCGATTAAGAGGTTGCGATTGATCGGGTCGCATCATCCGCACACCCAAAATTTTAACGGTAGGGCTTTGTTTGTACTTTCACCGTCTCAGAACTACGTCCTAAATACAAAATACACGTAAAATTCAGAAATGTCATTAAGACTATGAAAAAGTAAAATTCCTAAAAGTCCTTAATTTTGATACCTTATAGCGCCGATTTCAGAATTTTAAACGTGTTGTAAATAACAGGATATAATTTTCAGATTAGAAAACTGCGCATAAGGTCTGGACGATGACGATGACAATGAGTCGAGTCGAGCTGAGTTCGAACGGGGTTAACTCAACACAATAACAAAAATCGCTAACTCTAATTCAACTCGACTCAAATTCAAAGAAGAAAATAAGAAATATTTGTTATTTATAAACAATATTTTTAAACAATTCGAAATTTCGATGGAAGACCGGCGTGTAATATTTAATTTGCGCCGAAACGAATGAATCGTAAGAAAAATGGGTAAATAAATAACATGAAAACCGAATTTTTTTAAAGGTTCAGATCAGATCACTGCTTTATTGACAAGATGGTAACAAAAATTTGGAAATACAAAACTTCAAAATTTTTAATAGTAGGCTGGAATAGCGGCGTAAGCTGGAGCGGCGTAGGCCAATCCAGCGGTGGATCCGTATCGTCGGATTCCGGTGGAGGCAGAGGAGGCGAAAGCGTTGTGAAAGTTGGGGCCGCTCACACCGGAAGTGTACAAAAGCTGGGCGGACGCCACGGCGACGAGGGCAAGAACGACAAGGACCTAATTTTCAAAAATCAAATTATTACACAAAGTTTCCCATATTTTACAAAATCATGAAAAATTCCTAGCTCAAATTTTAACTTACGAATCGGAACATGTTGATTTTAGTAGAATTGGCTTCGAAGAAAGATCTGTTTGTTAATATAGTTCGATTAAAGACTGTGCCTCTTACCAAAATTCGATCGAGTTTATATACATATTTACCATCCAGGAAAATACCCCATGAATCATTAACTTGGACCAAATTTGCATCCAACTACGTCATTAAGACCACCACCACTAAAGTCTCAACAAAGCTGAGATCTTATCGTATCATGTTTGCACTTAACACACCCTTTGTTACCTACCTACCATTTCCCTTAACAATGCAATGCTTCGTAAATAGATGCCTACGACAATTGCTACAAATTCAATTCAGCATCTTCACAACTCTCTTCCAATCGCGTAGTAGTACTGCAAATAAACTCAGTCAGCTTAAAAAGGTGAAGGTTACCACCGTTCACTTTTGCTGTAACAACTTAATCAAACTGCATACATACACACCAACTCTTAATCAAATTGAATATGCAACTTAAAGTTTCATTCAGTGCCAAATTAGTTGCAGCTTTTTTGCACATGATCAAGTCAAGTTCAAGATTGAATAAAAGGTAAAGGCGTGACTGATTGGCAAACCTGGACAATCGATCGATTGATGTTGTATTTATTTACATACGTAAACAAATTGAGATTTACACCTCTTAATGAAAATGTACAGTTATGTTTTTTTTTCTGGATGTGAGTACTGCTTGAACAAAGGAATTCTTCTCGATGACGTAGATTCCTTGGTGGAATGGAAACATATAAAATGCGAGAATTCTCACGAATTGGTCATCATTCAATCTCATCTCCTCAGAAAATATCATCTCTTCAAAAACAAACAAAAACATAACTTCGCCATGTTCCGATTCGTGAGTAAAAATTAATTTTTCATAATATTTTTGTAAAATCCTTGAGAATTTTGTAAATAATAATTTGATTTCTGATCATTTTAGGTCCTTGTCGTTCTCGCCCTCATCGCCGTGGCGTCCGCCCAGCTTTTGTACACTTCCGGTGTGAGCGGCCCCAACTTCCACAACGCTTTCGCCTCCTCCGCCTCCACCGGAATTCGACGATACGGATCCACCGCTGGATTGGCCTACGCCGCTCCAGCTTACGCCGCTGTCCCAGCCTACTATTAAAATTTTGAAGTTGTTATATTTCCAAATTTTTTTTACCATCTTCTCAATAAAACTGTGGTCTGATCTGAATCGTTACAAAATTCGGTTTCTTAAATTATTTAACTATTTTTCATACGATTCATTCGGTTCAGCGCAAATTAATTAGCATTTAGAAAACCTAGATTTTTAACATTTCTGTAACTTGAGTTGGGTCAAAATTTTTGGAACAAATCTTGAAATCGCTGGTTGAAATCCCTTAAACATTTTTCATATTTTTCATAAATTGCCACTATTCCAGCCTATTATTAAAATTTTGATGTGTTATGTTTCCAAATTTTTTTTACCATCTTGTCAATAAAACTATAGTCTGGTCTGAATCTTTACAAAATTCGGTCTGGATGTTATTTATTTACCTATTTTTCATACGATTCATACGTTTCGGGCGCAAATTAATAGGTAATTAGCAAACCTGTCTTGTTAAAATTTGTATTTTAAAATATTAAGAATAGGTCAAAATTTAGAGAAATCCTCTGAACATTTTTCATACTGTCTCCCGAAATTATGGTAGCAAATAAAATTTGCGATTATGATATTACCAATTTTTTTTACCAACTTCTGAATAAATCTGTGGTCTAATCTGAATTTATAAGAGATAAGTGGATTCTCATCTCAAAATTAATGAAGAATTTGAACCATGCAAAAAATTTTGAAATTGACGTCACAAACTACCAAAATTAGGGAATTTTAAATTCATGAACATTCTTCGCACAATCTTTGCGCAATTTCGGAATTTGTTTTGGCCCAAATTTTGTGCAAATATTTATTACCTATGTTCCAAGAAATGAATGAACGTTGCATAATTTTGACGTAATTCGGAATCTTTGTTTATGTCCAAATTTTGTGCAAATATTACAACAAATAAATAAACATTGGGTAGTTTTGATGGGTTTTTAATTGACAAATACGTTTTCAAAAACTAAATTTAATTGTTCATATTCCAATTTTTCTTATATTTATTTCATATTTACTAAATTTGCCGTTAATAAATTAACCCCCACTATTTCTCCCGTGGGGTCGTGGACTCCACCAATTTTGAATTGTGGAAGAACCATTTTCATAGAAGCGAGTCGACCACAAAATTAATATTGCAAAAACGAAAACAGATGTCGCTAGAAGGACAAAAATGGATAGCAAATACGGCGAAACGGTTAACATGGTGGGGCCAGGGTCCATATTCGATGATCGGGGAGGACGCGGGTCACAAATGTCCAAGCTGTAGCACCCTATTGAAAAAATCGAGGGAAATTTACCATTTAAAAAATCACAACTATGAAAATCAGAAACTTATTCAATTAATTTTTCGTCGGAAAGCATTTGCAAAGTTCCAAACAAATTGTGCACATTTCTTTATAGATAAATCCTGCAGAACTCTGTACCATTTTGCATGTTTTACCTCTATCTGAATCTCCAGGATTGTGCACGTTTTTTCTGCAGAATTGCGTAAAAGTGTGTTATACAGAAAAATTGTAATTATACAGTTCTGCAGAGCTTTTCAAATATTTCTGTAAAAACTATGCACATTTTTTGCAGGAAAATTTGCAATTTTTTTTGTAGGTTTATTTTCGTCTCTCTTCTCGTCTGCATCTTCAACATTTTGTATACTTCTTCTGCAGAACTGCATAAATGTGTATCTAAAAAACTTTATCCTCCGTACTTCTCGATTGCTCGGAATCGCTCCGCTTTTTCGGTGTTGACGTCGTCACCACCACGCCGGAAGAATTTGGACTGCTTTCACCATCCGTGTCCGACTCAATTTTGTGATAACTCGTCTAAAAAGTTGGGATTTTTTTTTAAATTTTGATAACAATGACACCAAAAATTTGCGCCGTACGAAAATTATTTATTATGCATTTAGAAACAAAATTTTGTGATAACTGATCTAAAAAGTTGGGGATTTAAAAAAATTGATTATGATCACATCCAAAATTTGAGACATATTATATAAATCAAATATTTATAAAAATAAAAGAAAATGTGAAAATATAAATTTTCCCAGATTTAAAAAATCAAATAATCCACTCATTTAACAATAAAAAAATTGGTAACAATTTTTCTGTAAATTTTTATAGTGCCCACTCTCATTTCCCATTCGAACGCATCTTTAACATTCAAAAATAAATATTTTCCAAAACTTTTTTTTCTAAAGTCGCCCAAATTAAACACAAAATTAACAAAAAATATGGGTCCCGTTTAAAAATAATATTTCAAAAACATTTAAATTCTAGAAATATTGAGAACAAAATTGAAATTTTAGTGGTACCAAGAGATTAATCACAGTCAAATGAAAAAGGCGAAAATAATTAATGCGTAAAATTTTAAGTAAAAAAAATTAAATTACCTCTCCTTTACACCGTTCCAGTCGTTTCATATTTTTTAATTTTTAAAATTATTTGTTCCTTTTTCATGCAAATTATTCCAAAAAATCACCACTTTTCCATGAGAGAAGAGTTTCCTCAAAAAACGAAATATTCTGCAACCTCGAGTACTTTTTATTTATTTTGTGGCATGAATTAAAACGAATTCTTTTCGCTCCCATTCAACCAGAATCCACCAGCGATAACATAATTGCTTAATTTGCTTATCGTAGATCCAACTTATACCTGAAAAAGTCTCACTCATCCCAAAAATCTTGCCTTGCCTGTACATGTAATTTTAATGCAAGAAATATGTACACGAACAATCATGGAATAACAATAAACCGGTGTTTAATTATTGTTTTTATGCAGATTCGGTGAACAATTTGCTATTAAAAAACAGCGTTTTTATTTTTATTTTCCATAAATATTCAGGGACAAACCTGCACAATTCTTACAATTTAAATTTTATTAGATTTTTTATAGAATGCATGAGAACAAGTGGAACAAGAAATACATTAAATCAGATGTAACAAACTTGCGGAAACTGAGTGCGTTGAGACGCCTACTCGGAAAATTTGACACTTTTCAAAAATGTCAAACGTAAAAAATGATTTTTGACGTCCCGACATTTCATGACCTTTGACGTCGCTTCCACGAATGTGCACTTTTGATTTCGCACAATTTCAGTGCATCAACCTGCATGGAAAAGTTTTAGCAAAATTCTGCCCATCTTCACTCACCACAACCATTCTAATCTCTTCCAATAGTCGTTCGTGTACTACAAATAAACTCAGGAGTAAAAAAGGTGAAGATTCACTTTTTCTGTAATAACTTAATCAAACTGCATACGTATATACCAACTCTTAATCAAATTGTTGTTATATGTATGCAACTTAAGTATTTCATTCAGTGCATAATTAGTTGCAGTTTTTTTGCACATGATCAAGTCAAGTTCAAGATTGAATAAAAGGTAAAGGTATTTAAAGGCGTGACTGATTGGCAACCTGGACAATCGATCGATGCTGTGTATTCACATACGTAAACAAATTGAGATTTACACCTCTTAATGAAAATGTACAGTTATTTTTTTTTTAGATGAACAAAGGAATTCTTCTCGATGACGTAGATCCCTTGGTGGAATGGAAACATATAAAATGCGAGAATTTTATGGATTTATCATCATTCAAGCTCAATCAATCTCATCTCCTCTGAAAATATTATCTCTCTTCAACAACCAAAACTTCGCCATGTTCCGATTCGTAAGTTAAAATATCAGTTACCAATTTTTTATATTTTCTAAAATATGAGAATTTGGGGTTCTGATTTTTTCACAATTTTCTAAAACATAGGAATTTTTGTTACTGATTTGTTCATAATTTATGTAAAGCACTAAAATTGTAAACTGATGAGAATGTATTTATAATTTCTGACCAAAATTGAGTTTCTAAATTTTTCATAATTAAAAAAAATATGCGTATATGGGAATTTTGTGTAATAATTTGATTTCTGAAAATTAGGTCCTTGTCGTTCTCGCCCTCCTCGCCGTGGCGTCCGCCCAGCTTTCGTACACTTCCGGTGTGAGCGGCCCCAACTTTCACAACGCTTTCGCCTCCTCCGCCTCCACCGGAATCCGACGATATGGATCCACCGCTGGATTGGCGTACGCCGCCGCTCCAGCTTACGCCGCAGCTATTCCCGCATATTATTAAAATTTTGATGTGTTATGTTTCCAATTTTTTTTACCATCTTGTCAATAAAGCAGTGATTTGATATGAATCTTTACAAAATTCGGTTTCTTAAATTATTTAACTATTTTTCATACGTTTCGGCGTAAATTAATTAATATATATACGCCTCCGCTATCCTAGCCTACTAAACGTTTGAATTTCAAATTGCTTGCTACTAATATTTCTAATTTTTTGTGCTTCAAATTTTGAAATGTTATATTTCCAATTTTTTTTTACCATCTACTCAATAAAACTGTGGTCTGATCTGAATCTTTACAAACTTCGGTCTTTTTCTTATTTATTTTCCTATTTTTCATACGATTCATTCGTTTCAGCTCAAATTAATAAGAAATTAGCAAGCCCATGTTGTTAAAATTTGCGTAATTTAAGTTAGTAAAAATTTGAATAAAAGCGTTCTATAAATTCGTGCATAAATATGTATAACCAAATTTTTAATCCGAAACGAGGATATCTATCTTAAAATCAAAGTATAATTTGTAATTTGCAGAAAAATCTGTAATCGACGTCAATAAGAACCAAAATTAACGAATTCTAGATTAAAACTAGCGTATAAGCCCGTCTCCCGCCGGGCGAGAGCTAAACTTATTCTTATGAAAATTGAATGGGATAGTGCATAATTCTACAGAATTATCTTTTTCTTGTATCTATCTTATTAGCTGGACACGTCAGTTGGAAAGAAAAGGGAAAGTAACTGTTCCGCGATGGAAGCAGAAGTGGCTTCCAGTTAATTTTACCTTCACTTTAAAGTACAGGGTCCATGATAACCTTAATATAACTATTATTAGATAACATAGTTTATATATAACATAGTTATGTGTATTTCATAGTTTATCAATGTTTATGTTAATAAATGAACTACAACATTATTAGATAACCGCCCACGATAATCATTAATAAAGAACCATCGTCAGGCAACCATTCTCAGATAACCACTATCAGCCAACCAATCACAGATGAGTTGTGTCACGTCAAAACTGATTGTGCACAATCGTCCCAGTCCCGATGTATCAAAATTCGTCGATCCTTTGCTGCACAGCACAATTCGTCAACCATGTGCTGTTGCCTGATGGTGTTTATCTTGGGGCGGTTATCTGATGGTGGTTATCTGGGGGTGGTTATCAGGGGTGATTATCTGAAGGGAGGGTTATCAGCTGGTGGTTATCTGGGGGGTTGTCAGGAGGTAGTTGTCTGGGGGTGATTTCAGGCGGTGGTTATCTGTGGGTGGTTATCATGAGGTGGTTATCTGGGCGTGCTTGTCAGACAGTGGCAGTGGTGATCTGGGGGTGGTTGTCATACGGTGGCCATCCGGGGGTATTTTTTAAAATTAAGAATTTAATTTGAATTTTCGCGCCTTTTGAAACTTAACTTTCTCCACTTTCACTTCCGTCACGGAAAATAACTTTCACTTCCGTTGCAGACAAACATTTCCAGCTTATAATATAGATAATATCATGAAGTTTTCAAAAAATAAATTTAAACGTTCACATTTTAATTTATTCCTGTATTTATTTCATATTTACTAAATTTCCTCTTAATAAATTAACCCCCACTATTTCTTCCGTGGGGTCGTGGACTCCACCAATTTTGAATTGTGGTAGAACCATTTTCATAGAAGCGAGTCGACCACAAAATTAATATTGCAAAAACGAAAACACATGTCGCTAGAAGGACAAAAATGGAGACCAAATATGGCGAAACGGAGAACATGGTGGGGCCAGGGTCCATATTCGATGATCGGAGAGGACGCGGGTCACAAATGTCCAAGCTGTAGCATCCTATTTACATATTTACAAAATCGGGGAAATTTACCATTTAAAAAATCGCAACTATGAAAATCTACGTACAGAAACTTATTCAATTAATTTTTCGTCGGAAAGCATTTGCAAAGTTTCAAACAAATCCTGCACATTTCTTTGTAGATAAATTCTCCAGAACTCTGTACCATTTTGCATGTTTTGCATCTATCTGCATCTCCAGGATTGTGCACGTTTTTTTCTGCAGAACTGCGTAAAAGTGTGTTATGCAGACAAATTGTAATTATACAGTTCTGCAGAGTTTTTCAAATTTTTCTGCAAAAACTATGCAAACTTTTTGCAGAAAATTTTTTTGCAGGTTTATTTTCGTCTCTTTTCTTGTCTGCATATTCAACATTTTGTGTACTTGAAGAAGAAGAAGAAAAATGTGCAGAGTTTTGCATAATTTGACATGTTTGCAAATTTTTACGGCACACCGATTTTCATACGGGATACATACATACCTCTCTGTCTTTGGATGGCATCATCATCATTATTCCGATTATTTTGTGATAACAGCGTGCATGAAGATGAGTGACGAACACAACCCGGGTTTCGGCAAAGAATGCCCGCTCCATGAATCCCGGTCCTCTCATTTCCTGAAATTACAAAATATTTATAACCCTTCCGTTTCATTATGAAATTTATTTGCATAAAATTTACCCCCAAAAACAGACTCCACTTGCGCAGAAGATGATCCCGCATGACTGATAATGTCATCACGGCTTATCTGCTCGTCGTCGGCGTGGTTATCTTGATCCCCACTGTTTCCAGCGGGAGGAGAAAACTCGTTCGAAATCCAGTGGTCAAAATCCTCCCAGATTTGACACACTTTATCCTCCGTATTTCTCGATTGCTCGGAATCGCTCCGCTTTTTCGGTGTTGACGTCGTCACCACGCCGGAAGAATTTGGACTGCTTTCACCATCCGTGTCCGACTCAATTTTGTGATAACTCGCCTAAAAAGTTAAGGATTTTTTTTTCAAAATTTTGATCATAACGACACCAAAAATTGAAGAGTATGAAAAATATTTCTTTAATATTTGGAAACAAAATTTTGTAATAATTGGGCTAAAAGGTTGGGAAATTATTTAAAATTTTGATAATTATGACACTCAAAATTTGAGGAGTATGAAAAGTATAAAATTTGGTGATACCTGGGCTAAAAAGCACCAAAATAGATATTTTGTAGGGCAAAAAATTTTCGTATTTCAATTTTTACCTTGACTCAAATCAGCAGAAATTACGCATCATTACACTCAAAAATAAATACTTTACAAAAATATTTTGTCTAAAGTCGCTCAAGTTAAACATTTTAGTAAAAAAAATAAAAGAAAGCTTAACACATTTGTCAATAATATTTCAACAATTTTGAAATTCTAGAAATTTTGGAAACAAATATTTTGGAATTTTAGTGACCTAAAAGAGTTCAGTCACAGTCAACTGAAAAAGTCGAAAATAATGTTCAAAATTTAAAATATTAAAAGAAAATTACCTCTCCTTTACACCGTTCCAGTCGCTTCATTTTTTTCGATTTTGAAAATTACTTGTTCCTTTTTCATGCAAATTATTCTAAAAAATTCACCACTTTTCCATGAGAGAAGAGTTTCCTCAAAAAACGAAATATTCTGCAACCTCGAGTACTTTTTATTTATTTTGTGGCACGAATTAAAACGAATCGTCTTCGTTCCCATTCAACTAGGATCAAGAAGCCATAACATAATTTACTTAATTAGCTTATCGTAGATCCAACTTATACCTGAAAAAGTCTCACTCATCCCAAAAGTCTTGTCTTGCCTGGACATGTAATTTTAATGCAAGAAATATGTTTACACGAAAAATCATGGAATAACAAATAAACCGGTGTTTAATTATTGTTTGTATGCAGATTCGGTAAACAAGTTCCAATTAAAAAACAGCACTTTTTTTATTATCCATAAATATGCAAGTACAAACCTGCACAATTCTTACAATTTAAATTTTATTAGATTTTTTATAGAATGCATGAGAACAAGTGAAACAAGAAATACATATATTAAATCAGATATAACAAACTCGCGGAATCGGAATGACTTGAGACGCCTACTCGGAAAATTTGACATTTTTCAAAATTGTCAAACGTCAAAAATGATTTTTCATGAGGTCATTTCATTACCTTTGACCTCGCTTCCACGGATGTGCACGCTTAAGTTTGCACAATTTCAGTGCATCACCCTGTTTGTAAAAGTTTAAGCAAAATTCTGCCCATCTTTACTCACCACAATCATTCTAATCCCTTCCAATAGTCATTCGTGTACTACAAATAAAGGTGAAGGTTCACTTCGGCAGTAACAACTTAATCAAACTGAATACCAAATCTTAATCAAATTGTTGTTAAGTATATGCAACTTAAGTATTTCATTCAGTGCCAAATTAGTTGCAGTTTTTTTGCACACGATCAAGTTCAAGATTGATCAAAAGGGGTGACTGATTGGCGACCTGGACGATCGATTGATCGATGCTGTAAACAAATTGAGATTTACACTATTTATTGATAACTATTAATGAAAATGTACAGTCAGTCTAGGGATTGACAGTGAATTCACCTGCTTTGGCCGTGAATTCACGGGCCTGAAAGTCTGCAGATTCACGGGCTTCAAGATAGGAAAAGCTGTGAATTCACGGCCCAGAAGAAAAAATAATTTAAAAATAATTCTAGGGCTGTGAATCTGCAGCTTTTCCTATCTTTAAGGCTGTGATTTCACGGCATTCAAATTTTTTTATTTTGGTTTTTCGAAAATTTAAATTTTTCTGAAAACTTTTCACAAAAACGCAGCGGACCAAAAAAGAGTATATACTTTTTCATGAATTTTATGGTTTATTTGAAAAAAATTCAATCGTGCGAAATTCGAAATAATTCCATTTTAATTGAAAAGACTGACATTTCTCAAGTAATGTACACGCCGGCATGTCCGTCATTATTACGAAAGGGGATTTTATTGAAATTTTAAATAAATTATTTTGATATTGTAATCTACATGAACTGTTGGCACAAAATTAAACTGTGGCCCCACATGACCACACCCCCATTGGGGGGAAAAGTGAGATTTTGGTCAGCATCAGCACATTATGAAAAAATATTAAATTTAAACTGAGTGGGAAGTTGACCCGACTTGACCACACCCCCGGTATGGGGCAAAGTGAGATTATGGTCAGCATCGAAATCTACTCACAAAATAATGTGTAAATACGTCACGTAAATACGTTTGTGTTTTTGCACATGACCACTCCCACTCGAAGGGGAGTGGTCGGAGCTCAAAATTATGAAGATTTCCGAAATCTTCTTACAAAATAACGTGGAAAACCGTCACAATTCGAATTTGTGCATATGACCACCCCCACTCGAAAGGGGAGTGGTGGGAACTTAAAATGATGACATTTCGAAAACCTTGATGATTTTGCACAATATACAGATAGTGGAAGTAAAACTTTGTAGTGTATGTAATATGACTTAAGATAAGCATTCAGTGACAGCTAGCCGTCAGCCGTGCTAACTGATTGTTCTGATGTGAAATTCACTGCTCTGGAAATTATTTTTTTCCGGGCCGTGAATTCACAGTTTTTCCTATCTTGAAGCCCGTGAATCTGCAGGCTTTCAGGCCCGTGAATTCACGGCCAAAGCAGGTGAATTCACTGTCAATCCCTAGACTGACAGTTATGTATTTTTTTCTGGATGTGAACAAAGGAATTCTTCTCGATGACGTAGATTCCTTGGTGGAATGAAAACATATAAAATGCGAGAAACCTTACGAATTGGAATCATTCAATCTAATCTCCTCAGAAAATATTATCTCTACAAAACCCAAAACTTCGCCATGTTCCGATTCGTGAGTAAAAATTAATTTTTCATACTTTTTGTAAAATATTTATGAGAATTTTGTGTACTAATTTGATTTTTTGATAATTAGGTCCTTGTCGTTCTCGCCCTCCTCGCCGTGGCGTCCGCCCAGCTTTTGTACACTTCCGGTGTGAGCGGCCCCAACTTTCACAACGCTTTCGCCTCCTCTGCCTCCACCGGAATTCGACGATACGGATCCACCGCTGGATTGGCCTACGCCGCTCCAGCTTACGCCGCTGTCCCAGCCTATTATTAAAATTTTGAAAGTGTTATATTTCCAAATTTTTTTACCATCTTCAGAATAAAACTGTGATCTGATCTGAATCTTTACAAAATTCGGCTTTGTTGTCATTTATTTACCTATTTTTCATATGACTCATACGCTTCAGCGCAAATTAGTAGACCGTTAGCACTCCTACATACGTTGTTAAAATTTCTATTTAAGTAACAAATAAAAAAAGGCCAAAATTTACAGAACTAAGTCCTCTGAACATTTTTTATATTGTCTCCCGAAATTTTGGGAGCAAATAAAATTTTAAATTATTGTATTTCCATTTTTTATCATCTTCTCAATAAAACTGTGATCTTAACCTTATCTGAACTTTAAAAATTCAATTTCCTACTTATTTATTTTCCAAGTTTTCATACGATTCATACGCTTCAGCGCAAATTAATAGACCGTTAGCAAACCTACATTATTAAAATTTGCGCCACTTGAGTTAGTAAAAATTGGAATAAAAGTATTCAATAAATTCGTAATTGTGTACAGCTAAATCATGTTCAGTTCATCTAAAAATTACCGGATCATTTGTAACGTGACAAAAATTATGAAATCGACGTCACAAAGTACCAAAATTAAGGAATTTTATTTAAAATCATAAATATTTGCGCAATTTTGAGATTTGTTTTTGTCCAAATTTTCTGAAAATATTACATATACGTTCCAAGTAATAAATAAACTTTGCATAATTTTGACGGGCAGTTCGGAATTTTTGTTTTTGTCCAAATTTCTGCAAATATTACACGAAATAAATGAACATTTCGTAATCTTGATGGATTTTATAATTCAAATATTTATTTATAAGCTTTCAAAAACTAAATTTAAATGTTCACATTTTAACTTTTTCCTGTATTTATTTCATATTTACTAAAGTTCCCTTTAATAAATTAACCCCCACTATTTCTCCCGTAGGGTCGTGGACTCCACCAATTTTGAATTGTGGTAGAACCATTTTCATAGAAGCGAGTCGACCACAAAATTAATATTGCAAAAACGAAAACAGATGTCGCTAGAAGGACAAAAATGGAGACCAAATATGGCGAAACAGTGAACATGGTTGGGCCTGGGTCGAAATTCGATGATCTTGGAGGACGTGGGTCACATATTTCCAAGCTGTAGCATCCTAAAATAATGGAAAATGTACGATTTAAAAAATTTCAAATGTTTTTTTATGATGAAAATCAGAAACTTATTCAATTTTTCTTCAGAAAGCATTCGCAAAGTTTTACGTGTATCATACAAATTCTGCACATTTTTATGCAGATAGATTTTACAGAACTCAATTTTTCACATTTTTCATCTGAATCTGAATCTCCAGAATTTTACATCTTTCTTCTACAGAGATGCATAAAAGTGTATTATGCACACCAAATGTACAGAGTTATGCAGAATTTTGCACGTGTTTCTGCAAAAAATGTACCAATTTTTCGGCAAGTCGGTTTTCATACGGGATACACATTAATACCTCTCTGTCTCTGGATGGTATCATCTTGATGATTCCGATTACTTTGTGATAGCAACGTGCATGAAGACGAGTGCCGAACACAACCCGGGTTTCGGCAAAAAATGCCCGATCCATGAATCCCGGTCCGCTCATTTCCTGAAAATACAAAACAAATTATTCATAACACTTCCATTTTATCATGAAATTTGCAAATTTTCATAAATTTACCCCCAAAAACAGTCTCCACTTGAGCAGAAGATAATCCTGCATCGATAATGCTTGACGTCTCATCACAGCTTATCTGCTTCTCGTCGGCGGGCTTATCATGATCCCGAGTTTTTGCGCCGGGAGGAGAAAACTCGTTCGAAATCCAGTGATCAAAATCCTCCCAGATTTGACAAACTTTATCCTCCGTATTTCTCGATTGCTCGGAATCGCTCCGCTTTTTCGGTGTTGACGTCGTCACCACGCCGGAAGAATTTGGACTGCTTTCACCATCCGTGTCCGACTCAATTTTGTGATAACTCGTCTAAAAATTGGGGAATTTTTTTTTAAATTTTGATAATAATGACACCAAAAATTGGAGAGTATGATTTTTTTGTATTTGGAAACAAAATTTTGTGATAACTGGTCTAAAAAGTGGGGTTTTTAAACACAAATTTTGATAATGATCACACTAAAAATTTTAGACGTATGAAAATTATTTATTTAACAAAATTTTGTAATAACTGGGCTAAAAAGCTGAAAGAGGAAATATCAAAGGGGAATTTTAAAAAATGTAGAAATGAAAGAAAACATAAAAAGTATAAATTTATCCAGATTTTTTCACCAAATTAAATATTTTTTAGAGTAAAAATTCTCACGAATTTTCGTATTTCAATTTTTATGTTGTCTCAAATCGTCAAAACGTATGGATCTTTACACTCAAAAATAACAACTTTACAAAAATATTATGTCTAAAGTCGTTCAAGTTAAACAATTTAAAAAAATGACATTTATCAATCATATTTCAAAAACATTGAAATTCTAGAAATTTTGGAAACAAATAATTTGGAACTTTAGTGACCTAGAATACTTATCCACAGTCTAATGAATAAGTCGAAAATAAACAATATTCAAAATTTAAAATGTTAAAAAATACCTCTCCTTTACACCTTTCCAGTCGCTTCATATTTTTCGATTTTGAAAATTATTTATTCCTTTTTAATACCAATTATTCCAAAAAAAATCACCACTTTTCCATGAGAAAAGAAAATTTCCTAAAAAAACGAGACGAATATTTCTGCAGCCTCGAGTAGTACTTTTTATTTATTGTGTGGCACGATTTACATATGTATCTAAAACTTGGTTCCCATTCAACCAAAATCCGGCAGCGATAACGTAATTACTTAATTTGCTTATCGTAGATCCAACTTATACCTGAAGAAATCTCACCCATCTCAAAAATCTTGCCTGCTCTCTTTGTCAGGGTCAGCATAATCTTATTTTACTGCGAGAAATATGTATACACGAAAAATCATGGAATAACAATAAACCGGCGTTTAATCGTTGTTTTTACGCACATTCGGTAAACAATTTGTTATTAAAAACACCATTTTTTTATTATCCATAAATATACAAGGACAAACCTGCATGTTTTTTTACAATTTCAATTTTATTAGATTTTTTTATGAAATGCAGAACAAGAAATACAAAAACTCTTGCAACAGATAAATATGTATAGCAAACTCGCGGTGCATTGAGACGCCTACCAGGAAAATTTGCATTTTTCAAAAATGTCAAACGTCAAAAATGATTTTTGACGTCGACATTTCATGACCTTTGACCTCGTTTACATTACACAGAGTCGAAAAGTGGTATATTTTCATATAGAAGAGACGTACGAACACAATTGCGCACAATTTTACACAATTTCAGTGGATCAATCTGTATGCAAAAGTTTGTGCAAAATTCTGCACATTTCTTCTGCACGAAAATGTACCAATTTTAGGCAAATCGAAGTTCTTATGAGCGTAAATATCCAAATATTACACTATTTCACTCTTTCTACTTATTAACAATTTCCATTTTTTTGGTGTCACGTGACTCGTCCTCGTCCCCCTTCCGGAAGTGGGACCCACCAATTCGGCAGCGTATCAGGTACAGAAACTTCCCCACTTTTTTCATACTTCACAAAACGACTTAACCACAACATGCACACGATGAGGACAGAACAGGCAAAGATGAAGACTAAAACGCCCTCGAAACACGGTGGCAACGTGACCACGTTCGATGATTGGCGTCGTCTCGAACGGTCTTCATTTTGGCGTCGCGATTCTAAAATCAGCAAATATTCATAGAAATTAAATTCACGCTAATGAAGCAATTAAATATTTTAGTAAGTTTATTAATTAAATATTTAATTATACGTTTTTGCGGCGCAGTGGTGGTCGCATTACTGATTTTTCTCTCGTTACACAACGTACACGTGGACGAACACTGATCCGCCGAGTCGCCAATTCCAGATTCGATATCGTCCAAAGTCACTAAATTCATAATTTCGTTCCATTAAAATTTCGAATTTTAAATGTCGTAAATTTATAAAAATTTGTAAAAGTATGGCGAATACAAATTCACTTAAAATTTTATAATTTATGCTAAATTTTTAAACTATAATTATCCTATTTTATAAAAATTTCGAATTTTAAATATATATTTGTAAGATTGTGACTAATATAAATTGGAAGAGATTTGAAAAATTATAACAAATTATAAAACTTTAATAATAAAAAGTTCATAAGAATTTAGAATTTTAAACAAACATTTGTAAAATTATGCAAATTTTTAAAGTGTTCCCCATACCACGCAAACACGTAGTTGAAGTTGAAACCACAACGTTAAGAATTTCTTCTGTATCATTTTCTTTTCCATGATTATTTCCTTCCTGATTAAACTGCTTAGAAATCCAGGAATCGAAATCCTCCCAAATTTGACACACCGTTTCATCCACATTAATCTGGACAGAATCTGAATCTTGTCCTAAATATGATTTACTTTTCCCTTTGAAGGTCAACATATTTTTAGTTAAGAACAAATTAATTATTAGTTATTAGTTAAGTTACAAGTTAATTAAATTACTGATAATTAGTGAAAATTAAACGCTTTAAACTTGTAATTCAGTCAGTAAATACACATGCAAATTATAACCCTGGGAAAAATATTTTGTCAAGAGAGCAGGAAAGCCAACCACAAAAACCGCATCGAACTAAATATCACGTAAGTTGGTATTTATACCGAGCTACTTAATAACTCAAGTACTCGAGATAACATGCATTTTCCGCTTACAAAACCTTATCTCGAATCATTATCAGTCAGCCGCTCCGCGCTTAGAAGGATGCAATAATTGATAAGCTGCAAGTAAATTTTTTAACAGTTTCGGCTGTCAATAAATCAGTTTTTGTTAAGTTTGTTTTACCAATTTTGACCTAAATTATTATATAAATCTGTTTAACTCGTATTTTTTTACCGAAATTATGAATGAACACAGTTTTAGCGAATGAGAAATTTTAAGAGTTATCCGGGCGTCAGTTCTATTTCTTCTTTTTTCATTCGAAATTTCGATCAAAATTAAGACCGATTTATCATAAAAATCAATTTTTATTCCTGCTTTGTTTACCCAAATTATGAAAGGTTTCACATATATATCTGCACACTTTACTAATTTTTAAGTTTTTCCAAAATATTTCTATTTTTTTATGAATGTTTACCTAAATTAAGACCAATTTATCTTAGAAATCGATTTGTATTTCTGCTTTTTATTATCTAAATTATGAACAATTTACCATCAAAATTTACTGATTTTTCATAGTTTTTTTAATGTCACAAAATAAGTTTTTATTCATTTTTTTAAGGAATTTTGATCCAAATTGGAACATCAATTTGTAACAAATTTTAAAGAAAACACAGTTTCAATTGGACCAATTTATGTATCATCACAATTTGATTGATTGATTTGATTTCCTTTATTTCGGGGGAGGAACGCCAATTTTTTCGTATTGATACTTCATCCTAATTTCTCTCGTCTCGAGCATATTTTCCGCAAAAATGCCGTCCACGCCCATGTCGAAGTAGTAGAAGAGTTCGAGAGCTCGACGTGAATATATTTGTAAAGTTTTTAAAACTCGGGGTAATATCGGTCTTAGGGAAAACATTAAAAACCTATTTTATAAGATTTCGTAAAAATCTAAACATCGAATACAGATTTTACAAAATTTCACAAAACTAGAAAAATTAACAACCGGGTTTTACAAAATTTTGTCAAAATCGGAAAACTGTCTTTATAAAATTCTGTAGCAGTCAGAATAATTGAAAACTGAATAATTTTGCCAAAATCGGAAAATCAAACAAGTTCCACAAAATTTTTCCCAAAAAAAAATCAAAAACCGATCTTATAAAGTTTGTCACAATCAGAAAAATCGAAACCCGCTTTCTGCCATTTTTAGAAAAATCGCAAAAACCAAAAACTCGTTTTTCTATATCTTCCAATTTTGCGTGTCCACTTCTACGCAAAAATCGCACTTACTGCGGAGGTACGAATCCCCCCATTTCATCGATCATCGTTTCATTATACTGAATCCCTTCGGCCTCAATTTGTGCCAAAATTCCCGTGTAAACCAACTCCTTCCACGGACTGAAGTAGCTTATCCATCCTGATAAGTCTTGGATCCCTTGGAACGTCAAGAGTGGCAGGAGGCCTGCGTTGATAAGCATCGATTTTTCAATAAAGGGCGCCACCTGGTGGAGATGTTGCATGGAGGGAAGTTCAAAGCTCTGAATGACCAAGTGACCACACGGTACCGGAGCGTTCCCATCCTGATCACTGACGCATCTCGGAGTATCCTCAGAGGTCAAAGGGTACCCGAACTGGGCTAACGTGGCCAGCACGAGATTTTCCATGAAGCGTGGATTTACCGAGATGTTTTGATAAGTGTTGTAGTAGTAGGGATTTTTTAGCTCGACGACGAGTCCTGTAAAAAATTCATGGGAAATATTGGAAAATATGTTTCAAAATTATGTAAAATTTTAATACGCGTTTCCCGATAAGCACTGATCTTACAAAAAGACTAGTTTTACATAATTTTTATTTTGCTAAAATTTTTATTCAGAGAATCCAGAGAACTTTTTTTACATGTGTAAAAACAAAGTTTATACAAACTTTCCAAAAATTGGGTGCAAGAATATTTCAAATTTTAAAAATAGTATTAATTAAAAAATAATTATTTAAAAAATTCTGTATGAAGAATGTGTATAAGTTTTCAAAAATTGTAAGACTTTGACACCGAAAAAAATAGATCTGATGAATCGTAATCGTCTTAAATTTAATAGATATTTTGCATTTCATCGAGTAATATCAGTACAAGATAGCAAACTGTGACAAACCAAACAGTAGATTAAGGCTACTGTGGGTGACGCGTTAATCTCATTCTACCCCTATTCAATGTCTTTAAATGCAATTTCTAAAATTAATCAACTCCATGAATTTTTGAGATAAATGCAACTTTTGAAAAAATTAGCAAATTCATTTAGGAGGAAATTTATAATGGAAAAATTGCAATTTTTTTAAAAATCGACTTGTTTGTAGTACCAAAAATTAGATTTAAATTAAAATACCCAAAGTTTCATTTATCTCAAAACTCCTGGAGTTGATTCAATTTTAGAAATTTCATTTAAAGACATTTAACAAGGATTGAGTGAGACTAAGAACTCTATGACGAAGATATGACACCTTAATCTTTACTTACCCATCGACCTATTCAACCCATACGCCATGTGATGCACCTGCGACAAGAATTCCGCGAACGTAGGAATTTTCAAGTTCCCGTCAAAAAGCCGTGGCCTAATTCCCACTCCTCTCTGGACCACGCCTAAACTCTGCAATTCCTCTTTTGTAAGATCGTTAAACATCCAATTGTTCCGGATCGTCTGTTCGTTCCCGTTTTCGTCAATGACCCCCGTGAAATTTCGCACCCTGTCGGCAAATTGCGGGAGGGACGCGATATTTGAGGAGGCGCGCAGGGTCAAATCGTGATAAACCATGAGCACCCCATCCGCCGAAAGGGTGAGGTCAAGCTCGACATGGTCCGCCAACTCGATCGCGGCTAAGGCCGTGGATTCCAACGTGTTTTCGGGGACGAGCACCTGAAATTAATTTATTAAGCAGTTCTGAAATTAATAAAATGATTAATAACATTAAGGTTCATTTGGATGCGGGTTTTGAATTTGGAGTTTTTTGTCTCAACTTATCCCTATTGAATGTATTTAATTGGCGATTTTGAAACCTGTTCCTGTACGTTTTTTTAAATGATGATTTTATTGCATTTGAAAATCGATAAATTTTAGGTTTACGAAGTTAGGAGGTTCGAATTTTGATTTTTTTCTTCCATGAGAATATAGACGCAAAAAATAAAAATAATAACAGTAAAAATTATATATTTTCTCATGGCAGAAAAAAAATCAAAATTTTAATCTCCTAACTTTGAAAACCTAAAAATTATGGATTTTTTTGATGCAATAAAATCTGCTTTTCTAAAAAAACCCACGGTACGATGTATTTCATAATTAGACCTGATAGTAACCAATTTAAAATTTCAACAAGTTTCCAATTTTTGAGTTTTCTAACGAAAAACACGAACAATCCAGTTTTTACTATCGAGTTTTCCACAAAATATCTAAGAAATACTCTTTTTTTTACAAATTTTGGTGCCAGAATAATTTATGCAGTGCAGACATTTGTGTATTTCGTCCTTAAGGTACCACAAGAGGTTGAATATTTCAATTTTTTATGGACTTAGCAACATGATTTTTCAGAGAACATGAGTCAAGCCATAAAGTACAGCTCCGCATAGAAACAAGGGCATTGGGGTATTTTTAAGAGCTCCCCGAGATGGAGGGGGAGGACTTTGAGATCATAATGGTTGTTATTTTGAGTCATTATATATTTCTGCAGGGTGTATAATCGGTTTGTGGGCTCATTTGTGTCAGGTAATGAGATGTGAACCATTTTTGTCCTCAGAAACATAAAATAATAGGGAGGGGCAAGTGTAGAAATACTATTTCGAAAAGTATGGAAGACAATATGGAAATGAGACCCATTATGCTCCCCAAGTAAAACTATTTCGCACGATGTGGGAGTCGTGTCACATTTGTGCTCCGTATGGTTTTGACGGTAGGACGTTTTTAAAAAAATTCATCATGTTCGACTATTTTGCCTATAAATACGTTAGTATAAGTAACAGCAAAAGGGGACATTTACCAAAATTTAGAGTAGTATATTTTTTACAAAATTTGTATTTGAACCAAATTTCTACCTACTGTAATTTCTGAGAAAATTACTATCAAAGTGAGTGGTATAATTCCTTGCCAACTCTCTTGTGGTACCTTAATAGAAAATAATCGGCTATACAAATGTGTGTATTTTGGTAGTCAAGAGATTAACAATACAAGTAACAAATTAGATTTCGATTAAAATTTTAAAATTTGAATTTATCTCAAAACTTAAGGAATTGATTCAACTTTAGAAATTGTATTTAAAGACATTGGAATGGGGTAGAGTGAGATTAACGCGTCATCCACAGTAACCTTAATAAACTCAATTCGCTTTTGAAGATATTGACATCACACCTAACTAAACTTTTGATCTTGATTTTACTACAGAAAAATAACTTTCGACGTTTAAGTGAGAAATTTTTTTTAAAAGTTTTCCAGAAATGGTGCTTAATTTTATTACTAATTTTAATATGGAGATTAACGCTTCATCCACAGTAGCCTTAAAGGCAGGGTACTACCCAGGGTTTTAGGGGTATTGGGGTTTTGTGTTTTGGGGTAGCAGACCGAGCAATACCCACGGGTAGTCCGGGTAGTCGGGATTTTCTAATTTAATAAAGTATTATAACCGGGCATTACTAATAATTCTAAGTTAATTAGTTATGAAAATTAAATTAATAAGCGGCTTTGTTGAGAAATTACTGAAACAGCAGACTTTTTCAAAACCTAATACAGGAGACACAGATCTAGTTTACCCCCAAAAACCCCGAATACCCCCAAAACCCCGAATACCCCAAAAACCCCGACTACCCCAACTACCCCCAAAATCCAGGTAAAGCCCCTTTCCTTACCCTGCTTAAAACAAATTGATATTAAGTACCTGCATATCTCGTCATCCCCACAAGTCAGCAACGCTTCTTCATAACAAGTCGTCGTCGTATTTCCCCCACTCTTTTCGCACGTGGCCCCATTCCCCGCATGACACCGTCCATCACTCGATGCAATATAATAAAAATATTTGCATTCACACTTACAATTTGTCCCGTTACTATTTGCGCATGCGCACTCTAAAGCATTATCAGGATTACAGATGTCCCGAGCATTGTTTTTTACACAAGTTTCGCCATGCTCCAAGATTGTTTCAGGTTCTGGGATGCAGTACGTTCCATCGTCGGATGGTTTAAAATATTCGTTGCATTGGCATCGTAAACCTGAATCAAAATAATTTAACGGATGACTCATCGTAAAAATCTGCACATTTTTAATCATTTCTCGGCTTTGGGAACTTATTTGAAAATTCTGGACTACAAATTTGTAGAGCACAGAGTTACCAATTTACAAAAAATATACACTCCAGATTTTGACACTTTTTCAAAGGAGGAGATCTCAAGTTTAAGAAGCCTTCAGAAAAATTGAAACTTTTCGAAGCTGGCTTAAAAAATTCACGACAAGTTCATTAATCACCTTAATTGACTACAAATTTGTCTTCTAAAATTTTAAAAAAAGTTCCCAGAGGGGAGAAATGATTAAAAAAATGTGCAGATTTTGTCAATTTTGGTGATAACTCATCCAATCCTATGTCAATTCAATTATTAAAGCAAGCAGTGACCGCAGAAGCCGTGGGGACATCGGGGGACATTATCATTGTAGGAAAAGGGAGAGGGAGGGGTTTATATGCGGGCAGACGATGGGGAGATATCGAATAACCGTTGTCCCTCTATCCCCACGCTTCCGCGGCCACTGAAAACAAGCCTGAATTTAGCTTAGTAATTACCATCTTCATTAGCTACACATTGCGCATTAGCAATACACGTTTCTCTCGAATTTAAACAAATCTCTCCATGTTTCGTCAAACACGAGCCTCTTTGCGGGTACGAATTTGCACGCCTGAACCAAACCCTACTTTCAGGCCGGTCGCATTCGCATTTTCCTTGCGAATTACATTGCAAATAAGAGTCACACGTTTCTCTCGTTGCTGTCGACCCATTACGGCACTGGAATCCGTGGGTGGCGAAACACTGACCGGTAAAACCTTCATCCAGACCGTGGTCACATCTGCAGTGGACTCCACTCTCGCAGACAAGATCCAGCTCTTCGTTACAGAAATTGCTCGTGTTGTCGCAAGGGTCGCCAAACTTAAGGGCAGAATGGACACACTATTCGCCACTTTCGGATATTACGTCAGGTTCTGTGCAGCCACACACGCCAAGTCCGTCTTCCCGACCAACATCTATGGTGTCATTTTAAATAATTGATATAATTTTGGCAAATATACCATCTAATATATCTGTTCACTTTCATTCATCTGACTGAATGATGGTAAATGAAAATGAATGAAGGATTCCGTCATTTCAGATGAATGACTGTGAATGAAAGTATTTTTCACCCCATGCTTAATACATGGGGCGGAGTAAGATACGAAGGCCGATGAAGTGAAATGAAATGAAAAGAATCTTAACGAAAATGACTGAATGTGAATGAAAATCTTCAGTCAGAAATCATGATGAATGACTTTAAAATGAAAACTAAATTTTTAAACAGGTATGCAGTCGAATTAAAGTTGAGGAAATTTTGCGATGACGCAACTGATTGATTGTGTAACATTTTTCTCCGAAAATTTACTAAAACTTGGGCGAAAATTCTATAACATTTTAGCTAAATTAGACCTTTAATAGAATAAATGTTACACAACCAGTTATGTCATCGCAAGCAAAACCTTGAGTAAATTTTCTTCAAATTGTTAGAGTGTATGGATGGAGGTCTTCCAGCGTATGCTCTCAGATTTTGAGCAAATTAGTGTCCAACGATTAATTTGTTACATATCCAAAGAATTAATATTATTTACGTACGTATTTTTTAATCGTAAGGTATCAAAGCCTAAATTTAGAAATTTCCAATTTCAAATTGGTGTCAATCGATGGCAAATTTGATTAGTATGAAATTTGCGAAAGGCACGATCTCCCAATTGGCACGTTTGGCCGAGATATTTGCATCATCCGAAGAGAGAAAACGTCCAGTAAATTTGACAAATTTTACACTTTCCAAATTTACTGCGTGTTTTCTCCTCTTCGGATGCAAATATCTCGGCCAAACGTGCCAATTGGGAGATCGTGCCTTTCGCAAATTTCATACTAATCAAATTTATCATCGATTGACAAGTTTTCCCAAAATCGGAGAGTAACCGCTGGGAGACCTTCATTTTAAGTTCATATTTCTCATACCTTGACACACGGAATGTTGATAACAGTAAATATCCGATTCACTTAACACACAAAGTTCTCCCACTTTAAGGACACACCGACCCCCGTATGCGTCAAACCTTGAAATGTACGCCATTGTCGAATTACATCGACACATGTTATCAATGCAGTGAAGAAGTTCTCTCGGATGGCAATGGTCGACCGGCTGCGTATCTTGGGGGGAACAGTAGGTCCCATATTCTCCGTAGGAATGCGCCCTTCCTGCTAAAACTAAAACTATGAAGACCTCAATTTTGCGAAACATCGTGATCAATTTGCAGTTTAGTGAAATACTGAACTGTTTTTTGGACATTTATACTGTCGTAGCGTGGTGACGCTGGTATTCAGTGGTGGCGGAGGTAGGGGGACATTGTCCCCCCAGAAATTTAGCAAAATCGTATCTTGCCCATGTTAATAAGTCCCTCCTTTTCCTACCCCATAATGCTAATGTCCCCACATGTCCCCCCAACTTCCGCCGTCATTGCTGGTATTGATAACAGCCTGCGTATGTAAGTTGACTCAAATTTGATTAGCAGATTGTGCACAACATTATTTTCTATGCGGATGCATTGAGTGACAGTGACATTTATATCATGGATGTATGTCACACTAATTAGTTTTTTGATAACGTACCCTTATCGCAGCCCTACCAGCACAACCTGTGCGGTTCCGGTACATGTTGCCAGTGCCGATTTTGTGCCGATGTGCCCCATTTCTCGGTACCGATTGTGTAACGATTTCGTGCTGGCACAGGGAAATCGGTACCTTACCGGCACAGTTTTGGTACAGGTGGAACCGTACATATGTACCGATACCATTTTTGTACAGTTTTGCCGGAACAGTCCCGGTACCCAAAATTTGTAGCTAAACTGTGCCGGCAAGGTACCGATTTCCCTGTACCAGCACGAAATCGTTACACAATCGGTACCGAGAAATGGGGCACATCGGCACAAAATCGGCACTGGCAATGTGCTAGTAGGGAGGAAACGTGGTACATGGAATGGTTATCATGTATCCGGAGTAAATTAAACCAATTTTCAGAAGAAATCGCCTTGAAATTTTGCATGCATGTAGAACGCGCAAAATTACAAGGGAACGTGGAAGATAAGGAAAATGTGTTGGAAAATAGAAATAAAAGTCTGGGCTTACGTACTCATCATTGTTGTCCGTCTGTCTGTCTATCTATCAATTACGCTCATAAAACTTATCAAATCGAGTTGAAATTTTATACACACATGAATTAATTAAGTGTCCAAGTTCGAACATGAGCAAAATGTTTGCTCTAACTCGGGCTAAATACGGCTGTAATGTGTGTTTTTTTCTATCCGTAACGTTCAACAACTAAGCACCTTCCACCGACAGTAATTTTCGCTCAATGCAAATTCAACATCTCTTTCTTTTCGATTAGAAATTGGCAACAAGTTTGAATCTCCGCGAAATTATTTTTAAAACTTCCATTCCATCTTCTTCCGTGAAGATTTTATTACATACTTATTTCAAGTTTAGCAAAAAGTCCATATGCATTATTGTCATGTATCACATTCAGTGGCCGCAGAAGCTGAGGGGGGCATCTGGGGACATTAACAGGGTAGGATAGGGGGCAGGGATTTATATACGATGGGGACATCGAACAACCGAGGGGTCATTGTCCCTCTGTCCCACGCTATCGCGGCCACTGTATCATGTACATACATTTGAACAGCCTGAATTCTCTCAGTGGCCGCGGAACCCGTAGGGGGCATCTGGGGACATTAGCATTTTAGGATGGGGGGAGGGAGGGGTTTATATAAGATGGGGAGATGATGCGGACACCGAACAACCGTGGGGACATTGCCCCTCTGTTCCCCCCCCCAGCTTCCGCGGCCACTGATGACACTGTATTTTCAGCATGAATCGGTACCCTGCAGGGGACGAAGTAAACGACCAGCAAAAAAATTTGAGCCAACTCCAACCAAAATATGAATACGAACCAGTTCAATAATCAATTCATACCAAAATGTCAGATTTTATCCTCTTCATAAAGTTTGACACAACAAGATGTCACTTTATGCAAATTTATGCAACAACTGACTGCAACTCTTCCCAACTTTCTTCTTACCTCTCGATGCAAATGCATTTCTTAAAGAAAACTTGTCTAGAAATAAACTTTCAAAATATGTGTTTAAACTTTCATGGCTGAGTGACTATTCCAAAAATTTATTTATTTCCGAAAAAAATCGTTTCATAATATAACAAATCTGATTTTAATAGGCGATGGTAAAAACATTGAAATTATAAGACTTCAAAATTTTAATAGGCGGGAATAGCGGCGACGTATGAAAAATATGAATATGAAAAATATTCAAGGGATTTCAAGCAGTGATTTCAAAATCTGTTCCGAAAATTTTGACCCAACTCAAGTTACAGAAATTTTAAAAATGTTGGTTTGCTAACTGTCTATTAATTTGTGCTGAAACGAATTAATGTTATGAAAAATATGTAACAAAAAATAACAAAATATAATTTTTTTTTAATTTGAAGATCAGATCACAGTTTTATTCAGAATATGGTAATAAAAATTTGGAAATATTAATTTGCGCTGAAACGAATGAATGTTATGAAAATAGGGGAAATAAATAGCAAGAAAACTGAATTTTGTAAAGGTTCAGACCAGATCACTGCTTTATTGACAAGATGGTTCAAAAAATTTGGAAATATAACACTTTCAAAATTTTAATAGTAGGCTGGGACAGCAGCGTAGGCTGGGGCGGCGTAGGCCAATCCAGCGGTGGATCCGTATCGTCGGATTCCGGTGGAGGCGGAGGAGGCGAAAGCGTTGTGAAAGTTGGGGCCGCTCACACCGGAAGTGTACAAAAGCTGGGCGGACGCCACGGCGATGAGGGCGAGAACGACAAGGACCTGTGAAAAAAAAATGGCAAAAATCAAATTATTATACAAGAAACTTTAAAATTCTGATAAAATTCAATCAATTTAGTAACGTATCGAAATAAGCTTTTGGAAAACTTACGAGTTTCATCATCTTGAAGGCGTTGATTTTCTGAAGAAATTCAAATAGTTGTTTATAAAAGAGGAGTTGGAATGCTTATGATGCTGAGGAACAATTCCAGTCTGGCTTTTATACAAGATCAAGATATGTAACAAGTTTTAAGGTGCATGTAAATAATGTAATCATTTCATTTACTGGACACATTTGCTCACAAATGATCCCGTTACTCAGGTAAGAAGAGGACGAGGAAAAGTTAGACAAGTTTGCATGCAATACACACATTTTTCATTAATCAACACACACATTCCTCTAAATAAACTCAATGCACAGACACAGAGACTCAGGACAATAAAAAAGTTCAAGGACGCTACAAAAGTGCGTTCCTTCAGTCAGTTTGCATAATGGTGCTTTAACTGTGTAAAGATTGGGAAGCCTTAACTGTGAAATGATTTAGGAGTAAGAGGTAATTTTTTTGTGGCATGTTTTACATACAACACGACAAAGCTATGCACGTATGTACTAATTTGTCTGTTGTGCTTGTAAGGCGTGTCTCTTGCCCCCACCTTTCTGATGATCATCACTTAAACCAAACTCACTCACGATCAGGCAAACAAAGGTATTCTCTAATTGGGAACAAATTGATGACGTCGTTCCATTCTTAAGGAGTAATTCATTACATGAAATTCATGACGTAGTTGGTTCATAAATACTCCTGGTCGTTCGTTCTTCGTGTATACTTATTTTATTTTAAGTAGTGCTCCTCACAAAGAAAGTTTTTTGGATGCAAATTTTATATGTACCAAATTATTTCCTACACTTTTCCTAGTTGAGAAAAATGGTATAAATATCGTGCCCAAGTTTTGACCAGGCACACAAACATTTTCATACCTTCTCTGAAATCATCTCAATTCGTGTTAAACACACCAAACCAAAACTTCGCCATGTTCCGATTCGTAAGTCCAAATTTGAGTTAGGAATTTTTCAAAATTTTGTAAAGCATCTGAATCTTTTAATAATTTAATTTTCTCCAATTTTTGTCCAGGTCCTTGTCGTTCTTGCCCTCGTCGCCGTGGCGTCCGCCCAGCTTTTGTACACTTCCGGTGTGAGCGGCCCCAACTTTCACAACGCGTTCGCCTCCTCCGCCTCCACCGGAATTCGACGATACGGATCCACCGCTGGATTGGCCTACGCCGCTCCAGCTTACGCCGCTGTCCCAGCCTACTATTAAAATTTTGAAGTTGTTATATTTCCAATTTTTTTTACCATCTTCTGAATAAACCTTGATTTGACTGAACCTTTAAAAATTTGTGTTTCTTGATATTTATTAACCTATTTCTCATATACCATTTATTCAATTCGACACACATTTTTCAATACGCTGTTAGAAATCTGGTAGAATCAGATATACACTCCGTTTTGTTACATATTTGGTAATAACTCCCTATCCAATTTGTACTTGTTTGTTTCTCAGGGATAATTTTTTCATTGCCACAACATTACAAAACGGTAATGCCTGTTGTTATTACCAATGCCGGAAATATGCTTAGGGCAGTAATGATTTAATACCCGTTTTCCAAGAGTGTATATTTTTTTACCCGGCGTACTAATAAAATTTTGAAGTGGTACATTTCTTAAAATTTCTGAATAACGAATTGAATTCTTCTCATTTATGTGTATACCCACTTACTTTTTTCATATTAATTATTGATTCGTTTTACAGTATAACGAGTAATTTTATTAAGAACTATTGCATATTTTGGGTCGAATGTTGTTATTATGAAATTTAGTAGAATAATGTCAAATATGAACATTTTCGAAAAGCATAACGACTAAGTTTTAGAATGACTGCATGAAAATAAAAATTCAGACGAAATTGTTTCTCAAAATTTTTACCTGAAGACTAAAGTCTAATTTGTAATACGTTGAAAATTCTGAAATCGGCGAAATAAAGTGCCAAAATTAAGGAAATTTTGATTAAAGTTGTAAAATTAACGTTGCGTAATCTTAAATATTTCTGAATTTTATTTTTATTTATGTATATGTCACGTATTAAATAAGGTCACACACAAATGTAAAATGGAAAATTGAACCAATTCATGCATTTATTTTAATTTTCAATTATTTTCATTTTCAATTATTTTCATTTTTGTTTTCCAATGTTTTCTCATTTCAGAAATATCAGGAAATTAATTGTAATCTTGGCACGAAAATGCACAACCCGGTCGCCATTTCTGATTTTATACTCAATTAAAATTTACGTACCGAATTCGAGGTTTCACCGTTCGAACTTGGACATTTCAATTTTTGGAGATTATAAGTTCAAAATTATTTACTTGTTGAGTTGTACTCATGCCGATGCCGGGGTGCATTTATGGCATGCCCAATTAGCCATATTTAGCACTCATCTTGAAAATAAGGCATTTCGGGCATTTTGAATTGATAAGTAAAGACTTTCAAAAATTGTATGTTGCATTTAACTAAAATAATGATGAAATATAACTACACAAATTTATTCTTCGCAAACTTGCGGCGTGAAACTCTCTGGATTTTACACATCTGCGCAAGTTCCGCGTTAAGTGTTGTTTCTGAAGAGAAGTGGTCAAAAAATAATTTTGGCTGAACAGTGGCCGCGGAAGCGTGAGGACAGGGGGGCAATGTCCCCACGGTATTTTGATGTCCGCATCATCTGCCCATGCTATGTAAACCCCTGCCTCCCCTATCCTATACAATGTTATGTCCCCAGAAGTTCCAACAGCTTCCGCGGCCACTGTGGCTGAACATGGTTTACGCTCCCATTCTCAGTGAGCTTAATTTATAAAGTAAACTAACATCCGATAGATTATCAACTTCTAAACATGATGCATTCTCTAATCATTTCAGTTCATGAAAATTATCGTTTCTCACATAAAAATAGAGTGCAGTGTCATTTTATTTCGACAACAAATTAAAACGCAAAAATATAGAATCGTGAAAAATTTACAAGATACAAAAATCCAGGAAAGCTTGAGATTTAACAAATGACTAAAAATGAATTAACAAATTTCTACAGAATTTACAAAAAAATTTCCATCAAAATTTTAATAGTAGGCTGGAATAGCGGCGTAAGCTGGAGCGGCGTAGGCCAATCCAGCGGTGGATCCGTATCGTCGGATTCCGGTGGAGGCGGAGGAGGCGAAAGCGTTGTGAAAGTTGGGGCCGCTCACACCGGAAGTGTACAAAAGCTGGGCGGATGCCACGGCGATGAGGGCAAGAACGACAAGGACCTGTTCAAAAAATTGCAAAAATCAAATTATTATACAAGTTTAAAATTCTGAGACTTTACAAAAATTATGCAAAATCAGTAACTCGATTTTCTTCAGAAATAAGAAATCAATTTTCATAAACTTTCATGCAATTATGATACTGCACAAAAATTGCGAGGCAAGCAAAAATAAATTTTTCTCAGAAAGTATAAATTATAAAGAAATTTTAAACTGCTGATACTTTACAAAAATCCGTAGCTCAATTTTGATTGAAATAATAAATTCATTTTAACAAACTTTATAACTCTTTACAAAAATTCTTAACAAATCAATAACTCAATTTTGCTCGAAATTAGATAGAAATATGCAATTCTCAGAAACTTACGAGTTTCATCATTTTGAGTTTCTTCTTCCACAAAATTTACTAGAATTGGAATCAAACTGAGATTGGAGACTGGATACCAATTCACCTCCCCAAACCAAGTTTATATAGTCCCTCGCCAACAATTAAGTGTAAAAAACCCGGTAGTTTATTAACTCTCTCACGACGTCATAAAGTCAGAAATTATCACCACACCACACGGCATGTCTTCCTCCTTCTTTAATTCGTACTTAAAATAGTAATAATTTGTAAGGAAAACGTAATTACTCTTTATCACACAAAAAATAAGCATCTGCTCTGGACAAGAGTATCTTTTATATCATTACAAAACCAAAATCATATCATAACAGGATCGCCCATTGTTATGTCATTAATTGGCTTGGGGCAGGTAATACTGATGAATATGCATGTACATACACACGTGAGTATTGTAGGCACTCCTTTGTCCTGATTTGACCACATTATTAGCCTGCTCAGCACTTATGTATGTATTCTTTTTGAGTCACGACTTACCTCTCGAAGTAATCTGCAACTAGCCAAACAATGGATTGGCGTGAGAGCGAGTGAGCACTCCATTTTTTTGTTAAGGGAGATCATAAACTCTGCCTAACTGTAAATGAATCCACTTCTTTTCCAGATGTGGAAGATGGGCGCAAGAGTAGTCTTAAGTACATACGTACGTATCCACTCCAATAAATAAATGGTTACATACCTACACGCCAAATTAATACATCTCAAGCAAAATTGTACAGTTACGCCCAAACAAAGGTCGTGTTTTAGTAGGTGATGAATCCAAAAGTGAATGCCAAGGTCAGTTCTGGTATAGCATTTCTTAGCTATAATACCGCTATGATATGCATCCCTAAATATGTACATATATGTAGTAATACTTGCTGAGTATTGTTATAAATATGCCAAAATGTGCAGAATTGGGGCAACTTGCAACTTTAGAGGTAGAAATGGATGTTATTTTTTATCTTATCGTACATAGAAATAATTGTACCCTGTATGTCGAGAGAGTGATTGAGTGATGGGTAATTACTTATTTCTGCCACGCGGAGTATGTAGATAATTACGCTCTGCTTTGTTTCTATGCATATCTGGACAGAATTTTTGCACTTTTCGCGAGTAAAATGTAACATACATAATTTGCTTGCACGTGAATATAGAAATTACTATATACGTTTGAGAGTTACTAAATACCTTAAAATACTTATATCACGAGCAGGCACGTGGAGTAGATTACAAATACGTTCTGCTTTGTTGATATGTATCTGGACAGAATTTTTGCACTTTTCGTGAGTAAAATGTTACAAATTTGAATGAGTACAGAAATATTACATTTACATGTATGTGAGAGTAACTACCTTAAAATACCACGTGCGAGTAGGCAATGTATGTAGTCACCCTTCCGTGTTTCTTGGGGAAGCGTGTATGAATTTATGTTACATAAAAATTGCATATATGTAAATAGTGATAAAACTAATTAGCCCTTGATTTAAAGCCAATTCCATTTTTTTCGGGTGATTCGTATGAAGTAAAATTCCTAAAACATTATTTACAGGTAAGTACGTACGTATAATTCTCAAAACGTAAAGTTCGTAAAACATTTCATAAAATTCGTCCAACGTATTTAATTTACACATAATTTTCAAAACGTAACGTTCGTATAATGTATAAATAATTGATCAAATTCCCAAAATTTCTATGATTCGTAAGACATAAAATTTGTCAAATTTATTTAATTCGTAAAACGTAAAATTTATAAAATTCATAAAGCATTCGTAAACGCAGAAAATTCCGAAATTTTTCTCCAACGCTGATGCAGTTACCTCTCAAAATGTAACGCTCGTATACAAAAACATAAAATTCTCAAAATTCGCAAAAAAACGTAAACCCAGAAAATTTCTAAATTTTTCCCTAATCCGAACTTGTCCAAAGGTAAACTTCGCAAAAGTAAAATTCACAAAATTCGAAAAACATCAAACGCTCCCCCAGAAAATTTCTAAAATTTTCCCCCACTCAAACCGAACCATACTTCCCCCCCTTATAAATATATATCAAAATCCTCCCCATTTTACCAGGTGGCCTTTCACTCACAATTTCATCCCACTGTTCAAAACCTTAGAATTGTACTTCTGTACAAGTCCGCCGACAACTTTACCAGAGTGAAAGTGGATCAGAGAATCCCGGCATTTTTCATGCTTTCACTCACAGATTTACTTCTCCGTCGTGCCCTTTGTTTGCTCTGCAGCAGATCTATTTTCCTTCTTCTCCGTCCTGGAGACGACACGCACGCTGGAAACAGTCCACAGTTTAATCATGCTTTCTTCTCCTTCCTCTTCCGACAATATATTTCTGCCCGTGCCAAGCCTTCCTGTGTACATAGAGCAGTTTGATGGAATGCTAGCCATACCCAATTTTCTGATTTTTATCCCGAAAATTGAAGATTTTTCATTTATTGGCACACATTTTCGACGCGGTTTTGTTGTTACATTTTTGCACGGAAATCATACCTCTGAAGATTGAATGGCCACACTCAAATTGGCAATTTTCGTTGGAATTTCATTCTATTGAAGATTTTTCATTTACATATTTGGCATAACACATTTTTAATTCGGTTTTGATTGTAAGTTTTTATGTTTTGTCCGAAATACTGAATTTGTTCCGTATAATTGAAGATTAATAATGTATTTCGTATAATTTATTTCGTATACGTTTAACGACCGTTTGTAATTTCAATTTTTGTAATATACAAATGCAACTAAAAATTATGATGCCAAGCACGACTTGTGCATAATTCTCACAACTGGATACTTACATACTTTACGTAATCATGTACATATTATTGTAAAATGTGATTTACACCGAAATTATGAGCAACTTAAATTAAGAGCAACACCACGCCAATACTTCGCTGACAATATGGAGTTTAATTTTGCCATTTTTAAAGTACACGTCTCCCGTTACGATCTTACATATTGCTTCGTAATTTGAGAGCTTGTAACTGTTTGAAACTTTATCATGTACTCGTACAGTCAAAATAAGGTAGTAATGAATCATTACCATGCGGAGTCACTATGTGTCTCTACCACGTCAGTTATTATTTGTCGTAAAAATGGTAATAATAAATTCAGGGAAATTTAAATTTAATACATAATGGTATTCACTTCCTTAATATTTGGTAATGAATTTGAATTTCCCTGAACTTATTATGACCATTTCTACGACAAATCGTAACCGACGTAGTAGAGACACATAGTGATTCCGCATGGTAATGATTCATTACTACCTTATTTTGAGTGTAAGTAAACCGTTATGGTTCACTCCTTCCTGGAAAACTGGTCTTAAATCATTACTGACCCGAGTACATATATTACTCTAACTGGTAAAACAATGGCCATTACCGATTAGTATGCATGTGGTATTGTGGATATGAAAAATTTACCCCTCAGAAACAAACTACTACCAACGCCGGTAGGAAGTTATCACCAAAATCAATACCAGTACGGTGTATGTAAATACTGATGACTCTACCAGACTTTTAAGAATTTATGTGACTTAAGTCCACCAAATCTGTCGAATTTATTACGTAAAAGTCATAACTAATACTTGTCCTTTTTGAAAAATTGAAGTTTTGTTATGTAACCGGTTAAATAATGTAAAATTTTCTTATCCTCCTCAACCGACCGATGGTCTAATCACGCTTGCGAAAATAAGGCGTACACCACAATACCATAATAATTGGCTATTTTCTCCCCTTCTCTTTCGCTTTTGCTTTCTCTTTTTCTCCACCATCAAAATCAATCAATTTCCAATCTCTCTTCAAATTTCGACCTTCTCCTCTTCTCTTCTCCATCATCATCATCATCTTCATTCGACGAATTCCTCGTCCCAAAATCTCCAAGCAAGTTAAGTCTAACGGAATAAAACTTAACTGACTCAATCCGCTGCTGCATTTTACTTTTACTTTTACTTTACTTACAAAGTCCGTCTGGTGGATTGGATACTTTGCTGGGAAGGGGTCAAACCCCTTTATGAGATCGTTATGTCTGTCCGTCTCTCTGTCCGGCGATGAGATAAAGACTTGACATTTTGAAATTAGTTCCTAACGACAAGAGAAAGACCTCATTAGAATTTGAGCATCATATTTCACATCCTTTAAGGTCTAAAAAGGTCAAAAAAGGTCACGTACAGTCGATGGAACAAGTATTGGCAACACCCACGCAAGCTAAATAAAATTGGCTATAACTTTGGCATGCATTATCAAATTAGCATGAAAATTTGTACGCATTTAGTTAATTTAATGTTGTTTTCGATTATAATCATGTTTTACTGCTCAAAATTATATTAACGCAGTTTTTAAATAATTTGCTGGAAAATTTGCAAAATTAACCCGCAAAAAGTATTGGCACCCTCTAACTTAAAAAATTATAGAGCAACGAAACGCCAATTTTACTGCGACAAAGTGCTTCTAGTATTGCGTGGCACCTCCCCTCGACCCAATAAGAGCAGAAATAGGTCGTGGAATTTATTCGACAAGGTTCTTTATAACGTTTTTTTATATGGTTGGCCACACTTGTTTCGAACTTTTGACAAGCTCGTTTTTCGTCGAGTGGTTTCCTACCGGTCTCTCTTTTCGCAGCCCAAACAATCAGAATGACATCAGGAGACTGTGCAGCCAACGAAAGAAGCGTAACCTTTTCGATCTCCAAAAACTTGCATCGTTAATTGGGGTAGCTGTTTTGAGTCACTGCATTTTTGGAATATAAAATTCCTCCTCAGGTCAGGTTTTTATCAAATAATTTCAAATTATCGTTTGGAATGATTAATTAGACCTCCCTGGTCATGATTTTGTCGATAATGACCAGATAAACACGCCGCCACCTAGTCATTTAACCCCAAACCATAATCGATCCTCCTATGTGTTAAACTGCCATACGAACGTTTTCGTATTTCTGAGCCTTTTATGGCATCCGCCAGACTTGAACCAATTAATGAGCTCCTAATAAGTAAAATATGCCTATGTCAGACCAGTAGACTTTATTTCATTCATTGGAAGTCAATTGAGGCTTATATTTAGCCCATTCCAATTTATTGAGGTGGTTCGCTTTGGGGACTCTCTCGTCGGTCGGGCT